GAGTGGGACGACGAATGTGAACCCTATACTGTTTGACATCCATTGCATGTAACCAGACAGGAAACTAGACTGGACTGGACTTTTGGACTCCTGGATTCACTTCAAAATTTAGTTTGATAACCTAGCTTAGCCCGTAGCCATTGTCTCAAAAAATACACCTCAAATAATGCAAAAAGGAAAACAAATATATGTATGAAACAATACAGATTGATAGGTAAATAAAAATCAAAGAGTTACCTATGTTCGTTCTGCCCCATCACTCTTGTTTCAGGCGGTCAACTTCAATCTAAAGGGCCACTTCCTAGTTCTCGCGGTTTAGTGATCTGGTAACGAAGGTACGGCGTGAGGACGAGGGTAATTGCGAAGTCGCTCTCATCGATTGACAGAAGTGCCTTGGTAAAATTTCTCAAATTTCATTGGAGGAGAGTGAAAAAATTATTCGCTAGAAAGGCTGAAGTAAATTGATGGCGGAAAAAGAAAAAAAAATCCAGAACAGTTTGATTTATGCGAGAAAGCTGTAGCAAGGAGCAGATCAAAATTGCCTCTTCATCCAAAAACAGCGGCGTGAGGACGAGGCTAATTGCGAAGTTTCTCTCAGCGACAGAAAGAAGTGCCTTGGTAGAGAAAACGAGTGAAAATTTCTGGAATTCATTGAAAGAGAGTTAAAAAATTATTCGTTAGAAAGGCTGAAAGTGAAGTGAAGGCGGAAAAAGAAAAAAAAAATCCGGAACAGTTTGATTTATGCGAGAAAGCTGTGGCAAGGAAGCAGATCAAAATTGCCCCTTCATCCAAAGACCGCAAAAAGCTTTTTGAGGGAGAAATTACAAACAAGTGACGACAAATTTCCAATAAAAAAATTTTTAATGCTCGGACGTACTACTTTTCTAACGTTCCAGAGCTCTCGCTGGACGTCCGTATGCAGCGTTGCCTCACTTGTTCTGATGTCACTATTTAACCTGGCGTAGTTTACTTCCAGCTGAATCGTAGTGAGGGCTTGCGGTAGTTTGCAAAACGAAACGAAACTAAATTTAAACCTGTACATTGTTAAATGAACTCAAACTCTTAAATTTTGGAAATGGAAATCTGTAATTTGCGAAATGGAAAGTACGTAGATCTTTAATTGACCACACTAGAAGTGCAAAAAAAACTTTTAGCCACCAGCTAGAAGGATGAATCAGTCAGTTCACTACCGGCGTGGTTTACGTAAGTAATCTTGCATGAAATAACAACTTGGGAACGAAAGGAAAATCCTCGTCGTGTACTTTGCAAAATATTCACTTGAATATTCAGCATGAAAACATGGAAGTTATCTCATACCATTGCCCTTTTTTACGACAAAAATATTCAAAGATGGAATAAAATCAGAAAAAAATTAGCTTGGGGTTCAAATTGTATTTATAGTTAAGATTATATGCTACGTTGGGTTTACAATCTACGCTAGTGACGAACTGATCGATTCATCCTCTCGGTCGATGGAGTTTACAGCACGGATTCTCGTTTCGTAAATTACAAATTTTCTCTTCGCAAATTACAGCCTCCCATTTTGCTAATTGCAGATTTTGAGTTGACTTCGCTAGTAAAAGATTTCCAATTTGTTCGTTCAGATCGTTTCGCTAATTACAGTAAACCCTTGCTACGATTCAAAAAGAAAAAAAGAACGATTAAATTAAAGTAAATGATGACATATAAGAAACTGAGGCAAGGCTCGGCCAGGTTGCATGTGAACACTGAACGAAAACTCTGGAAAGTTAAAGAGGTTGTGCATCCAAGCATCCAACATTTTAGGAACCAGAAATTTGCCCTAACTTGTTTATAATTGCTCTTCCAACAGCTTTTTTCGGTCTTCAGCAAAGGTGGCTGGTTGGATCTTCTTCATTGCTGCAGCTTTCTTGCATAACTCGAACAGCTATGCTTCTTTCTTTCCTTTGCCGCCTTCACTTAGCTTAGCTGAATGCCTCTCTCCAACAAATAATTTTTCACTCTCTCCCACTGAATGTCGAGAAATTTTTCTCTCATTTTCCCCACCACAGCACTTTATTCTTTATACCAACGAGAACGACTTCGCACTTAGCCTCGTCCTTGCGCTGTAATTTCGGTACCAGATCACTGAATCTCGAGAACTCGGAAGTGGCCCATTCTTCTTATCATTTCCTCCCTTCGTTTTGCACTTAAACACATTTTGACCGAGGCCGGCGCTAGAATTCAATAGGCAATTTCTAAATTACCATTGGCCTCATTTTCAAAGCGAGTCCTAATGCTCATCCTTTCATATTGTTATAAGTTTTCATTCACATGCAAATTAAACACATTTCAAACGAATGATTGAGCACCAGTCCTCGTTTTGGAGGCAAAAGGGGCAAAAGGTAATTCGGAAATGGCCTATTGCGATCAGTTCCGTTTGGTCTTTCCACTCTTTCCACGAAGCAATTAGTCGTCTTTAGCACACCCCAAAAGTTCACACTTCTTTTCCTCAATTTGATGTGTTGACCAGCCTGCGTTGGTCAAACTCGCGACGAAATGATAGAGAATCTCGTCTATTCGTCATTTTTGAGGTTACATTCAGTGTATCATAAGCTTGAGAACAAGATGATTATCTAACAAATAACTGATCATCTAACTAACTAAACGGATTTTCTCCTTTCTCGCTCTGATTTTGGACAAATAGAACTAAAAAATACCAACGAAATCTACCCAGTGATTGACCCTTATTATTTGAAAAGTTCACCCTTCCCTCCTGTTCCAAAATTTAATAGATCATTATAATTGGCGTATTTCGTAATTCTGATATTCTACGTGAATGAAGTTGCAAATCGGTTTTCTCTTTTTTCTTCTTCTGTTTGCGATTAACTGTCTGTCTCTCAGCTTATTAGCGCTCAGCTGAATCAATATGTGTATATGTATGTTGCTAGTTTCATGATTTGATACCTAGCTCATACGCTTTTACAGTGCGCTTTATTCCTCTACCAAAGAAATTGAGAATTTGTACTTTTTTTTTATTTTTCATCATGTACTCTTTTGATTGTATACTAACACAATGTTTTAGAAAACATTTCGTTTTCAGACTGGACGACACTCTCAGAACGAAACCGATGTCAACATTAATCAGTTTAAGTCAGCATTAATACCAAACAATTTCAGGAACGATTTCATTTCGGCGGCCTTAGCATTGCTCTTATTTAAATAAAGCTAAAATCACATGTCGAAATTAGCCCAGTTCCTTGTTTTCTCAGCTTTCCGAATTAATTTCTTTGTGACTTTAATGACATGAGCTCAAAGAAAAGCGTTATCCACAGAGATAAAAAAAAATTAATGTCACTTCAAAGAAATCTTTGCTCTAAAAGAGAAATCTATGATTACTTTGTTAGCGCAGGGCAAATTGCAGTTGTGATTCAATGTCTAAAAATCTATCAACGCAAAAACAAACAGCTGGTGTTAAATTAATTCTTATTTTTGAAACATTTATTTAATTGTTGTACAGTGTAAAACAGACACCAACAATTCAAATTACGCAGTATTTTCTTGTGCCGTACAATTTAAAAAAGCAGTTCACAAGAGCTGTTGGACGTTTTTTCGAGGACAGAATCTATAAAATACTTCATAGAGAAGCAGAAAAGGTATTTAACCTAAGCTTTTTTTTCTAATTTAAATCCAATAAATAAGTAAGAATAATTCTCGATTATAGACGCCCTCAACGCGAAATCGTTTGAATTTTGGCAATGAAGTTCAATTTTTTTCACTTTTTATAATAAAATACTTTGAAACAATCAGCAATTAAATGTAGTCTGTTTAAAAAATTTGAGTGTTGAAGCTGTCTTTACTATCAACTGTGTCTATTAAATTTGGAACTGGGAGCCTTAATAATGATAATGAACAGAATGAGATAATGCTGACTGAAAAATGAGGTGAAAAATAGCAGTTATGAAAAAAAGACATTTTATCATCTGCAGTAATTTTGTCTCAACAAAGGTCTTTAAATGATGATATGATATTTAAATGATTTAATTTTCAATTGGGTTTCTGTGAATTAGACTCAACAAATTGCCAAATAAAATAGGTGGCGCCTTTACTGAATTCTCAATTTGTGAGGTGTAGCCTCTAGGTTAATTAGTCGAAATCAATAAATTAAATTCGGCAGTTTTAAAATAATGATGCCATTAAGTTTACAGTTGATTTAATTGCCGCAAAATAATGTTTTCTACGGAAAAAGTTTTAAATTAAGCTCTATTCGATAGATTATATTTGTTTTTCGTTGGACAAATTTTCAAGTCAAATCAACTTTAAATTTAGCAGCATCATTAATTAGATGAAATTCACTAAGCACTTAGGCTTATCTCAAATAAGAAAATCCTGAAGTTTTGGGTAAGTCTATCGAAGAATTTCTGAAACCGTCCCTTAAAACAGTTTAACGGGATTTCCCCATAACATTAGCATAGTAGTAGCGATTGCATGCCACGCTTACTATTGTACAATTTTTGACAAACCTGCGCATTGTTGCAAATTTTGAATTCAAAACTCTTAGCAAGGTCTTGAACCTAAGATTCGCGTCTCGCAAATCGAATGCCAGAAACTGTTCAAAGTTAACATGTATTCTCAAAGTAATTATAAAATAACGTCATATCTATCAACGGGATAAAAATAATTTAAATAATGCTACAATTTCATGGTGAGTTAAATGGTTTTAAATCGCCAAACTCCAAACAAACAACGTCCTCTCGAGTTTAGTAAACTTTTTTAAATTTTCCATTTTGAGAAAGGAAGATCAACGATTGAGTCTGGATTCAATACAGGAGTGAATAATTCCAAAGTGTTCCGGAACCAATCACAACGTCTGGTTTTTCGAGATTTTGTCCGAACAAGCAGGTGGAAAAAATGATAAGCGTTAAAATGAAAACGCTTCCCCAGTTACCCACGCTCTGGTACGAACTTCCACTAACACCTCCCCATTCAGCAACTATGTATTTGTGCATTTGCATTCTCTTTTTTGTAATATATATAGGTGTAGCAAACACATGATGAAGCTGCTCTTTGCCCCGTTTGTCGCTTTGATAATTGCAGATGTTTTCACCACACTTGAAGGTAAAATTTCTAGTCTTAACTAATTATAACGTCGGCAAAATGTCCGCACAGCCCCTCCTTCCTCTCCCCCCACTTTAAAAAATGGCACAAAAACTGGATTGTCTTTGAAAGCATGGCATTGTTTTAGAATAGCATGACTTTGTAGGGAAATCTTTTCCTACTCTCAGCTCATAATAACCTACTATTTACCATTTTTTTAGCTGCTAAGTAGAACATATAGTTGATATCATGCTCAGAGCTTTTTTTACTCAAAAAGCTACAGGGAATAAAATTGTTTGTCTCAAGGATTAAGAATAAGATGAAGTTATACGGAAAACTTTTCTATCTATCAAAGTAATTGTTAAAATAAGTTTTCCTGCAGTGCATCTAATGCACGTTTTGATACTTTTTTTTTTCCTAAACAAGGCAAGTACGAGCATTTAATCGAATGTTCATCCTATGATTCCCTTTTTCTTTGTAATTTTTAAAGAAACCTACCCGCCTGACGGTCTTTCTTAAAACCTTGTAAGATGGGTTGTTTCCATTATTATAAACAACTTCTTTTTCCCACTCTGTTTTTATTTTACTATAGGGAATTTTGAAAGACAAGGAAACTCGTGATAGTGTAGATGAACTGCTCTAAGCTTTTAGAGCCGTTCCCGGTGATGATATTTGTCAGTTGATGACATGCTCGAGCATGATCGTATCTACAACATTGCTTCTTAAATTGTTTGCCTTAAGCTCTGCTTTACAGTCTTGCCTTTTTATTGCCATGTTTTAGACAAAAGAAAAATCCGCTTTTTAATTATTTTCTTTGCAATTATCTGCTGTAGCGACGTGAATCGTTTTTAATTATCAGAGAAAGAAAGTTCAAGAGTCAACCAAAAGTCAAACTAAAAACAAGAATTCACATTTAAAATGCTTTTAGGTTTTTTGATTTTTTGTTTTTTTTGTTGTGTTGTTGTTGCTTTTTCTTTCAGTTTCTAAGCACAAACATTTCTTTAAACGATACTATGATTTAAAAAGGGCTCAAACATATAGCGCACGTCTGATGATTCACAGTCGCCCTGGAGGTCTCACCAAAAGGACAGTTTTTTTTTCTCACTTCCTGAAATCATCTACCGATATACCAGCTCACCAAAGAGGTTTTTCCACCTTTAATATTTACTGAAAAAGTAAATAGCGTTTAAGGCTAGTTCTGATTGGCTGCTCAAACTACGAATATCCTTTACCATTCACCTCAGAGCAACAAGCGCGGAATTTGTGCCCGTAAATATTTCAGCTGTTGAAGAAATAAAGGAGTTAAAATAATCTTGGTGTACTGTATTATCTTACTGTTTCAGTCTTCACTAAAACAAGTATTTATCTCAAAGCGGCGAGGTAAATATACGAGGCACAATACACTCGTCGGACACAAAATAAGACATGCTGCTAAAAGGGGCGTGAAACATGATATATGATGGGCAGTGTAATCTAAATAAAGCAAAAAAAAGTGGTGTAAAAATGATTGGTGGAAAGACGAAAAGAATAAGTTAAATTAATGGGTGAGGAAATATAAGACTTATCTGGGAGAAAAAAAAAATAAAATGAAACATTGGCCACAACAAATGAGACCTTTGAAAACTGCAATAGCATAATTTTTGACCTCGCGCAACGCTGGAAGCACGTTGAAAAATATACTTCCTTATTTTATTACTGAGCTCACAATGTACCACCCTTCACTTCATTTTTTAACGTATACTGAAAATATTTTTCTGATACTAATAAAAATGGTAAGACACTATCAAGTGTATCCAGCTTCTAGACCAAGGAGGGGGGGAACACTTTGATTCAGTTTTATTCCTCTTATCCATTTGTAGCACTTAAATTGGTGCAAAACTGTCATTAGAAGAATTATTGGTAGAGATATTCGACACTTCGAGAAAGTTCTTTGCTTCTACCTTTACCGATACAGATAGATATTTAATCTGTTGCACTGTCCACTATTTTTCTCAGGTTCTTCTATAAAAATAGACATCCGCAGCGAAGGCTGTAATGATCCGGGAAAAACGCCAAATACATGTGGCATTGCTTACATAAAAGTGAATGGCAATGAACACTCTAAGAAAAAGAGAGGGCATAATGTTGTTGTCCTGGATGCTGTAACAGGTAAAGGACTTAAGTGGTGTTATTTTTTAAGTGCCAATAACATTGAGAAAATGAAATTTTGAAAAAAATCGACTACAAATGAGTAGTTATAGGAACTTATTTTTGCAGCGTGTAAAATGAGAAAAAAAATTGAAAATAGGCATATTATTTCATAATAATGCAAGAAAGAACTATATACGCATAAAATACAAACCTTTTTGCCTGTTATTCCGTTAAATACCGAGAAAAAAAAATTTCAATGCAGGAATTGTGGAACACTCCGTCAGTTTCGATACTCATGGAAATGGTGCTGCTGGAAACCAGTTGAAAGGCTTTCTTAACGGGATTACTGGAGAGTAAGTACCAACAAGAGAATATCAGTTGACATCCTCTCGGCACAAGCTTGTCTTGCAAATCCCACTCAAAACTCACGAGGGTGAAATTTTAAAGATCCCGCCCAAAAGTTGGCATGAAAGGCTGATAAGCATTTGCCTCAGGTGTCATACACAGGCAAACGCGCTCGATCATAAAAATTGTGCGATTATTCGGCGCAAGGTTTGAACACAACAAGTCAGATGAACAAGGAAATAAGCGTGGACATGCCCGCCACTGCTTTAATCAGAACTGAAATGGACCAGTTTACCCGTTCAATGAAAAGGTTACTTTTAGTGGTAAAGTAATAAAGGCACCAAAATGTTACTTCAAATCCATGTTAAGTACAAGTTTTTATTTCATTTTCTATAGTTTTTGGTGTTTCTCAGAGAGAGAAACTATGGATGCAATCGTATTAACCATGCGACCTTAAACACTTACCTCATTGAATGATTGCGCTGATAAGCTAACCTTTGCCGTGTGAAACATTTGCTACATTTCCACAATTTCCTTGTCCATTTCAGCAAAATAATCCTAATTGCAGTCCAAGACGAGGGCTCAATACATCTTAAACAAGCTTTTGACGCTTTGACAAGAGTTGGAGGCTACGATCTGGGCTTTCTTGACTACCGAGGATCATATGCTCTTGTCGGACACCCTGCACGTCAGAAGCCATCTTATGTTAAACAAGTACAGAGCAAGAGTGGGCAGGGACCAAGTGTGATCTCCATGACAGTTCCACTCATGAAGAGTACGTTTTACATATATCTGATAGTTTTTTACCGTGAAATAACAAGTAACCTCTGTGTGATATGTTTGTACGCAAGGTAAAAAGACATGGAATGATGCGAGGATTGCCCATAAACTTCTTACTATTGCAAGCTTAAGGAGAGCTGTCTTTTCTTTTTTTCTTGGATAAAATCATAAAACAATTTTCTCGATGAATACTTCAGCCGATTGTCACAATTGCCCCATGTACGAGGAGCGCCATGAACATGCTGTGTACCCTTCTTAGTCCGCCTTAAGCTCTGTATTTTAAATGGGTTTTTGACAGATACGGGAATGTACAAGGAAAAATGTGTTTGAATTTTTTCTTTAAAACTGCTAAAGAATGGAAGTAGCTCCGACTGCGAATGTCACATTACCTGTATTATCAAACATTAGATATTTTTCGTTTATCAGTTCTGTATGAACGTGTGAATTGGTGTATTTGATTGTTTTTTCATCGACATTTTTTTTTCGTCGAACATGATCTGAAATTTTATTTCGATTTTTCGTTGGTGATTGGCGAGCATTCATTCTGCGCTTGCAAACCTCTTAGAGACTGATATTAACCTTTGATGCTAACGAGTGACCTACTCTTGTCGTTTTGTTTATAGATCCTTTTGTAGATATCGATATCCGCAGCGAAGGTTGCAATGATCCCAATAGGACACTAGACACGTGTGGAATCGCTTACATTAAAGTCGATGGAGAGGACCACTCCCGTCATCTCAGAGGACATAATGTTGTTATTGTGGACCAGAAAACAGGTAGAAACCATCACTTAAAAGAGGAAAAGAGCCTGGATAGTTATAAACCTAGTAGAGATCTAAAGATTTTATGACAAAGCTCGTCATTTTTGTCATTAAAACTCTGGCCAGACTTGGGGATTGAGGTGATAAGATTGTGCGGTTGCAAAATGAATGTGATACAGCGGCAATGATCAATCACGATAAAATAACTCATAGAACAAGTTGACCTATCATTTTTCTGCGAATTGTCACGTTTTTGCATTGCATGTGTGGGTTTCTTCAATTGATTATATTCAACGTGAAAATCTCGAAAATACGCGACTAAAAATGCCAATTTCCTTCTCTATATGCAGCTAGTGTGCTTAAATCAGAAGCCTTTGATACTCATGGGGATGAGTCCGCGGGAAATCGTTTAGGAGTTTTCCTCGACGCCCAGGAAGCAGAGTAAGCAGTTTTTTTGGCTTTAGTTTAGTTTAGTCTTGTTTTATAAATCAAAAAACGGACCAATTTAACCGTTTAATGAAAAGGCTAATTTTAGTAATAAAGGTGCCAGAACGTTACTTCAAATCCATGTAAAGAACATGTTTTCATTTTCTATAGTTTAAATGTTTAACAGTGAGTGAAACTCTGGATTTAATCGTTTTTACTATGCCATCTTGAAGACTTACCTTTTTGACATGATACGATTGCACTGATAAGCTAACCTTTGCCGTGTGAAACATTTGCTACATTTCCACAATTTCCTTGTCCATTTCAGCAAAATAATCCTAATTGCAGTCCAAGACGAGGGCTCAATACATCTTAAACAGGCTTTTGACGCTTTGAAAAGAGTTGGAGGCTACGATCTGGGCTTTCTTGACTACCGAGGATCATATGCTCTTGTCGGACACGCAGGAGAGCAGAGGCCATCTTATGTTAAACAAGTACAGAGCAAGAGTGGGCAGGGACCAAGTGTGATCTCCATGACAGTTCCACTTACGATAAGTACGTTATACAATTATTAAACAATACTTGTATGTGGAAAGCTCAAGTTTTCCTTATGCGATACATTTATACGCGAGATGGAAACCATCTTGACATGAGTTCGAGGATTTCTTTAGGTTTCTTGAATAATATGACCTCCAACTGCGACAAGCGCGGAATTTGCGCCCGTAAATATTTCAGCTGTTGAAGAAATAAAGGAGTTAAAATAATCTTGGTGTACTGTATTATCTTACTGTTTTAGTCTTCACTAAAACAAGTATTTATCTCAAAGCGGCGAGGTAAATATACGAGGCACAATACACTCGTCGGACACAAAATAAGACATGCTGCTAAAAGGGGCGTGAAACATGATATATGACGGGCAGTGTATTCTAAATAAAGCAAAAAAAATGGTGTAAAAATGATTGGTAGAAAGACGAAAAGAATAAGTTAAATTAATGGGTGAGGAAATATAAGACCTATTTGGGAGAAAATAAAAATAAAATGAAACATTGGCCACAACAAATGAGACCTTTGAAAACTGCAATAGCATAATTTTTGACTTCGCGCAACGCTGGAGGTACGTTGAAAAATATACTTCCTTGTTTTATTACTGAGCTCACAATGTACCACCCTTCACTTCATCTTTTAACGTATACTTAAAATATTTTTCTGATACTAATAAAAATGGTAAGACACTATCAAGTGTATCCAGCTTCTAGACCAAGGAGGGGGGGAACACTTTGATTCAGTTTTATTCCTCTTATCCATTTGTAGCACTCAAATTGGTGCAAAACTGTCATTAGAAGAATTATTGGTAGAGATATTCGACACTTCGAGAAAGTTCTTTGCTTCTACCTTTACCGATACAGATAGATATTTAATCTGTTGCACTGTCCACTATTTTTCTCAGGTTCTTCTATAAAAATAGACATCCGCAGCGAAGGCTGTAATGATCCGGGAAAAACGCCAAATACATGTGGCATTGCTTACATAAAGGTGAATGACAACGAACACTCGAAGAAAAAGAGAGGGCATAATGTTGTTGTCCTGGATGCTGTAACAGGTAAAGGACTTAAGTGGTGTTATTTTTTAAGTGCCAATAACATTGAGAGAATGAAATTTTGAAAAAAATCGACTACAAATGAGTAGTTATAGGAACTTATTTTTGCAGCGTGTAAAATGAGAAAAAAATTGAAAATAGGCATATTATTTCATAATAATGCAAGAAAGAACTATATACGCATAAAATACAAACCTTTTTGCCTGTTATTCCGTTAAATACCGAGAAAAAAAAATTTCAATGCAGGAATTGTGGAACACTCCGTCAGTTTCGATACTCATGGAAATGGTGCTGCTGGAAACCAGTTGAAAGGCTTTCTTAACGGGATTACTGGAGAGTAAGTACCAACAAGAGAATATCAGTTGACATCCTCTCGGCACAAGCTTGGGTGAAATTTTAAAGATCCCGCCCAAAAGTTGGCATGAAAGGCTGATAAGCATTTGCCTCAGGTGTCATAAACAGGCAAACGCGCTCGATCATAAAAATTGTGCGATTATTCGGCGCAAGGTTTGAACACAACAAGTCAGATGAACAAGGAAATAAGCGTGGACATGCCCGCCACTGCTTTAATCAGAACTGAAATGGACCAGTTTACCCGTTCAATGAAAAGGTTACTTTTAGTGGTAAAGTAATAAAGGCACCAAAATGTTACTTCAAATCCATGTTAAGTACAAGTTTTTATTTCATTTTCTATAGTTTTTGGTGTTTCTCAGAGAGAGAAACTATGGATGCAATAGTATTAACCATGCGACCTTTAACACTTACCTCATTGAATGATTGCGCTGATAAGCTAACCTTTGCCGTGTGAAACATTTGATGGCCAACTTCAGTCTAGTTCTTTATTTTCATTTCTTCCCCTCATTTTGCACTTAAACACAATTGGACCGAGGCTGGCTTGAATTCAATTACGACCGTTTGCGTTTTGATCTTTCCACTTTTTCCACGTGGCAATTTGTCGTCTTAAGCTAAAATCAAAATTTCACACTGCGTTACCTCAATTTGATGCGTTGACTAACCTGCGTTGTTCAAACTCGCGATAAAATGATAGGAGACCTGGAAAGGCCTATGGTGCCTTCATGAACTAAATTAATTTCGTCTGATCTACATTTTTGACGTTATATTCAGTGCATCATAAACTTGAGAACAAGATTATTATCTAACAAATAACAGATAACTTGACAAATGGAACTAACAAATATGAACAAAATCTACTCTGGACAGATACTTTGATCATTTGAAAAGTTCCACCTTCCCTTCTGTCCCAAAATTTAATAGATCCTTATGATTGGATTATTTAGTTTTTTGATATTTTACGTGAACAAAGTTGTAAATTAGATTTCCCATTTTGCTTCTGTTGTTGGGAATTAACTGTCTGACTCTCAGCTCATTAGCGCTCAGCTAAAGCAATATATTTATATGTATGTTGCTAGTTTCATGATTGGGCAAATCGGTGTGCCCACCTAGAACAAACGCTTATTTAGTGTACTTTATTCCTCTACCAAAAAATGGCATAATCGTATACCCTTGTGTCTGTACACTGCCGCAATTTTTCAGAAAATGTTGAAATATTTCGTTTTCATTCCGCACATGTGGTCAGACTGGACGACAATCTCAGAACGAAACCGATGTCAACATTAATCAGATTAAGTCAACATTGATACCATACAATTCATTGCATCCAATAAATACCATTTCATAAAGATCTTGGCCTTCCTCAAAGCAAAAAAGGCAAAATCCAGCAGAATTGATCAATATTAGAAGAAAATTTGGGAATAGATAGTGTTAAACTGTCTACTGTGGTAATGCAGAGGCAAAGAAGAAAGTGCAAAATAATTCTAGTAAGCACATATTCAAATTTTATCGAAAAGCGAAAACTGGAGGAAAAATATAGACGCTTAATATTCGATTTATATTTATGAAAACGTTTAGAAAAAAAAAGTGTCTGAGGTAATTCAGGGCTAAGGCTGTTTGTGAGTGACAGAAATACAATGCCAACCTCTTTCAGACTCAATATTCAATTCAGAAATGTTATGATAGGTTTTGACCTTTTTTTTAAATCAAACTCTAGACAGCAGGGCATTGTATGAAGCCCTTGGGTCTGTGATCTATCAAACTCTCTTACTTGTCTTTCTACTCATCTGTTGACAGTCTCCTTATTTAGTCCACTCACGTTTTGTCAACTTGCAAGAGGAAACGAATATGTCAATCGGTTCTCTGTTTATACAAATATCTCATAAACACTTGATGAACACTTAGATGAATTTTTCAACGCGTAGGTTTTTCTGAAATGTTCGCTCTCTGAGTTTCTTTTCACGCCGCTACTCCATAGGTATGAAATATAAAATGGAAATAACAAAGTTTATTAAAAGGTAACCATCAGCGATTGATTGTTGAATTTAATTGTGTCAAAAAACTAAATGAACTTCATTGTATTCAGGTGGAATTCAAAGTAAAAGTGAAAAAGAGCACGATTTTCGGTCAATAGGGACCTTAAGCAAACTTCGACGGCGAAGACAACGAGAACATGGAAAAACAAAAGATCTGATTGGCAGAACAATAGCTCAGCACGTGCGTTTTAAAACTTTGTACATTTCTTAGCCGTCCTATGAAAAAGAAACGTCAAATCACCACAATTTGCGTCGTCTGCGAACCGAAACCGCGACGGCAAATTATTTTAATTTCCATTTGGAACTCAACTCTTCTTTTATACGTTATGCTGAAGTTGAGATGTGGCGCTGTATGAGTCGATAAACACACGGCAGAAATTCATTATTTAATCGAGGTCTTCCTTGGCGTTGCCGTCCTGACTGCTTAAGGTCCCTAACATTTTCGTGTCGACGGCCTTGATATTGCTCTAATGTAAATAAAGCTAAAACCACATGTCGTAATTAGCCCGATTCCTTGTTTCCTCAGCTTTCTGAATTAATTTCCTTGTAACTCCCTGATGACACGTGCTCAAAGAAGAGCGTTATCCACAGAGATCAAAAAATTAATGTCACTTGACGAGATCTTTGCGCTAAAAGAGAATTCTATGATTTTCTGCTTAACGCATTCCAAATTGCAGTTGTGATTCAATGTATAAAAATCTTTCAACGCAAAAACAAACAGCTGATGTTAAATTAATTTAATTTTTTTTAGATATTTATTTAGTTGTTGGACTATGTAAATCAGACACCCACAATTCAAATTACACAGTATTTTCTTGAGCCGCACACTTGAAGAAAGTACTAGACGAGCTGTTGGACGTTTTTCCGAGGAAAGAATCGATAATACACTTCATAGAGAAGCAGAAAAGGTAATTGATCTCAGGTTTTTTTTTTAATTTAAATCCAATCCAAAAGTAAGAATACATCTTAAAGATAGGTGCTCACAATGCAAAATCGTGTGAATTTTGGCACTTAAGTTCCATTTTCTTCACTGTTTATAACTACTCTAAAACAATCAGCAATTAAATGTACTTTGTGTAGAAATGTGAGCAATGAAGCTGTCTTTAATATCAATTATTTTATTTAAGTTGGAACTCGAAGCCCTAATAATAATAACCGAACAAATGACAGAGATAAAAAATAGCAATTATAACAAAAAAAATTCGGTTTAATTTGCACTATTACCTCTGCGCTATTCTATTTGTTTATTCTAAAGTTATCTAACTCCGAGTAAAAGGATGGGATTTTTTCATAACTTACTTTTTTAAATCTGTCGAAATCAATTTCAAAATTATTTTTAAAAGTTACCTCTACATATCTGCATGTGATGGAAAATGGACAATTTATCCTTTGCAATAATTGTCTCAAGAAAGTTATTCGAATAATGAAATCATCTTCATATTTTTATTATCAATCGAGTTTCTGTAAATTGCTAAAAAAAATTAGTAGCGCCTCTGTTTAATTTTTTTGTGAGGTGTAGCCTCAAGATTGATCAGTTAAAATTTATAAATAGAATTCAACAGTTTAAAGATAATGATGCCCCTAAGTTTACAGTGGATTTATCTGCCGCGAAATAATACTGTTTACGGAGAGAGTTTTAAATCAAGTCCTATCCGATAGATTATATTTGTTTTTCGCAGGTATTTTTAAGTTAAATCAACTTTAAACTTAGCAATATTATTGATTTGTTAAAATTAACTAAGTAGCCAAGCTTTATCTCAAATAAGAAAATCTTGACCTTTTGGGAAAATCGATCGAGTAATTTCCAAAACCGTCCCCAAAAACTGTTAAATAATGGGATTTTCCTATAAAATTAGCATAGTAAAAGCGATTGCCATGTCACGCCCTCTATTTCACAATTTTTGAGAAACGTGCGCACTGTAGCAAATTTTCAATCCGAAACTCTTACTAAGGTCCTGAACTGAAGATTCTTTCGTCAATCGAATGCTAGAAACTGTTAAAAGTTTACATTATACCTATAAACGGGATAAAATATCCATCAAAAATAATTTTAAAATTGCCATTTCGAGGAATGAAGATCAGTGTTAACAACTGAGTCTGGATTAATTTACAGGATGAAAAAATTCCGGAACCAATCACATCGTACAGTTTTTCAAAGTTTTGTCCGAAAAAGCAGGCAGAAAAATTGATTAATATGAAAATACTTCCCCATTACCTACACTTACACCCCTCCATTTCAGATACAATATTTGTTAGTGCAATTGCATTCTCTTCTGTGCTATACATAGGTGTTGTCGAACGTATAATGAAGCTGCTCTTTGCCTCGTTGGTTGCTCTGATAATTTCAGATGTTTTCACTACACTCGAAGGTAAAATTTTTAGTCTTAACTAACTCTACTGTTGGTAAAATGTCCGCACGGCCTCATGCCTCATTCTGCCCACAGTTATTGGATAGAGAAATTTTAAAAAAGTAGCGTGAACAATGGATTGCCTTAGTTAAAGATCAGTACAGCGTTACACGGAAATCTTGTCCTACTCTCTGCTCTAAATAATCTACTCTTTACTATTTTTTTAAAAATAATTATTTGTTATTTGTTACGTAAAATGTAAAGTTGATATTTAAGGGCAAGATTTCCATATAGCCCTACCCCAGCCACATTTGGAGTTTTCTTGAATAAAAACACCATGGGGAATAAATTTGTTTGCCTTAAGGACGAACTTTTTGTTTAAGAATAAGATGGAGTTATGCGGAAATCTTTCCTACATAAGAAGTAGTTGTTAAAATAAGTTTACCTGCAGTGCATCTAACTAATTCAGGTTTATGATGCTTAATTTTTTTCCTTTAAAAGGAATTAAATCGAGTGTTCATCCTGTAAATTCGTTTTTTCTTAATTTGTAGGAAAACCATCTACTGGGCGTTCTTTCTTGAAACCTCGTAAGATAAGTTGTTATATTGTTATAATTAACGTTGTTTACTTATTCTGTTGTATACTTTACAATAGGGAATTTTGAAAGACGCGGAAACTTGTGAATGTGTAGATGAGCTGTTTAAGGCTTTTTGTTCTTTTGTGATCGTTTTAAGTTATCTAGGGGGGAAATTTCAAGAGTCAACACAAAAGTCAAACGAAAATCAAAAACTCGCATTTAAGTTGCTTTGGGTGTTTTGTAATTCCTAATTTGACTTTTTGTTGTTGTTGGTTGTTGTTGCTTTTTGCGCTGGTTGATAAGCACAAACATCTCGTAAAACGATGCTATGATCTGAAAAAAGGCTCAAACAAATAGCGCACGTCTGGTGATTCACAGTCGCTCTAGAGGTCTCACCGCAAAAACACTTGTTTTCTCCTACTTCCGGCAATTATCTACTGATATATCACCTTAGCAAAGAGGTTTATCCACCATTAATATATACGGAAACAGTAAATGGTTTTGAAAGCGCGCTCTGATTGGCTTCTCAAACTACGAATATCCTTTGCCATTTACCTAAGAGCAACAAGCGCGGAATTTGCGCTCGAAAATATTTTTATTGTTGCAGGAATAAATGAGTAAAAACCATCTTGGTGTGCTATACTATATCACTGTTTTGGTCTTCACTGAAACGAATATTTATCTAGAAGCGGCGAGGTAAATATCCACTGCCTCAATTTCGGTAAATGGTTGCTAATTACATTTAAAATCCATCTGGTTTGATTCTTTTGTTATCTATTTCAGGCATTCTTTCGCGAGGGCGTAGAGCTGTACCAGACGGTAACTTTACTTAAACGTACATTGTTTCACAAACTTTCTTTTACATTTTCAACAATGCCATGACTGAGTTTCTCAGTCAAAAAGTCGTTAATCCAAGTTCTAAGCCCCATTCTTTAGAGTCACAGAACAAAATATGACTGGGCAAGGGCCCTCTTCACTCAAATACGTTTACGCAGCATTCAATTCATTCAGCTTTGTTCCACTTATCCCATGTAGTACTCCAATTGGCGCAAAACTGAGACGAAGTAAATTATTGTTAGAATAACCCGTCACTCGGAGAAAGTTCACCGCTTCTACCTTTACCGATGCAAAGAGATATTTGAATTGTTTCATCGTCCGTTTTCTTGTTGTTTGACAGTTTCTTCTATAAGAATAGACATCCGTAGCGAAGGCTGCAATGACCCGGGAAAAACGCCAAATACATGCGGCAGAGCATACATTAAGGTGAATGGGAATGAACACTCCAAGAAAAAGAGAGGGCATAATGTTGTTGTCTTGGATGCTATAACAGGTAAAGTACTTAAATAGTGTTTTTTAAGTGCAAATAACATCGAAAATTTGAAATTTGGAAAAAAGAAATCGACTACAAATGAGTAGTTAGAAGAACTGATTTTTTGCAGCGAGTCAAATGAGAAAAAATAATCGAAAATAGACATTATTGCACAGCAATACAAAAAAGCACCATATACGTATGAAATAGAATCCTTTTTGTCTTTTACTCCGTTAAATACCAAAAAAAAAAACAATCTTCAATGCAGGAATTGTGGAACACTCCGTCAGTTTCGATACTCATGGAAGTACTGCCGCTGCAAACCAGTTGAAAGACTTTCTTAACGGGATCGCTGGAGAGTAAGTACCAGCAAGAGAATATCAGTTGATATCCTCTTGGCACTAGCTTGTCTTACAAACTTTCATCTTTTTGCCTTTAAAAATGATATTTAACATGGGCCAGATCTTGAAATTTTGCGCAGAATCTATTATCATTAATGTGACCCTCTACGGGATTTCAGGGAATAAGGTGAACGCACGCACAAAGCACGTTATGACACGCTCGCACGCTAATGGCATGACACGCTTACCATGCAAATATGGGCATGAAAACAATTGATTTTAGAAAGCATGTTGTAGCCTTTGTCATATCGGGCTAACACGGTAGAGCTCTGTTTCTCTAACACGCTAGATTTTCTTTTTTAACACGATAGGTTCCTTTGTTCCTTAATACGCTAGCTTGCCTTGTATAACCCAGCTTACTTTGTTACTTGTGTTTGTCAGCTTCTTAGTAAATTATTGTGGGAATGGTGTTTGTACAGTGTATTACTTAAAAAATATAGGAGAAAATGAAGACCTTCTGTCCTCTCCGAAAGTTGCTTAGGGTTAGGGTTAGGCAAATCACGGCTCTTTCCCCCAGGATTTTCACCGGGAATTCAGTGAGCACGAAGTGTTTCACAAGGTCCAGAGGAGCTCAGTTTGAACACATGAATTACTTTTTTATAACTTAATTCTTACCTTGTAATGTATAAATCCTTTTCGCTTCACGAAGTTAATAAGCCCAGTACCGGATCTTTGTGAATCATTTCGCAACAGATATCCGACTCCTTGTCCCCTAAGCGGTCGCTGTTCGTCACTCTAAGTAAACCGGCATTTCTTAAATAAAGAACCGCTAGTTAGCCGGCGCAAAACGAAGCTTGATGGACAACAAGTCGAGATATTCCTTTACGTTTGGCGAATTAGTTGCACTGGATCCTGAGTATCGTATATCGGCCGGGCGCATCGGTGAGCTAAAAAGCCTTAAAGCTTAGGACGTACTTCTTGCACAAATCGAAAGCAAGTTTAACTTTAAGAAGCATGTTCTAAAATTAGTACGGTCACCGTGTTATATCGTGCAAAGTTGCGAGCAATATTTTAACACGTTCCTTTGTTTCTACCGTGCGAAGCAAGACAATGGCTGCGAAGTTAATGAGGCAAGCAACTTACACGCAGCTAACGTGTTGAAAGCTCGCTCTTTTGTTTTAGCGTGCTAGTGTAACGTGAGCGTGTGTTCACCTTATTCCCTGAAATCCCGTGGAGGGTCACAAATATAAACAAGGGGTCCTAAAATCTCATCCATTACACATTAGCAGGAGTAATGGGCTCCTGACATTAGGGAGAAATTGAAAGATATCGGGCCTAAATGTTGGCTTGAAAGGCTGATAAGCATTTACCTCAGATGTCAGACGCAGGCAAGCACAAACAATCTAAAAAAAATTGGTGCAACACACAACTTTCATTTGGCGCAAGATTTGAACACATCAAGGCAGATGAACAAGGAAACCGACCTTGAGTTGCCACTGCTTTAATGAGAAAATAGTCCTTGACCAGATTACCCGATCAATGAAAATGTTAATCTTAGTGGCAAAGTAATAAAAGGACCAGAAAGCTACTTCAAATCCTTTTTAAGTCAAAGTTTTCATTTTCTATTATTTGAATGTTTCACAGCGAGCGCGAAACTCTGGATTTAAGCGGTATGCGACCTTGAACACTTACCTCATTGATACTATACAATTTCACTGACGCGCTCACCTTTGCCGTGTGAAATTTTTGCTACATTTCCACAATTTATTTTTCCATTTCAGCAAAATAATCCTGATTGCAGTCCAAGACGAGGGCTCAAGATATCTTAAACCAGCTTTTGATGCTCTGATGAAAATTGGGGCCCACGATCTGGACTTTCTTAACCACAGAGGTTCATATGCTCTTGTTGGATACTCGAGGGAGAAGAAGCCATCGTATGTTCAACAAGTACAGAACAAAGGTGGCAAAGGACCAAGTGTGATCTCCACCACTGTTCCACTCACGAAGAGTACGTTATACATATATTTGATAAGTTTTATCCAGTGAAATAAAAAGTAACCTGTGCGATATATTTGTACGGGAGATAGAAAGAGCTTTTCATGGAATGACGCGAGGATTGCTCATAAACTCCCTACTATTGCGAACTTAAGGAGAGCTGTCTTTTCTTTGTTTCTTGAAGAACGGCATTAAACAATTCTCTCAATTTCTCGATGAATGCTTCAGCCGATTGTCTCAGCTGCACGATGTACAAAGAGCGCCATGGACAAGCTGTGTACCCTTCTCAGTCCGCCCTAAGCTCTGTATTTTAAATGTGTTATTGACAGATAAGAGATTGCTCTGTATTTGAAATGTGTTATTTACAAATAAAAGAAAGTAAAAAGACCTTTGGAACCCTATCGTCATTAAATTTCAGAACTTGTCGTTCATCAGTTCTATAAGAACGTTTAAATTGGTGTAACTGATTGTTTTTCCATTGAGAGCTATTTTGTTTCGTCAGAGATGGTTTGTTTGTGACTGGTGCAGGTTTATCTTACTCTTCCCAACCTAAGAAAGACTGAGAGTAGCCCTCGTTGCTAATGAGTGACCTACTCTTGTCGGTTTGTTTACAGATCCTTTTGTAGATATCGATATCCGCAGCGAAGGTTGCAATGATCCAAATAAAAAACCAGACACGTGTGGAATCGCTTACATTAAAGTTGATGGAAAGGACCACTCCCTTCATCGTAGAGGACATAACGTTGTTATTGTGGAACGGAAAACAGGTAAAAACCACTACATTAAAACGGAAAAAGAGCTTGGATAGTTATAATCTAGATATATTAGTATAGACATACTAGATATATTTAGATTTTATGACAAAGTTCGTAATTTTTGTTGTTAAAACTATGCTTTGGCATTGGCCAGACTCGGGGATTGAGGTGATTAGATTGTGCGGTTTCAAAATGAATGTGATAAAGTGGCAATGATTAATCAGGATGAAATAACTCATAGAATAAAAAAGTTGACTTATCATTTTTCTGTTAATTTTCACTTTTCTCCACTGCATGTACCTGTTCCTTTGCGACAGGAATGATGCCAGTTTCTTTTATCTTTATGCAGGTAGAGTGCTTAAATCAGAAGCCTTTGATACTCATGGAGATGGGTCAGCGGGCACTCGTCTAAAGGATTTTCTCAACGCCCAGGGAGAAGAGTAAGCGGTTTTTAGGCTTAAGTTTAGTTTTGTTTAGTTTTATTATTTTTGATATTAGCTATCGCTGTAACTTGAAAGCCGACAATAACAGCTTTAACATCTTTTAAATCCCATACATTTATCAAACATTAGTGTGCTATCCTTAAGCCATGTGATATTTCTTGTTTAGTATTCAAACCTCTCTGATGCAAACATATTTTACCAAAATTCTGGGCTGAAAAACAGCGTTTTCGTACTTATTCTTTGTTTTTCAGTCATTGCGTGTTTTTGCATTTCTTTTCAGTAAAATAGTCCTGGTCGCCGTGCAGGATTCGGCCGCCTCGCACGTTGGAGTAGCTTTAGACTCTCTCAGAAGGGTTGGTGCTATTGATCCTATCCTGGTGGAATTCCGAGGATCTTATGCTCTGATTGGCACCCCGGATGCAAATAAGCCCCCGTGGGTCACACAGGATCAGCACCCTAGATACAAAGGACCGAGTGAGATCTCCATAAGAATTCCTCTCTCAGGTGAAAAAAAAAAAAAAAAAAGCTATTCCCGCGCAACATTTGATTTCAAATTAGACCTTCATTTTGTTGCTGCAGAGTATTTGCCACGGATGAGTGTATGGTGAAACTCAAAATCATCGAATTTCCAGGACAATTGAGTTTAATCGCATTTAAACATTTTAGATTGTCAGAAGGCACTTGGGATGGAAAATTATGGAATACCCAACGGAAAAGTGCGAGCATCTTCGGAATGGGACTCCAACCATGCCGCCATTCAAGGACGACTCCATTACAAACCACCTCGCGGCAAACAAGGAGCATGGTCAGCACGCCATAACAATATAAATCAGTGGCTTCAAGTTGATCTGGGAAGTGCGTTCATCAAAGTAACGGGTGTCGCAACTCAAGGAAGATACAACTATGACCAGTGGGTAACGAAGTACAAGCTGCAATACAGTAATGATGGTGCCACCTTCACCTACTACAAAGAACCTGGACAAACTGCAGACATGGTAAAAAAGAATAAGACATTCAAGTTGATTCATAGGGTTGCTTTAGTTTCTCTCTTACTCTTACGAATTTATCCTCCGCTTTTAACCTTTATATTTTCGCTGTTTTCCTTGAATGATCATCATTCCTACCCCTAATCTGCTGCACAACTTCGTTTCCGCGACTAGTTCAACAGCACTCTCAGTCCCTGTATTTGTCGCTATTTAGTTTTAAATGAAGAGATGCTCTTCCGATCCTTCTCTTTTAGGTTTTTTCTGGAAACACGGACCGGAATACAGTTGTCTATCATTTCCTTAACGCACCAGTTACGGCTCGTTATATCCGTTTTCGACCAGTGACTTGGTCGGGGCATATCTCAATGAGAGTCGAGTTGTATGGTTGCTCAGGTACTGTGATATGTACATGTAATAAGCCCTCCGGTAAATGCATGATGCAAAGTACATGTGGCGTAAATATGGAATACTTCATGGATAGGCTGTCCGTGTGATATTTAAGCACGAGTTGATTTCGAAAATCAAACGAATGAGACTTCTGCTACAAACCTACGAGTGCGTAAAGTACCATACGGACAGACTTTCCATGGTGTAGTACATTTTTTATGAAAATAAGGAAATTTAATTCTTATTTAACATTTTATTTCTAAACAGATTAAATTCAAAGGCTCATAAATCGTTCACGATCGATGAAAATAATACAAATTGCCTTTCCAAGAGAAATAATGCAAGACATTATCGACAGTTAGCGAAGAATGTGAAGATAGCACTCAACACTTGAAGCAAGGCATCCTGAGCTTGAGTGTTGATTTTCATCTATCCTACGCAGTAACTTTAAGAAAAAAATCTTAAGTCTAACCAAACCAGGTTAGGGGCATTAAATTTATTGTTTTTAGTCGCGATAAGATGCAGAGCAGTTGAAGGCCTGTCACATCTCCAGAAAGGGTTTGGTAGTATAAGAAAAATGTCTTTTTTTCGGCTCATCTCATTTTAAGCACGTTTTCCACTCATTTATATCGTGAGTTGATTTCCTAAAGTTTTTTTAGACATGGTAAAAGGCACTGAAGTGGGAAAAGATAATATCTGAAAAAGATTCATCTGCAGAACTTTACTAGCTTTTCTCTTAATACAGTGTCACTGTGCTACAAGAGGGTGACTGCTTTCTATTATTGAGAATATGTTTCACGTTAGTTATTTCTTTTCCTTTCTTTTCATATTTATTCATCTTTACTCATCTATTCATTTGTTTGGTTGCCTTTTTTCTGTTTTTGTTTTTTTGGCTTAATTCTAATAAGCTTGTGAAAAAGCTCTTGGCATGGCAAGTTATGCAATTCCCAACGGACAAGTGAAAGCCTCCTCGGAATGGGACCCCAACCATGCCGCCATTCAGGGAAGACTTCACTACTTACCACCTCCAGGGAAGCAAGGAGGCTGGTCAGCTAAATATAATAAAGCCAATCAATGGCTTCAAATTGATCTGGGTGCGTTGTTCAGAGTGACGGCTGTCGCAACTCAAGGAAGATCCAACTATAACCAGTGGGTGACGAAATACAAGTTGCAATACAGTGATAACGGTGCTACCTTTACTTACTACATGGAGGCAGGGCAGAATGTAGCCAAGGTGACACAAACTGCATGTATAGAAATAAATCACACAAACTTAATCCTTTCTTTATTTTGGTCGAATTTTATTTGAACAGAGCCTAACTGCCTACCAAGAATTTTGTTGTCATCATGTCTTCTTAGTGTAAAGTTATGTATTTCCTTTTCCTGTATTTTTTATATATAGGAATTTGTTGCAAACAAAGACCGGAATACTGTTGTGTATCATTCACTTAATCCGCCAAAAACGACACATTTTATTCGATTCCGCCCGGTCGCCTGGAAAAGCCACATATCAATGAGGGTAGAGGTGTATGGGTGTTCAGGTACAGTTTTACAGAAAGGAGTTTACATTTTCTATTACTAACACATATTTTTAGCATAAGCTATTTCCTTTCTCATTTGCTTGTGTGTTTGTTTGTTTTTTTTTTTTGGCTTAATGCTAATTAGCTTGTGGAGAAGCTCTTGGCATGGCAAGTTATGCAATTCCCAATGGACAAGTGAAAGCCTCCTCGGAATGGGACCCCAACCATGCCGCCATTCAGGGAAGACTTCACTACTTACCACCTCCAGGGAAGCAAGGAGGCTGGTCAGCTAAACACAATAATGCCAATCAATGGCTTCAAATTGATCTAGGTGCGTTGCTCAAAGTGACGGCTGTCGCAACTCAAGGAAGATCCAACCTTGACCAGTGGGTGACGAAATACAAGCTACAGTACAGTGATGATGGTGCTACCTTTACTTACTACATGGAGGGAGGGCAGAGTGTAGCCAAGGTGAAACAAAACTGCATGCATAGAAACACATCGCAAAAACGTAATCAATTTTTATTTTGGCTGAATGATGTATGAACAGGGCCTATCTGTCACCGAGAATTTTGTTGAATTATACCTTTCAGTCAAATTGTAAATGATTGATGCGGATTAGTGGTAACGAGATTGGCGAGTTTGTTAGAAATCTTCTTGCTTATAAAAGAGCTTTCAGACCAGTTCTGGTGTTTGCTCAACATAGGCAGAGCCTTATCATATGAAAAAAAAACTCGGAATTATGGTTTACACGGGTAAGTTTGGTTTTCGCTGGTTCTTCAATCATCTGGTTCTTGCAATCGTCTCGAATCTGAAATTTGTCCGCAGCCATGCTGTGAATAAACCTTCATATTTGAAGCAAAGGACTCCTTACTCCAGCTTACCCTCTTAGTTATAAGTGGTGTTTTTCTTTTTCCTGGATTTTTCTTATAGGAGTTTGCTGCAAACAAAGACCGGAGTACCATTGTGTATCATTCACTAAATCCACCAAAAGTGACACGTTTCATCCGGTTCCGCCCGGTCGCCTGGAAAAGCCACATATCAATGAGGGTAGAGGTGTATGGGTGTTCAGGTACAGTTTTACAAAAAGGAGTTTACAGTTTCTATTATTAGCACACATTTTTAGCATAAGCTATTTCCTTTCTCATTTGCTTGTGTGTTTGTTTGTTTTTTGGCTCAATGCTAATTAGCTTGTGGAGAAGCTCTTGGCATGGCAAGTTATGCAATTCCCAATGGACAAGTGAAAGCCTCCTCGGAATGGGACCCCAACCATGCCGCCATTCAGGGAAGACTTCACTACTTACCGCCTCCAGGGAAGCAAGGAGGCTGGTCAGCTAAATACAATAAAGCCAATCAATGGCTTCAAATTGATCTGGGTGCGTTGTTCAGAGTGACGGCTGTCGCAACTCAAGGAAGATCCAACTATAACCAGTGGGTGACGAAATACAAGTTGCAATACAGTGATAACGGTGCTACCTTTACTTACTACATGGAGGCAGGGCAGAGTGTAGCGAAGGTGAAACAAAACTGCATACATAGAAACACATCGCAAAAACGTAATCATTTTTTATTTTGGTTAAGTGATATATGAACAGGGCCTATCTGTCACCGAGAATTTTTTTGTATTATATTTTTCAGTCAAATTGTAAATGATTGATGAGGATTAGTGGTAGCGAGTTTGGCGAGTTTGTTAGAAATCTTCTTGCTTATAAATGAGCTTTCAGACCAGTTCTGTTCCAGTTCTGTTTCAGTTCATACAAAAAAATCTCGGAATTATGGTTTACACGAGTTAGTTTGCTTTCAGCTGATTCTTCAGCAATCTGGTTCTTGCAATCATCTCGAATCTGAAATTTGCCTGCAGCTATGCTGTGAATCAACCGTCATATTTGAAGCAGAGAACTTCTTACTCCAGCATGCCCTCTTAGTTATAAGTGATGCTTTTCTTTCTCCTGGATTTTTCTTATAGGAGTTTGTTGCAAACAAAGACCGAAGTTCTGTCGTGTATCATTCACTGAATCCACCAAAACTGACACGTTTTATCCGGTTCCGCCCGGTCTCCTGGAAAAGTCACATATCAATGAGGGTAGAGGTGTATGGGTGTTCAGGTACAGTCTTACAGATGGGAGTTCACATCTTACTAATTGCTTAATGGCTCTACGGAAGTGTGACCCTCTCTTAATTGTTTGCATTTGGATGTCAAAAGCTGTTATTTATGCTGTAACAACAAGGTTGTTTTTGGAGGGGGCAGGGGGAAATGGAGGGGAAAACTTAATTCTTATATCCATTGCGATTGCAAAACTACAAATTGCAAACTGAGTCTCGTTACCTATCTAAAATCATTCGAGAAACCCCTCAATTACGCTTATAGAAACTTCACTGGTTCGTTTTTACAAAGTTTTTAAAGCTCTTTTCGACATGTTTCGCCTAGCGTTGTGCTCTATACAAGTGCCTATGATAAGAATTGAATATTTGTAAGTTTTCACTCTATTCCATTTACAACTCATGTCATTTGAACAAGAACAACAGCCGTGAAAAATGACACATTTTATTTTCAGCTAGAGATTATTGTGCACAAAATCCATGCAAGAATGGAGCTACCTGCAGCAATGTCGAGGAAGGTTATCAATGTACTTGTAAACCTGGTTATTCTGGAGCCCAGTGCGATCAAGGTGTAGTTCTATAGAACTTTCAAAAAGTTTTCCCTTTTTATCTATACCTAATAAACTATTTTAAACTATGTATTCTAAGAAAAATATTATCCTAGCTATTTACTCTTCTTCAAAATAAATCACAATAGTCAAACTAACCAAGGTTAAGGAAACGCTTAAATTATATATTGCAGATATAAACGAATGCTCCAACAATCCGTCAAACTTGAATTGAAATTTGGAACGTTCTCAAACGCAAGTCACAAGTCTTTCATTCAGAGAATTTCACGCAATATGAATTTATTTTTGTGCTTGTGAAAGCCGCCCAAAGACTGGGCCCAGATTTTAACGTTAAAAGCGCCTATGTACAGGCAGACATGACTTTCATCTCGTGTTTTTCATATTTATTTTTCATTTTAGTAGCTGCAATTCATTTGCAATCAAAATTATTTAGATAAGTAACTCCAGTAGATTTGTAAAAATGTATCAAAATATCTAACTAATATCTAACGTGGACGACGCTGTTTTACAGAGTTTAACAGAAGGAACTTTACTCCACTCGGACTACAGCTGCAAATTGAATGACTTAATTTTTTTCCTTGCAGACATCAATGAGTGCACTAACAGTCCGTGTCAAAACGGAGCAACGTGTGTAAATCTACAGGGAAGCTATCGATGTGACTGTAAATCTGGATATAATGGGAACAAGTGCGAGAATGGTAAAATATTCTATAGAAATGTTTCTTTTTTATAATAATTTAGCATTATGGTGGTCATCTAGGTAAAAGTAGTTCACTTATGCGCACATTTATTCATAAGTTCTTAATCAATTTTCATCCAATTTTGTTCCCATAGTTTTCTTAGGAAGCAACAAAACCTAAGGCGAGGTCGGAGTGAGACATATAGAGAAAGCAATGTATTTTGCTAGCTTTTAAGGTGGTAACGCCTTGCTTGCGCTAGTGGTCGTTCATTATGAGGTTTACAGTTTTGTGGGCGCAAAGTGATGAGCGGAGAAGGCACGAATCTTCCGTTTCAAACCTTTCGCGGCCTTGTTGCTCATTGTTTTAGAGCGCAAAAAACCTTTCTAAATGCTACCAAGATACTAAACATATTTTTTCAAAACATCCAAAAGAAAATCTTTCGAAAGTTTTCTTGGTTGTCTGATTAGCGGATCTATTAATGGACTGGACCTACTTAAATGTATATGAAATTTTGCGGAGAATGTTGGGGAGAGCTGCAAAAGACCTGGGCCCAGATTTTTTAACGTCAGAAGCACCTAGGTAGAATGGATGCGGGTTTATATCTTGTTTTTTCGTTTTAGCTTTTCATTTTAGTCGCTGCAATACATTTACAAACAAAATATTGGTATAATAATTTCGACAATAATTTTTTACAGCATATTCTACATTTTATTTTCTCCTATTTCAAAATTATTAGAATAAACCAAAAGGAAGAATTGTTTGATTTATATATCACAGATATAAACGAATGCTCCAACAACCCGTGCAAGAACGGAGCCACCTGCGTCAACCTTCAAGGAAGTTACAGCTGTGATTGTAAATCTGGATACAATGGAAACAATTGCGAAAATGGTTAGAAATTGTTTATAAGTTTTCTAGTACTTTTCAGTCTGTTTATTTAAGGTTCAGACGCTTCACAGGAAGCCTAAGTTTAAAATTTTGAATCTTTTTTAATTGATTTTCACATAACGTTCTTTTTGCAAATTTCACAACCTCATGAAAAATTGCGTAGAATACGTAGGAAAACTGCACGAAAACTGGGCCCATGATATAACGTTAGGAGTGCCTACCTACCCGCACATACGGGTTTTTCTTGTGTTTTTTTTTTCAATCTTTTTTTCTATTTTAGTCGCCGTGATCCATCTGTAATCAAAATAGTAAGATTAAAACTGATTGAATAAAACCGGAAAAGAAGGAACGTTTTATTTAAATATATATAGATATAAACGAGTGCTCTAACAGCCCGTGCAAGAACGGAGCCACCTGCGTCAACATTCAGGGAAGTTACCGCTGTGATTGTAAATCTGGATACAATGGAAACAACTGTGAGAATGGTTAGAATTCCTTATTCAGGATGGTATTTCTTTTGTTACTCAGACTTTTTTCACAAGACTTTCCTTTGGCAAATTTCACGCCAATATGAAAATTCGCGTAGAATATTGTTAAAACTGCGCAAGGACTACGCCCAGATTTTAACGTTAGGAGTGTCTAAATACACGAAGATATGGGTTTCATTTCGTTTTTGTTCTATTTTTTCCATTTTAGTCGCAGTAATCCATATGAAATCAAATTATTTAGATTAGTAACTCCAACCACTTGGTTAAAAATAAGAAAAAGACTACTAACTATTTACCCTCCTTCAAAATAAATCACAATAGTAAAAAAAATCAAGGCGTAGGAAACACTTTATGTATGCTTTACAGATATAAATGAGTGTTCCAACAACCCGTGCAAGAACGGAGCCACCTGCGTCAATCTTCAAGGAAGTCATCGCTGTGATTGTAAATCTGGATACAATGGAAACAACTGTGAAAATGGTTATAAGTCACCTACATTTTTTTAATTCGTTCTCAGTCTGTTTATTAGAATTTGCATTTCTTTTGTTACTCTAGCGCTCCGCAGGAAGCCTGAGTTGAAATTTGGAATGTTTTCAAATAACACGTATTCCTTTCACTTAGGAAATTTTACGCTTGTATGCTTGTGAAAGCCGCCCAAAGACAGGGCCCAGATGAAAACGTTAGGGGTGCCCAAGAACACGCGGATATGGGTTTCATTTAGCATTTGTCCTATCTATTTTTTTCCATTTTAGTCACTGTAATCCATTTGCAATCAAAATATTAAGATTATGACTCCAATAAATTTGTAAAAATGTATCAAAATATCTAACTGAACGAAGCACCGTGGTGGACGACACTCTTCTACCTGGTTGAACGGAAGGAACTTGACTCAACTCGGACTACAGCTGCAAATTGATTGACTTGATTTGTTTGCTTACAGATATTAATGAGTGCACCAACAGTCCGTGTAAAAACGGAGCAACGTGTGTAAATTTACAGGGAAGCTATAGATGTGATTGTAAATCTGGATATGATGGGAATAACTGTGAGACTGGTAAGTAATGTTTCCTTCAGCACTACTTTGCTGTGTTTACTTTTATCGTATTTTGTTGCTGATGTTGTTTTATGCCCTTGTGGATGGCCTCACTGAAGCAATGGAACCATCTGTGTGAATCTTCAAGAAAGTAATCGCTGTGACTGTAAATCTGGTAACAAAGGAAACGACAAATACACTGACGTAAAATTCAATTTGAATAAGGTGTTTTTTTGATTTGCTAGTGTCCTCGTTACCTTTGTTAACTTTCTTTTGTTTCTGCTGTAGTTGTTGTTGTTGGTATTGGTGTTGTAGTTGTTGTTGTTGTTGATGTAGTCGTTGTTATTGCTGTATTATTTACGGATTGTTCAAAGGTAAGGAGAAAAGGGTCCAATTTTTTCGTATAGATTAGTTCCAAGTCCAAATTGTGGCAGAAACCCATTTCTGCGACATCAAATTTGAGAAAGCAAAACACAACATGGATATATGTGGCGTTTAATGTCTGTTTACTATTTACCATGTATCTTCCATGACAACAGAAACTTAGTCTTTCGAGCCTGCCGTTTTGAAACGTTTTCTTAGCTGGTGGCTACCACTTTTCAACTTAAAGTTGAGGTCGGATTGAAACTGTAATTTGACATCCGTTGATTTGGCAACGATCCTTTAGGGAACTATTTCACAGCAATTTATACATTTTATTTTTTTCTATTTAAAAATGATTAGGGAAAAACAAAAAGAAGAAACGTTTGATTTATATATTACAGATATCAACGAGTGCTCCAACAACCCGTGCAAGAACGGAGCCACCTGCGTCAATCTTCAGGGAAGTCATCGCTGTGATTGTAAATCTGGATACGATGGAAACAACTGCGAAAATGGTAAGAAATTGTTTATAAGTTTTCTAATACTTCTGTCTGTTTATCTAAGGTTGTATTTCTTTTGTTACTCAGACGCTTCACAGGGAGCCAAAGTTTAAAATTTTGAATCTTTTTAAATGCTATTCACATGACGTTCTTTGTGCAAATTCACGCACAAATGAAAATTTGTGTAGAATACGCAGGAAAACTGCACGAAAACTGGGCCCATATTATAACGTTCAGAGTGCCTAAGTACACGCAAATATGGTTTTTTTCCTGGGGTGTTTTTTTCTCTATCTTTTTTTCTATTTTAGTCGCCGTAATCCATCTGCAATCAAAATAATAATAAGTTTCAAAAATAATTAAATGAAACCGAAAAGAGGGAACGTTTTATTTAAACATTACAGATATCAACGAGTGCTCCAACAGCCCGTGCAAGAACGGAGCCACCTGTGTCAATCTTGTGGGAAGTTACCGCTGTGATTGTAAATCTGGATACGATGGAAACAACTGTGAAAATGGTAAAATATCCCTTAGACTTGTGTTTTTTTTTTAGTAGGCAATCTGTCCACTTAAACTAGATCACTTATCTGCATTTTTTTAGTCAGACTCTTACCAATATCCTTCTTCCGAAAAACTAGATGGTCTTTCTCGTAGGGTTTTACTTGAAAGGCATTGAAAACAACAGAAATAAAGCATAGGCAGTGAGCCTTTTAACAAATGACCAAAACGTTTGAAATCCGATGGTGACGCCAATTTTTTTTGTTTGTTGGTACACTAATTCACTTACCACTGCGTTTGAAATCCGATGGTGACGCCAAGTTTTTTTTGTTTGTTGGTACACTAATTCACTTACCACTGCGACCTCAATTCATCATGAAAATTGAGATTTACTACGAAATAATTTTATTTAGTGTTGACATAAATTTAATTCGTGTTTTGCAGATGTCAACGAATGCACAAACAACCCCTGCAAAAATGGAGCTACTTGTGTCAATCTTTCAGGAGGTCATCGCTGTGACTGCGCCAAAGGTTATTCAGGGAGTTCTTGCGAAACAGGTGAACATAACACATGGACAAATTGATAATGACATTTGGAAAAATTCATTAAACGAGTAACTGGGGGTCGATACAAATAACTTATCAATCGAACCTGTTTTCTTTCTTACATGTGAAGTCACACCCTATATGATTTCGACTTTTCGTATACCGCTCTTAGTATACAACCGATCAGTTAATTTTTGTTCTCATGGTTTTCTTAGGAAGCAGTAGAACCTTAGAATGAGGTGGAATGAGATAATATTTTGGTTTAGAAATTCTCAAGGTTATTTAGGGCTTTTAAGGGGAAAAAAAAGTATTTTGCTGCTTTTTAATAGCCATGATACCTCGCTTGCGGAGCTAGTGGTTCCGTGTGCGCTTCATAGTTTTGTGGGCGCAAAGTGATGACCGGAGAAGGCACGAATCCTTATTTTTAAGCCTTTTGTGGCTGTGCTGCGCATGCTTTGGTGCACGCAAAACCTCTATTAATGCTACCATGGTTCATAATATTTTTTTAAAGAGATCTTCCAAAGGATTTTTTAATTGTCCGAGTAGCGTATATATTAAAGGACTGGACTAAATTTGAGCAGGTGACATCACGTCTTGGATAATTTTGACGGTTCACATTAAACCCATTTACAGGAGAGAAATTTTATTTAACTAGCTTTAAATGTAAGGCCATTTTGTGGATTTATAGCTATCAACTACTGTGCTCCGGATCCTTGTTTGAACGGTGGTACGTGTGTTGATCTTGTTGATGGCTTCCGTTGTGATTGCGCGGCCGGATGGCTTGGTATTATTTGCGATGGTGAGTCGTCCTTTAATCATGGATCGTTTTCACAAGATATCTCGGCAACCATGTTGGTGAACTAAGTCGGTTCCGAGAGAATTGAACGCTTTGCTGATGTAAATTCACAAACTACATTTTTACAACTTTAGATATTAATCATTGTTATCAGATGGCGAACATGGCTCACTTATTGATTTAAAAAAGTAGCTCTGAGTGCCTTTCATTCACGTTTTCAAATGATCTACAAAACACATGGGTTAAATTGAAAAGAGGAACAATCATATGAAATTTAGCGAACCAACAAAATCAGAGAGCATATTTGAACCTTTGGCTGGCAGGTAGTTGTTTAGGTATGAGAGCACCTTGTTAAAGTCTAATATTCCATTTATCTTCTGTGTATTTCTAGAACCAGAGGTGGACGAGTGCGAGGAATAAATCAAAAGGAAATAGAGGATGCATCGATCTCAATCAAAACTTTTGTTAGACAAGCAGGAACAATTTGCACTGTAACACATAGGCAGAAGAATAAAGTTTAATTCTGGAATGTTGTGCAATTATGTTAACTTAAACATACGAAATATTTATAAACTTGTTTTGTTTTGTTTTGTTTTGTTTTTAAAGCATTGTATTGTTAATTTAACCACGGCTATAAAGGAGTAAAAAGAAAACTCCGATCCTGACCTTTAAAACTGTGGTAATTTAGTATTAACAACTGAGTTGATAACAAAAATGGCCGCCGTAAAGAGTTAAAAAGCTGACATTTCGAGCGTTAGCCCTTCGTCAGAGCGATTGACAAAGGGCTAACGCTCGAAACGTCAGCTTTTAAGAGCGACGGTCAGGAAATATCGACCAAAATCTTAATTTCGTGGCAAGAGTTGAAAAATCGCTTTCTTTCGTTTTTTGCCCATAAGTAGCTTTTAGGTAGATAAGATACCTGATGTGGATTGTTCCTGCCAAAAGCTTTTTATTTTTTAGAAAAATTAGAATATCGGTTTTTGTGGTCGGAGTCACAAAATTGGCTAATCATTTACGTGAAATTTGCATACATCAACTTGCCTCTCGTTCGCAAACAAAGTCGTACGGAGAAATTTGGACACTTTATTCCAACAGAATCACTGTTCTTCTTTTACTAGAAGATTCTTTTAGAGCAAAAGCGACACTCACCGAGCAGAAATTATTTAAAAATGAGGAATAGGTTTTATGATTAACAAAAACTCCGTTTTGTTATTGATTTTCGACGGCAATATTGCATATGTGGTATAACTCCAAATTGACTTCATTCTAGTTAAATCCCACATTTATACATACATCTAAAATATACCTGGGAATTAGCTTGGGTTATTGAAGGAAATCTCTATAAGGCGGTATCGAAGTTAAGGAATTTTCATGGTGGGTCGGCGGTAATTGTGTAAACACTTCCAGTTTCGAAATCCATGAAAGTGGATATTTGATCCCCAAATACTCATTTTTCTTAATCCTTGTAGGTTTTACAGTTGCAAAGTTGTGTTTCTACTTAAAGAGTGAGATAGAAAAGCCAAACTGGGTGAGTTTTGGCCATTTTGAAACGCTACACTCTTTTTTTCGTGACTAAACGTGATATTGGGGAGTCGATCAGTCACGGAATCACAATATTAACAATGCACTTCTTGACGTCGTATAAGAACAGTGTAAGGGTATAATTGAATGAGTAAAACAGCAAGTTTTGGAAAATATGGCTCTCAAAAGTCGGTTGCCATGGTAACGTCAATGCTGACGTACAAGTCACGACGACTTTAAAATGTCCCCAGATGATTTTTAGGAAAAGTCGCTGGGTTTGGTGCTCAAAGCTTGAGTGGCGTGTACATCAATTCTTTATCCAAACCACTAGAACAAGTGTAATTTCCAGTTTCATTTTGTTTTGAGGACATAATAGATTCCCAGAGAAGATCTAGATCATTAGGCGCTATTTCACCAAGAACAGCTGAAACCGCTTGCTTGGCTTTGCGCTAAGGTGGTCAATAGGTTCTTCCAACTTCATTCCTGTAGTGCTTGTCTCGGTTTCTTCTAGGAGGGTTGCTGGTAAATATAATGACGTTTCTTGATCTAGTAAGTCATGTGCTACCACCGAACAAGGAGTACTTGCAGCAATTGGAAGGTTACACATCACGCCCTAGACAAGGACGCAAAATAAATATAACGTAAACTGTATTAAAAAAAAATTAATTGGGTACATAATTATCAAAGTTAACCAACACTTAGACAAAGATCAATAATCCCTCCTGATCTTTGTTGCCTTTATTATGGACTAAAAATAAAACCTTTTTTGCTGCCTTAATTTATGATAAAAAGTGCCTAATTTATTACATAAAATACCTTTCATTATGACAAATAAGTACGAACTTTAAAGCGAGTAGTAAAGGAACCCGGAGTGGTATATTGGAAACCCGAAACGTTTTTTGGGCGTTATTCACCGTATTCTTAACCTTGAGAAAATCGCATGAACTCGTATCCCTGGCGGTATAAGGTGGAGGGATGCGTGTGTGTAGGTGGGGGCAATTGGAAGCAAAAATGCAGTTTTTTTTAAATGAACCCTTTATTCTTAAAAGAACAATTTGGCCTCAGCTTACCATCGCGGACTACGTGGTTTTTAACTTGTTGCCACTGCTTCAAGTTCTCATCAGATTTTGGTGAGAATAAAAATAGAAAATCCGCTAAATAAATTTCAACTGTGTGCAGACGCAAGGGCGACATAAAATGCACGGGGTATTAAACCTCTTCATTATCTGCGGAACTCAGGAAAAACTGACGTAGAAGGCACAAAATAAGCATATGGCATTGTTTTCTTGGATACCAGCACACAGTCTGAGGTCCACGAAATCGGTTAATTTGTGCTTTCTATCCCTATTCGTTACATTTCAAGGAAAGGCAGTAAGGAAACGGGGCCCGCTCATGCAGATTTTGTGATGATAAGGTCCCTATCCATTTTTTTTTTATCTTTTTTGCCCCGCGGGCCTTGTTTGGTGCCATTGTTAATAACACTATTTCCATTGAGTGCCATTTCAGAACTTACAGAAGTCTCAATGGTCTCAGTTTCCTCGTAAGAAAGGTTCTTGGTCTCCGGAAGCTTTGTGGGCAGCTCCCCTATTTTCTACATGTCAAGATTAACCCGGCAGTTGCGACAAATACCTGTTGAGTGAATCGATGGAAAATGCAGGTTTTTGCTGACACGATATAATCACTATTCTGAACAACTACGGTCTTAATTTACACAAGTAAGGGAACCTGTTTTAAAAAACTTAAATGATAGATTTTCCTGCCCTTTCATATACTTCAACCCTTCGATTCCCTACCCTTTGATATACCTGAAGCCTGATAAAGGTACCCTTTAGGGGCTGAGTCTCCCTGTAACTATCTATAAGCCATCAGGGAATCTTCTTTAAAAAGCTGTAATTTTAGGAGTCCGGTGAAGGCTTCTAAATTTACCTTTTTGCTGCTACAATCACTAATATAAAATGTTAGAGTAATGAAAGGAAAAGAAACACGTAAATAAACAAAGGCTATTGAATTTGCGACCGTCACGGCTACTTAATTATTGAAAAAGTCAAAAAAAAAAAAAAAAAAAGAAAAGTGCTTACAAAGTGCTTTAATTGAAGTGTCAGATTGGACCGCCATTTTAGAGCTGGTCTGTTTGGTTGAAAAAGATGAAAAATGATGTATACATACCTGAACCAACTGGAATAAAAATTCCCAGTTTCTTCCATATCAAATAACAAGCACTTTTGCCAAGTCCTCGTTCTGCCTTTGCGTTTTTTGGGCTTGTCCGCCGTGCTTCGAGATTAGCGAAGGAACTCAGCACAGATTCGATCCTCGACGCCACCCAATACCAAGGGATGAGCGGTGCCGGGGACAAATCGTTAATTCCGAAAGGTCTAACTCCTAAGAAAAGGATGTAGATACTCTTTCCAAAATAAGTTCGATTTCGGTTTCTACATCACTTATTGACAAGGAAGACTTATGAACCGCGATGTCTCTTTTGCAGTTCAGAAATGGAATAACCTCAGTTGATCTGCTCCTATCTCTGGGGTCATAAGAGCAAGAACCGCCGACTAAGGAGCTAAAAGAGCACTTAACGTCCATGATGACACAAAACTGGCAAAACAAATTCGCTCCAATTTCGCTAATTAAATATTCCCTCTTTGTATTTAATTGACTAATTCAATTTACTATGGCTAGTAAACTGCTTCGAGCTTCAGCCAACTCTGTCATTTCTTCAACAAATAATAGAAATGAATCCTCACAATTGAAGAAAATATCAATTTAAAAAAGAATCTATGATTTTTGTCTTTCTATTCCGATTCTTCTGAAACCAAAGGAAGCGGAAAAAACAAGTATAAAAGTTAAACAGGTTAGCCGAGAGCTAATCAAATTTCATCCTGATATTTATCAGGGAAAACATCTTTCACTGAAAAGGAAAACTTCCACCTTAACAATGAGAAAAAATAACCTCTCTTTGGCCGATTACCTTTTTTTCAATAAAAAAGGACGAAAAGCTCACACCAGAATCGTTTTCAGTACGCTTTCGTGTATATTCCGGCCTGCTGTGTAAAAACTCCGCTTGACGTTACGGTCACGCAACAAGAATTGTTTACTCAGCCGTTGTAAAAAATTTGAATGAATTACTGTCATTTCAAAACCTTCGCGTGAGGCGCTGTAAAGAAAACCCATGCTGATTCTAACATATTATCAAGGAAAACCTTAAATCCCTCTAACGACATAGTTAAAAGGAAAATCTGAATTATATCACATAGTGAAAAAAACATATGAATTAAGGAGGTATTTGCGGGATTTTTCACGGTTGAAAATACAGCACTTTCCTGCGCGTTGTTTGCTATTTATGAACAACAATAAAGATAAGTCATATAGTTTCTGGGAAAGTACGGCACTCACTCTATCAAAATTCGGTGTCATGATCCTTTGAATCGTTTTTCCTTGAAGACCAAAAGTCAGTTTAAAATATCAATTTCACACTTGCTTGCGGGACCTTTCGGGATCGTCGCGGGTCAAATTCGTTTTTCTCAGTTTTCTCAGAATTAAAGCGCTCCGGAAGAAAAAGAAATACATGAAATTTCTTCTATTCTTAGTAGCTTTTTATAGTCAGAAAATAAGCGAAATTAATTTTTCAACTCTTGCCACTCAATGGTCGATATTTCCTGACCGTCGCTCTTAAACTCTTTACGGTGGCCATTTTACGTTATCAACTCAGTTGATAATACTAATTCACCCTGTTATACTCTCCCACCGACACGACACCAGAGTTTCCATAAAAACTTGCCCCCCTTAAAAATGTGGTTTTTACTGCATTATTCGACTTCACCCGGAGAGTGGGATCTGGAAAATTGGCACGTCAGTACCAAATACAAGATGAATGCATCAGGCCCAACTTTTTGTGTATTTTTTTTATCTTAAATATTTGATTTTTATCTCTTTCTACCATTCCGGAAAGCTTATGGGATAGACAGAGAATCTAACTTCGGCTGGAAACCCAAAGTTCCTTTATCGAGGACTCGACTCAGGATTCGTGTCATAGCGCTGTATTAAAATCACTGCGTTTCGGTTCGTTTAGCACCTGACCACACTGAGAATTTCTCACGTCTGTTTTTACACTTGACATTAAAAAAGAAAAAAGAAAACCAACAAAAAAAACGACGATTTATTAGATATGTATGACCAATTTAGATTACTGAAATGAATTCCAACTAAAGGTATCATAAAACGAATGTTAAAATCATCCTAAAATGAAACTACTGCCGACTTCTAATCATATTATAAATTCTGAAAAGTGTCTTGTATCTACGGCATATCTTAAATCAATCACTGGTTTCTTTAATTTTTACCGTTTTTTTTTTTTTTGCTTATTTTGATTTTTTTTATTTTTAACTTTGTATATAAACCACTTAGAACCCATGATTCCTCGATTCATTCAGACGAGGGGCTAACGCTCGAAACTTCAACTTTAGAATCTCTTAAAGGTGGCCAATTTTCACCATCCATCTAGTTAATAAAACCAAACGAATCTTTTTGGTTTTTATTGAGTATTAAAAAAAAACAATGACTTCAAACATCGAAAAAATGTTTGTAGATCTATGTCACAGCGTTAAGTGTTATTAGAACGTGATAACATGTAGTGTGGGAGTTTAAATTTTGTTTGAACTGCTTGAAATGTGTGTTTTTTCTTTAGGACTTCCTGTCAATTTCTTGTCATTGACATGTTTCCATATATTTTCTGTCGAAGTGAAATTCTGCTTTCGTTGCCTTTTTTAAAAAATGTTGCTGTAGTTGCTGTTTAGATTCTTCGATTACACATGCTGCAACATTATTCTGATTTATTTTTTTTGTTCATGAGTAGTTCAATACAATTGAAATTGAAAAATGAATACGAAATAATAATAACCAAATGTGTGACTGAGAAAGACAACAAGGTGAAAAAAGGAATGATGGACTAAACATGCATAGAGAAGTGTCAGAAAAGATGCCTTACAAATTATTATTGACTAACAATTGAACTAATTACATGTATTTTTGCAGCGTTCTCAGCACATTATCCATTTTGAACTATGGTATATTCTTCTTTAGAAGAGTTCTCGAGATTATAGACAGAGGATGAACATTATTCTTTTCAAGTCTCTCAAAGTCGTAAGAATTTCTTCTACAAAACTTGTCATTGATTTGAATTAGTTCAAGTTCAGAAATGAAGTTTGATGATATAACAAATATTAGCGCAGCTTGGTGACGAAGCTTTAAGGCTGTACTGTTTTAATGAAAGCAAGGATGGAGGAAACAAACCTAATTAAATAAAATTATAAACTGTGAAATAAATTGTCCGCGAAATCGAATATTGTTTTGTCAAAAGCGAAAAGAAATAAACTTAGAGAGAATTTCTTTTAGCCGCCTATTTCAGATCAAAAGTATATACTTGAATTCGTGGTTTCGCATCTTAAGAAACATGATTTAGTACTGATTTGATGAAAGTTAATTAGGTACTAAAGCGTTAATGTTGATTCAACTGTTCATTGCTTACATGATACAACACGCATATCTATGAAAAAACATAAATTACAAATTGAGGTAACGAGATCTTGGGTTTAACTTTACACAGTTTTTAGAAAGGTCAGAAACCATTCTTTGTTCGCCCTACTACCCTAACATACACAGGATAGAAAAAAAAAGAACGAAAGGTAGGTAATTCGATCCCAGGTAAAGTTACTCCAAATATTTGCGGGTCAACCTTGATCGAAATACGTTTCCTCAAAAATAAGTTAAAATCTTAAGATGTGCGTGGATTATTGATAAAATACATTTTCATAAATAATAGATGTGATGTTCACTGTGAAGCGTAAATTCCCTTGCTACCTTTTCGTGGCAAACAGCCAACACAACTTTTACTATCTAAACGTTTTAGTGCGGTATCAATTTTTCATCAGGATCCAGACCTTTTTTTTCGACTTTAAAAAATATACTGTATCTTATAGCGGGAAAGATCAAGAAATGTTCAATCGTTTCTTCTTAAATTGGAAAACATCTAGTGTCTATGGTCAGAATTTCTTCTCGAATGGATAGTCGAAATCGCGGCTTCGAAAAGGAACTCGTGCAATAAATGTTGTGACCATCGTTTCGCAAAATGGTATTAGCGTATAAAAAAAGGCACGCTTGTTACTAGGTGTTAGCACGATTATATTAATTCTTGGAAGGTTTCGTGTGTTGCAGAAAACCATGAATGATTGCTAACCTGTGAGATGTTAATTTTTAGAGCCCGGTTTTTGCGCTGTTACTTTTTTGATTTTATTTCAATTTTTCAATTTTTTTTGTAATAAGAATTAGATAATCAGTTCCCTACGCATTGTTTGATGAGTTTTGGCGGAATATATTTACCATGGCAACGATATATGACGTCATAAGTAACCAAGTAACCGGAAGCCGAGACCTACCTTCATATAATTCCCCTGGTTGCAATTTACTTAATATTAAAAAAAATCAATTCGATTACGTCAACCCTACCAACTTGAAGGGTACGAAGTTGGCCTCATGTCCCAGCCATAGTATGCCTGGTAAGCCTGGTCTTGTGCAGCCTATCCCACTTTTTTCATACCTATGTGTGTGGGTTGGTATGAAAAGGTCTTATTTTACCGACCTATTCCACAGATACGGTGAACTTCATAATGAAGAAGTTTTTACTGTTTTCCATGGCCACCCTAATGATGATGGATCAGTGCTGGAGCCAGTGCAGAACAGCAAACTGGTGGGGTTCGTTTGACAAAGAGGGATGGTCCAAGTGTGGATCTTCTGTTGAATACCTGAAAGGGTTTTATAGAAATAACAAGAACAACAACGACCCAATTTATTTGCTTGAAGAAGGAAGATGCTGTAAGGCACCTCCACCCAATCAAAACCAAGCGTCTACTTGTAAAAATGCAAACTGGTGGGGAGTACTGGACAAGTGAGTATCTTCTTACGTAGATTACTTTGCCAACACCACTTTCAGCAGCTACCGGTTCATTTCTCGCCCACCATCTGATAAACACTGTTCAGCATCGGTGGTCCCTGATAAGAAAATGAGACGGGTGATGTAAAAATTGAGGTTAACATAAATATTTGCATTTTTCATCTATATCAATCTGTATTTTTCGCCGTCGATGAGGTTGTGTTAAAACTTGGGGAAGTACAATGTAAGTATCTCATCCACTTTCTTCTGATGGTTTCAAGGTATTTTGAAAAGAAAAGTTACTCCCTTTCATCCCATGAACGCAGATGACGTTGGCCCCACAAGTTCATCCTAAGGTTCCTAAATATGAGAGTAACTTTCCACGTTATTCGAAGATTAAAGTTTTTCTTTTACGAGAGAAAATTTTCCTATATTTTCATCTCTAGGACTAATCGTTGGGCCTTTTGTCCAACTGGATATTTTTTGCAAGGGTTGTACCGCTCCAAAAACCACAACATTCACAACATAGAGGAAGGCCATTGCTGTAAGCCCAACAACTTGCCAAGTAGCTACCTGCGCTGTTATGAACATGACATCTCCTCATCATTTGATAACAAAGGCTGGAGTGAGTGTGATAGCGATCATTACTTGACAGGCGTTTACAGAGGAGGCTGTGACAAGTTGCAATGTATCGAAAAAATCAAATGCTGCATGATGCCGGATAGCTGCAAGATGGCAAACTGGTGGAAAGCTTTTGACAAAAAAGGCTGGGTCCAATGTGATTCAACAAAGCATTACATCACTGGGCTATATCGGAATAATAACTGGGGCAAAAAAGATAAGATCTTCCTACTAGAAGAAGCGAAGTGCTGCCCAGCTCCCCCTCCATATCAAAACACGGGATCGACTTGCAGAGATGCCAATTGGTGGGGTGTTCTCGATAAGTAAGTTATCAATAATACATCAAAAAATCAGTTAAAGTTTATTTTCTTATCATTTTGTCTTTTTCCTCCGCACAATATATACATCGCTCTACTCCTATGTATTGAGCACTGTTTTACGAAAGTCAAAATTTTACACTTTACACACACACACACACACACACATATATATATATATATATGTTTGCAATAACACAAATATGGATTCGTTATAAAGGAATAAACTTTCCTCTTAATTTTCCTTTTATAAGAACAAACTCCTGGGCTGTGTGTCCTGCTGGCTATTTCGTGAGAGGCTTTTACCGAAATAACGATGCTTGGTTGCATCACTTAGAGATGGGCAAATGTTGTAAGCCCAATGGTTTTCCAGATAGATATGAACATTGTTACAACGAGGATGTCAAGAGCTCGTTTGACAGAAGAGGCCTCAGCAAGTGTCAGAGAGAAGGTTACTATTTGGCTGGAATTTTCAGAGGAGGATGTGACTATTTGTACTGCATCGAATCTTTCAAATGCTGCAAGATGAATGTGGGTGAGTAAAAGATTCTTGTGAATAAGTTATTCTTGTTGATCAGTTTATCAGCTCAAAATGTACACTGTACACTGTATCTTTCCTCATGCAAAAATACGAAAGCTTGTAAAAAGAGAAACGAATTCTTGCTCGATGAAGCAACAACCACAACAACAACAACAACAACAACAACAACAACAATAATAACAATCTGATACCTCAGTACTTAAAAATTGTTTGCTTTTGCTTCCACATATACGGGTAGATGAGTGTAGAACCAAGAATCCCTGTCAAAACGGTGCGGCTTGTTCCGATCAACCAGGGACGTACAAGTGTACCTGTAAATCTGGATTTACAGGGAAGAACTGCGAAAGTGGTAAGAGAAGTTCCCATACGACTAGAAGTTGTTCCAACACATAATAGCACGGTGATCATTTAAAGTATCTTAAAAGCTGGGAAAGTCCAGTTAGGTCATCGGGTGGCGACGTAAGGATTCTATACGAAAATAATCTATACAAATGGTAAAGTTAGCTTAAGCTTTATTTTTTCATTATGAAGAATTAAAAGCGAAAACAACAATTTTTAAAACAGCCATTTAAACTCGATAACGCGGTTGCAAGACAGCTTCTTATCCCCATAACAGATCATTTTGGCGGCACATTTTTTTGCCGAAGCCTTTATGGAGTAAAGCTAACCTTTTGCTCTAATTAAGTGTGGGGGAACAAAGAATATAACTGAAAGAAACATTATCTTGCAGACATAAATGAATGCTCGAAAAGTCCATGCAAAAATGGAGCCAAATGTGTAAATCTTAAAGGAAGTTATCGTTGTGACTGCAAATCTGGATACACTGGAAAAAACTGCGCGTCAGGTCAGAGGAAACAAAATTATGTGACTACATATGTTGCCTGTGGGCCGGTTATTGTATAACGTGCGGGTAGCTTTGTTTAAGTTGGTTTTAGAAACCTTAAGAAAAAAAAAAGGAGTGTTGCCAGGGAAATTCTTTTAATTCTGCTTAAATAGATTACTATTTTACCATAATGCAAAAACGATAACGATGACAATAAAAAAAAAATATATATATATATATATAGATCAGCATGATAAAAATTATTGGTTTTTAAAGATTGAAATATTTCAATGTCGTATCATCGCAGATAAAAACGAGTGCAGCGCTAATCCCTGCAAAAATGGAGCCACCTGTGTCAATCTTCAAGGAAGTTATCGCTGTGATTGCAAATCTGGATACACTGGAAACCACTGCGAGTCAGGTATAAAAATGATTTGTGCAATGTATGTTATTGCCGCCCTCATCTTGGAGAAGTAGGTAGATTGAAAATTGTATCTGATTTCTGAGTCTAATATTATCACAGATAAAAACGAGTGCAGTACAAGCCCGTGCAAAAATGGAGCCACCTGTGTCAATCTTCACGGAAGTTATCGCTGTGATTGCAAATCTGGATACACTGGAATGCACTGTGATTCAGGTATAAAAATGAGTTCTAAAATGCGTGTTTTTGGTGCATTCTTAAGAGGACTTTCGTTCCACAAGATGGGCGGAACGTATGTAACTTTTAAGAGAAACCAGTCTCATTTTTTTTCTTTTCTTGTGATTTTATCTTACAGATGTAAATGAGTGCAATAACAATCCATGCAAAAACGGGGCTACATGTGTTAATCTTCAGGGAGGTCATCGTTGTGATTGTAAAAGTGGATATACGGGAAGCAGTTGCGAATCAGGTAAACTTGGATGCATTTCATTGCTAAAATGTTCCTCTTTGTTCGTGTTACTGAAGTAAAACAAAATTTTTATTTAAAATCAGTTCAAAAATACTTTTGTGGCAGTTGAAGCCTGTCAATAATTTTTGGTTTATTCTTATTTTTCAAACAGATATAAACGAGTGCTCCAATAGTCCATGTAAGAACGGAGCCACATGTGTCAACCTCCAGGGAAGCTATCGCTGTGATTGTAAGACTGGTTACACTGGAAACAACTGTGAGACAGGTATTGATTTGTTTGAAACTTAAAATTAAATGAATCATTAAATAACACGTATTACATTTGGTTTTTTTTTGTTTGTTCACAAACACTGGGAATTTTTGTTGGGGTGAATTAAAGCGTACGGAGTTGCCTCTTACTCCCGTGTTGCGTGACAAATAGAAAAAGCACAATTAGCTAATTTTGCCTCCTAAGGTGGGCTGAATGTGTGTAAATTTGAAGAATAACCACCTCATATTTTTCTCTTTTCTTGTGATTTTATCTTACAGATGTTAATGAGTGCAGTAACAATCCATGTAAGAACGGGGCTACATGTGTTAATATTCAGGGCGGTCATCGTTGTGATTGTAAAAGTGGATATACAGGAAGCAGTTGCGAATCAGGTAAACTTGGAGGCATTTCATTGCTAAAATGTTCCTTTGTATTCGTGTTACTCATTCGACATTAGATTTCATCCACAAGGTTTATGTGCTAACTGACGCTTGTCAAGAATTCATGGTTTATTCTGATCTCTTAAACAGATATCAACGAGTGCTCTAACAGTCCATGTAAGAACGGAGCCACATGTGTCAACCTGTCAGGAAGCTATCGCTGCGATTGTAAAACTGGATATACTGGAAACAACTGTGAAACCGGTGCGCAACTACCTTTGATCACTTAATTAGTTAACGCTAGTAAGTTAGATACTAGGTAAAGGGGTTGATTTCTAAAGAAATTGAGTTAGTGTGTTGTCAGAGAGAAAATGAGTCGTAAACACTGTAATCACGAGTCACTTAGTCATTATATCAATTAGGAAGCCTAGATGTGTGTTTATTTATGACTTTACTTACATACAATGCGTCATTTTTAAGTTATAAGTACATGCACACAATTCTCTAAAGAAGTCATGCTAATAACTACAACAGTTGTTTATTCACTGTATTTGACTCAGCATCTTTTATGGATATTTTTTATTTATTTGCAAAGGAAGCCTGATGAAAGAAAAACAATTAAATAAAAGGGTACTAAAATATTAAAAAGAAAAGAAGCCTCAACCTAGCTGTGTTCTATTGTAAAGTACACAGGAAGCGGTTAGAGCAGAAAGAAAGGGAAACACATGACATTGCTGAGTGGAAAAAAAAAAAAAAAAAGAAATTAAGACAGTGCCTAAAAAGGAACTTCTGTGTGAATTGCTGCGATTTTATATGCCAATACACAGGAAACAACTTTTAAAGCGGTTTTCAATTATTGTATTTTGAACCCTTTTGCTTCAAATACATTATTCGACGAGCTGAAGAGGGTTATGTCCAAAGCAACCTTAAATGTGGGGATTGGATTCGATATTAAATGTACTGTCTATTATTTTCAGACATTGATGAATGTTCGAACAATCCCTGCCAAAATGGAGCTCTCTGTGCCAACCTTCAGGGAAGTTATCGCTGCGACTGCAAGACTGGTTACACTGGAAACCAGTGCCAAACAGGTATGAGCAATCAGTGAATAAGATAACAAAGTTAGATCAATTATTATGTTCGTCGATTGATGCGGAGAAATGAAATAGAACTGGTTCTTAATAATCAACGAATATGTAGTGAATACCTTTCAATCGGAGTTTGCAATATACCGTGTACAATGAGTTTAATACAACCCATTCTACCTACTGTAACTTGTTCTTCTTTGCATCAGTATAGCTTAATAGTAAAGCATAATCAGAGGTCATTTTCCTCTTATATCAAACCTGTCTATTCCACTGTTACTATCCTTTGCAAAAATGAAATTTCCAGACATCAACGAGTGTGCACCGGCACCATGCCAAAATGGAGGTACATGCGTTGATCTCGTTGGAAGCTTCCGCTGTGATTGCCCGGCGGAGTTCGAGGGAGCAAACTGCGAAAACGCAGCAGGTACTGATTACCTTTATCAATAAACACAATCCTTAAAGTTTGTCTCCATAATCTGCATGTCAGTTTAGAACTCGAGACAACTTCGGACCGTGATTCATCGTGGCTTCATTGTTGATAATCTGCTTCCTTAAAACTCACAGACGTTTCATGTGATAGGAACAGAGCATTTTAATGTGGTTGAGTCTGCAGCTGAAAATTTTGCTTTTTGATGTTAAGCTGATGAAAAAAGACATTCGAAAAAAAAACTATAGTCAAAGAATAAAGGGCAAAAAGAGACTCCCCTCGTATCTGTATTTCTAAAAATGACTACTTGTTGAATCAATGAAGTGGGTTAATATAATCATGAACAAAAGAGGTGAATTTTGTTTTCTAGATTAATTATGATAACTAATCACATTTAATGTATATCTGATTGCCTATCGTTTTATTCCTTTATTATTACGGAAGAGCATATAAAAATATTTCTTTTCAAAAACTTATCCTTTAGAAAACGGAATAGAGGAGTGCGAAATGTAACGTGATTACTCTCAGTGAAAGCCATATACAGGTAAATCTGTGATTGCAATATGTGAAAGAGTTTCGAGCCATTTTGTGTATTAAACCTTTGACCCCTTAGAGTGACCAGCATCTAATTTCTTTTTACACTATCAAACCTGAACCAAACATGAAAGTCACGAGGATAACGAAAATGGATCAATATCACTATCTGGGCAACTGTCCACCTACCCCTCCCCTAACTCAACAACAGTCAATTGACAACAAGTTAAGGTTAATGTTGGGTTAGGGGAGGGGTAGGTGGGCAGTTTCCCAGATACTGATATTAATCCAAGAAAATTATCTTCAACCAGAGAAGCTCCTCATTGTAAAACAAATTTTCTTCGTCAACACCTTAGGAAATGTATGGAGAACAGTTTAGAGAATACGCTTATTTCTTCCCTCTCCAGCAGAGAAAGCTGTAATTTCATTCGCTAATTTCTGTTCAATAATTCGCTCTTCTTGAACCTATTAGAACTGAACTTAAAGCAGAAATTACGTGTAAAGGTGTTGCTTGTGACAGGTAATACTATCATCATGGTTAATTTTATGACATCAAAAATGATCAGTGCCACCCTATGGGACAGAGATGTTACAAGATAGGTTTGATGATTGCTGCTATTAGTTTTTTTTCCTGTTTTTCCTTCTTATTTTCACTTTTTGTTCATTTTATCTTCTCCAGGAATGACCAGTTATTGCCACTCAGTATAGGTCAGACATAGATGGAAAATATATCAAAAGTGTTTAGAAAATCCTCTACTGTAACATTATCAAAAACGTGTATTATGTTAACGATAAAATGGCTTTTGAAATCAGATCTCGTGTTGTTGTTTTTGCCGCTACTGTCATCTGAAAAGCTCTGGGTAGCTATAGTAAAAACCTTACTTGTTTCTCCCACTGCTTTATTCCTGACGGGAAATATCAGCCACCGTTACGGTAATTTCCTTAATTTAGGGGAGGTAAATTGTACACAAGAATTATGCAAAAAAACAAACAAAAAACCAAAAACAAAAAAATATATATATAGGTCATTGTGCTCATTCAAGACTTAATGACAATCGTTCCTCTTTACCTGGTCTGTTGATTGAAAAACAATACCATAACCTAGGAATTCGCGCGCTTGTTCGCCTGATTACGTTATTTTTATGCGCAGTAGAGGGTGCGCCATGCAATACTGAGGAACACTTTAAAGAAAACGTCTCGCCTCAGTGACTAAAAGCGAGCGTAGGGACTAAGTTGTCGTCATTTTCACCTAGATTATGCCTAAAGAAGAAGTGTTCCCAGAAGATATACACAACCAGATAATTAAATTTCTAAATATCTCATTGCTGCTTAGCTTTCAATTAGCACTTACGTAATGTGGCATAGTCACAATAAGCGCCTTAATTTTTTAAGGAAGCCTTGATATGTTTTTCATTTATTTTTGGTGCTGCAAAATTAAAATAAACTTTTAAACCTTGCGAGCGAAAGCACCCCGCCTTAATACAGCTTAACTCACAGAATGTCCCCATACAGTTGGAAAATAATCCTTACCAGCGACAATATTATGAATAAAGATGTTTCATCCCTTTAGATTCGAAGAGTTGCTGAGTGCAGAAGCAAACAATAATTCGTGGTCTTTTTTTCTGGTATACATATTGGTATTTCAAATGTATATTTCCTCACTTTAAGTTCTTGCAGGTACTTAAACAACATTTCACCTCTGCGAGGGATCTTGAAAGTCACGACGCCTCAATATGCTTAAAATGATTCCATTCTCATAAATGCACTTCACTCGCTTTTAGTCTTTAAAGGTGCAAATGATCTTGCCAGCTTAGAAATTTCTATGCCTTCACATGCTCAAAGGATTTCCTTCTCTTAAATCGAAATTTTGAAAATGTGATGATATTGACAATAGTAGGTAGTAAACTAATTAATTTCTTTATTTTTCCATGTAGTGATTCCCTTGTCTCAGCTTGAAGGTTAGAGGCTTAACTGTCACTTACTGTCACTTAAGTATCTAATTTGTCACCTAGGTATTTTCTCAGTGTTTATTTAAGAGATCGATAACCACATTCGGCGTGATTATGCGACTCGCGTAACCATCGTAATCGAGTCAATTTGAGCATTCTAACTGAATTCGCCCCTTAAGTTTGGTAACTGAAAGAAATAAGCTAGCGTTTGAACTTTGACAGTCAGGAAATCAAGATGACTTAACAAGCTTCAAATTGTCTCATTTCCAAAAAGTAAATTATAAAATCATGTTAACATTATTTAATTAACTGTCAGCTATTTATTCACCTGACTAAGCGTGTGAACTTCACAGGTGTTATTTACACAGAAATTACCAACTTTCTTTTTTGGTTCCTTATAAATCAAATTAAAAAATATTCTCTTCGCGCAGATCGTAACGTCCTGGGAGCAGAGCTTGGAAGGTATGTTTTCCTTTGGTATAAGTTCGCGAGATTGTTCGTATGAAGTCTTTCTTACATCAATGTATCTGTAGTCACCATAAGAGATTCCTACAGGTTTTTCCTTAATCTTCAGAGGTTTGTGATTCGGCCAATTTCGCATTGGCTTCATTGAGCTCTTTCAGTAAAGATTTGGATCGAAGAACTAGTGAAGTAAGATGCATTTAGTGAGTCCGTTTAAAGACAAAACAGATGCTCAGTGACTAAAAACGTCTGGAATGTCGCAAATGTAAAATTCGCGGACTGTTGATAAGATAATTTTTCTTTTCAACTATCCTCACTGAGCAATGTCCTGCTTCGACTTAGACTGAAAAAACGTTTTAGCTAGTAATTTACATCTCTTCCACGTAACATTATTTTTTTTTTCACCGATCATCTTAGAAGTCACTCGAATAATACTAAACTCTTCGGGACTGGTCATTAGAGACCTTTATCAGTTAGGACGGCAACGCTAAGGAAGACGCCGATTCAAAAATGAAAATATATTTATAGTTGGAATCTCGCGAATGACTGGATGTATTCAGAATAACATATGAGAGGGAAGGTTTCCTTTTCTGGTGACAGGGCAGTGGTCATTGAAAGTCTTGAATTTTATTCCTAGACGAGGAGGATAACTGACTCCTCCCCTCCTCTTACGCTAGCTCCTAGTCTTCAATATTTCAAGAATGTTCTGCGGTCAATTGTTAACCAGTTAAGTAAACTAAATAAGTGGCGATTAATAGTACGAGTTAACAATCAATGACGCTGCTGCAGGATTCCTTTTCAATCATTTTGTCTGTTCTTAAAATGTCTGCATTTTTTGTTTTTTTAATTTAGGTACATCAACTGGGAGCATATTAAAAGCGTAATGGAAGTTCTTTACTCCTTGTTGATCATTCTTTTAATGGCTGACACCTGCTGCAGCCAGACGTGCTCGAATGCAAATTGGTGGCATACTTTTGACCGAGAGGGATGGTCTTATTGTGACTGCAAAAATCAATACATGACTGGTCTTTGGAGGAATGATGCTAAAGGTTCAGATGATGGTATCTATCTCATAGAGCATGCTAAGTGTTGTGTTGCGCCTTACGGCATGAAAGATGTGCCAGCATCCTGCAAGACAGCCAACTGGTGGGGAGTTCTTGATAGGTAATTTGGCAAAAAAATTTTTAGGCTCTTTTCATTCTTACGTTAAAAAAACAATTATTACTTTTTTGTTGCATTTATGTTTTTATTTTCTACCTCATTTTCCTTTTTTTTTACTTCACGATAGCACTAACAAGTGGGCAACCTGTCCAGATGGGTATTTTATGGGAGGTCTTTATAGGACAGGGAAAAACCATTGGCTGCATAACATCGAAGAGGCTCGATGCTGTAAGCCAGAGGGCTTGCCAGATAAATATGCAGACTGCTATAATGAGAATGTTTGGGGTTCGTTTGATGGTAAAGGACTCAGCGAGTGCAAGCGAGAGGGCTACTATATGGCTGGAATATTCAGAGGGAAATGTGACAAGCTGTACTGTCTTGAAGAGTTTAAATGTTGTCGAATGATAGGTAAACGCGATGATATCATAACTTATATAATAAGCTGGGATTATGGTAAAGCCATCATGGTCTCTATTCATACAAGTCAGCTTAAATCCAATGTTCAAAGTGTTACGCTCCACTCTTGTGTACTTCTTTGATGTCAAATTATCCTATTAAAACTCCACACATGACTACACACTGTTCAGTAACTGTTTGATAAACTAAAATTATTCCCTCTTATTTTAATGCAAATCCATTAATGAGGAAATCAAGACATTTCTTCTTCTTTCCTAGCTATTGAAGGCCCGCCCATCCAAGCTGATGAAACAAAAAGCAAAGAGTAATTCCCAAAAACTAGGTAAATTTCATTGCTTTTATCCCTTTTCCTTTGACTTTGGGTTCTTTTTAAATGCAATGAGTTTTTCTCTGAAAAGAGGAAAAACATTGTTAAAGACTTTGTGTGACGTCAGGCTCATAACTATGAAAATCGTTTCTGAATGAACAATTAAAAAAGCAATTAAATATGATAAATCATTCAAATAAATAGGGCGAGCTCAATCATAGAATTTTGAGTATAATCATATTCAGGTTTCTTCTCTCTCTTCTAGATTCGGCGTGCGGTAGAGGCTAGGTGAAGGGTTAGATGGAAATTATTAACGCAAGAGTTTTAAACGTACGTCTATCATATGGGAATAATGTTGCATGACATCAACAATAAACGTGTTGTTATTTCAAATTTCGTTTCAGGAGTGTTGTTTTACTATATGTATTCCTACACCTGAACGTTGTAACCTTGGTCGTGTGTTTTTCAAAAACAGCGGTCAAACTTCGGCGCATGTGTGAACTTGTTATAGCAGGTGGCTTTCAGGCCACTCATAGGAGTCATGAAAACTATTTAACCCCCTTACAATGACCAGAATTGAGGTCTAATTTCTTCTTTAAGTGAAAAATTAAGCACTAGAGTGGAAATGAAATGAAATGCACTTTCAAGAAGCTCTTGAATTTCCTGAAAAGTATCGAGAACAGTGTTAAGCGTATGAACGTCGATGTTAGGGTAAAAACATTTTTCTTGATACCGGTCAAAAAAAAATTTGATCGATAGATACCCACCGGGAAAAAAGCTTTATGTTCGGGAAGTCTCGAGTTTTTCTTTTACCCAACCATTTGTGTGAGGCGAGGACCTAACAGCTGCTGTTCAGCAAATGAGCCGACTCTTTCCCCTCTCCTCTTGAGCGCATTCAAAAGAGCGGCCGTTGTCGAGACTGGTACATTTTGGTTTGCCAGGGTAACGTAACAGTTGATCTGAGGAAGCCGAGTGGAAGCCTCTTACGTTGGTTTCATTGGGAATGAGATTTTAGTCTTTTTCATTTCCTTTTGAGAAAAGAAAAATTATCAATTTGAGCAAAGCGAACTTATTTGTCAACAGGTATTGCCTCGGATTGAATATTTCATATCACTTTCTCCAAATTAATAAATTTCTTTTTTTTTTCAAGAGATTTTCATGTTCCAGCTAACATCAAGTTTTCCTTTTTGGGACATTAATCCTTCTTATTTTATTTTTGTTCATTTTATCATCTCCAGGATATCATTGCAATACAGTATACAGACAACAGTTACGATGACAAAACGAATAAATTTATCAACTTTGTTGAATATCCAAGGTGTAAAGGTATCAATATCGTCCAAATGTATTAGATATAACGATCCATGTAAGAACGAAGTCAAATATGTCAACCTTCCAGGAAACTATCGCTGCGATTTTAAAACTGGATACATTAGAAACAACTGTGAAATGGGTTCGCAATAACCTTTGATTACTCAGTTAGTTAGTTAACGCTAGTAAGTTAGGTACCGGGTAAAGGGGTTTATTTGTAAAGAAATTGAGGTACTGCGTTGCCAGAGCGAAAATAGGTTAGATGCACTAGTTACGAGTGACTTACTCATTATATCAATTATGACTTTATAATATACAATACGTCCTTTTTTAATTTGTTATAAGTACATGTACACGATTTTCCCAAAGAAGTCACGCTAAAAAATACAGCAGATGTTTATTCATTATATTTGACTCAGCATTCTTTTTATGTACGCTTTTTAATTTATTTGCGAAAGAAGCCTTATGAAAGAAACATGAAACAAGAAACAACTAAATGATGAATAATGAAATAAAAGGACAAGAGACATCTTTAACTACTTCAACATAAAAATATTAAAAAGCTCAAGAAGTCTCAACCAAGCTGTGTTCTATTGTAAAGCACGCAGGAAGCGGCTAGAGCAGAAAGAATTCAAAGGGAAACAAAAGACATTGTTGAGTGAAAAGAAGATAAAAATTAAAACAGCGCTAAAAGGGAACTTTCTGGGTGAATCGCTGCGATTGTATACCTGGATACAGAGGAAATAACTTTTAGAGTTGTGTCGAATTACTGCATTTTGAACCCTTTTGCTTCAAATATATTATTTGAAGAGCTGAAGAGGGTTATGTCCAAAGCAACCTTAAATGTGGGGATTGGATTGGATATTAAATGTACTGTCTTTTATTTTCAGACATTGATGAACGCTCGACCAATCCGTTTCAAAATGGAGCTCTCTCTCTTCTCACACTATCGACATGAAGGTCATGAAAATTATCGTCAACCAAAGAAGCTCCTCACTGTAAAACAAATGTTCTTCGTCAGCACCCTGGGAAATGTAAGGAAAACAGTTTAGAGAGAATACGCTTATTTTTCCCTCTCCAGCAGAGAAAGCTGTAATTTCATTTGCTAATTACTGTTCAATAAGTAGAATAACATGTCGACGACGACGATGACGATGGCGATGATGATGATGATTAGGAAAAATTCGCTCCTCTTGAAGCCATTAGAATTGAGCTTAGAGCAGAAATTATGTGTAAAGGTGTTGCTTGTGACAGGTAATACTGTCACAATGATAAATTTCATGGCATTAAAACTGATCAATACCACCTTAAGGGAAAGAGATGTTACAAGATAGAGGTGATGATTGCTGCTATTTTGTTTGTTTGATGCTATTCCTTCTAATTTTCATTTTTGTTCATTTTATCATCTCCAGGATATCATTGCAATACAGTATAGGTCAGACATAGATGGAAGATATCGCGCAAGTGTTTAAAAAATCCTCTACAATAGCATTATCAAAAACCTTTTATTATGTTAACGATAAAATGGCTTTTGAAATCAGATCTCGTGTTGCTGTTTTTTCCGCTGCTGTCGTCTGAAAAGCTCTGGGGCAGCTACAGTAAAAACCTTATTTTTTTCTCCCACTGCTTATTCTTAACGGGAAATATCAACCACCGTTGCGGTGATTTCCCCTATTTAAAGGAGGAAGGGGGGGTAAATTGTACGCCAAATTATGCCAAAAAAAACAAAACAAAACAAAAACAATGCAAACAAAACAAAAACAAAACAAAACAAAACAAACAAACAAAAAATATATATGTAAATATAGGTCACCGTGCTCGTTCAAGAGCTAAAGACAATCGTCCCTCTTTACCTGGTCCATTGATTGAACAATTAAACAATTCCGTGTTCACTGAATGTGCGTGCACTTATTCGCCTGATTACGTTATTTTATGCGCAGTAGAGGATGCACGTGCAATACTGAGGAATCACTTTAGAGAAAACGTCTCGCTCTAGTGTCTAAAAGCGAGCGTAGGGACTGAGTTGTCGTCATTGTCACATACATTATGAATAAAGAAGCACTGTCCCTAGAAGAAACACAATTAGATGATCAAATTTGTAGCGTTACCATCCTTTGCCCCAAAAACCCTTTTAACTACGGTAATCGTTGATTTCGAAATAACTTATTGCTGCTTAGCTTTTAAAGCACTTACGTGATGTATTATAATTGCAACAGAGCCTTTAGGGAGCCTTGATATGTTTTTCATTCATTCTTGGTGATGCGAAATTAAAATAAACTTTTGAACCTTGCGAGCGAAGGCCCAAAGCTCCCCGAATATCCCCATACAATGAGATAATAATCCTTACCAGTGACAATGTTATAAGTAGAGATATTTCAGCCCTTTTAGATTCGAGTTGCTAAGTGCAGAAGCAAACAATAATTTTGGGGTTTTTTTTCTTGGTATTTGTATTTCGAATGAATTTTTCTTCATTTTAAGTTCTTGCAGGTACTTAAAAAACGTTTCACCTCTGCGAAGGATCTTGAAAGGTTAGAAGTCACGACGCCTCAACATGCTTAAGATGATTCCACTCTCATTAATGCACTTCCACTCGCTTCTAGTCTTTAAGGGAGGAAATGATCTTGCCAGCTTAGAAATTTCTATGCCTTCGCATGCTCAAGGATTCCCTACTCTTAAATCAAAATTATCAAAATATGATGATATTGACAATAGTGGGGATTAAATTAATCATTTGCATTATTTTCCACGTAGTTATTTCCCTGCCTCAGCTTGAAGGTTAGAGGCTTAATTATTGTAGCTTAAGTATTTATTTTTTCTCCTATTTTCATTCATGAGATCGATAACCACGGACGGTTTGTGTATGCTACTTTGTAACCACTGCAACCGAATCAATTTGAGCATTCTAAATATATTCTCCCCTTAAGTTTGGTAATTAAAAGAACTAGGCCAGCGTTTGAACTTTGAGAGAGATCTTGCTAGTTAATAAATCAAGATGACTTAACAAGCTTTAGATTGTCTCATTTCCAAAAAGTAAATTATAAAATCATGTTAACGTTAGTTTAACTGTCAGCTATTTATTCACCTGACTTAGCATGTGAACTTCACAGGTGTTATTTACACAGAGATTGCCAACTTTCTTTCCTGGTTCGATATAAATCAAATTAAAAATCTACACTTCGTGCAGATCGTAACGTCTTGGGAGCAGAGCTTGGAAGGTATGTTTCCCTTTGGCATAAGTTCGCGAGATTGTTCGTATATAGCCTTACTTCCTTTTATCAGTGTATATGCAGTCATCATAGGGAATTCCAACAGGTTTTTCCTCAATGTTGACTGATGTATTTCATTTAGAGTGACTTCAGTCTTAGAGACAGGAGTTCAGTAACTTAAAATGTATGGAATTTCGCAAGTGTGAAATCCACGCCTTTTGGTGCGATTATTTTTAAAACCATCTTCACTGAACAATGTCAGGCTTTGACTTAGACCGAAAAAAACATTTGAACAAGTAATTTACATCTCTTCGTGTTTCTTGCCTCATTACTCTTTTAAATGAGATAATTTTTTTTTCACCGATCATCTTGGAAGTCAGCCGAGGAATAATTCTTTCATTCTGGTCGTTCATGTATTACCTGGGGAAGTCGGAAGATTTTGGCTGTGTCAAGATAAAATTTATCCGATCCCCCCAATAGGGCTCTTTCCCCTTTTTTTTTTGACCCCCCTCCTCCCTCACTGGTGATTAACTTGCAGTCAACTGTCTGTAGTGCCCCATAAACAGTTGGAGGATTACTGACCCCTCCCCTCCTCCTACGCTAACTCCCAGTTTTCAATTTTGCAAGAATGTTCTTCGGTCAATGGCTGATCAGTTCAGAAATCTAAATAAGCGGCGATTGATAGTATGGGTTAACAATCAATGACGTTGCTGCGGGATTCCTTATTAATCATTTTGTCTGTTCTAAAAATGTGTGCATATTTTGTTGTTTTTTTAGGGACGTCAACTGAGGGAATATGAAAAGCGCAATTTACTCCTTGTTGATCATCCTTTTTATGGCTGACACCTGCTGCAGCCAGACGTGCTCGACTGCAAATTGGTGGATTTCTTTCGACGGAGAGGGATGGTCTTATTGTGACCACAAAAATCAATACATGACTGGTCTTTGGAGGAATGATGCTAAAGGTTCAGATGATGGTATCTATCTCATAGAGCATGCTAAGTGTTGTGTTGCGCCTTACGGCATGAAAGATGTGCCAGCATCCTGCAAGACAGCCAACTGGTGGGGAGTTCTTGATAGGTAATTTGGCAAAAAAATTTATAGGCTCTTTTCATTCTTACGTTAAAAAAACAATTATTACTTTTTTGTTGCATTTATGTTTTTAGAGTATGCTAAGTGTTGTGTTGCGCCTTACGGCATGAAAGATGTACCAGCATCCTGCAAGACAGCCAACTGGTGGGGAGTTCTTGATAGGTAATTTGGCAAGGAATTTTTAGGCTCATTCATTCTTACGTTAAAGAGATTAATACCTTTTTTAAGTTTTTATTTTCTACCTCACTCTCCTTTTTTTTTTAACGATAGCAATAACAAGTGGGCAACCTGTCCAGATGGATACTTCATGGGAGGTCTTTACAGGACAGGAGACGACCCTTGGCTGCACAACATCGAAGAGGCTCGATGTTGTAAGCCAGAAGGCTTGCCAGATAGATATGCGGACTGCTATATTGAAAATGTTTGGGGTTCGTTTGATGGTAAAGGACTTAGCGAGTGCAAGCGAGAGGGCTACTATATGGCTGGAATATTCAGAGGGGATTGTGACAAGCTGTACTGTCTTGAGGAGTTTAAATGTTGTCGAATGATAGGTAATTAAAACGCGATGATATCATAAAGCGGGTTGATCATCGTGGGGAAATTACCGCGGGTGAATATGCTGGGATGATAGCAAGGTATCGTGGTCATTATTCATACAAGCCAACCTAAATCTAATGTTCAAGGTGCTACGCTCCACTCTTGCATACTTCTTTGATGTCAAATTATCCCATTACAGCTCCACGCATGACTGCACACTGTTAACTATTTGATGAATTCGAATTTAATCTCACTTATTCTAATGCAAAGCCATTTTGTGGAGCTCAAGACATTTCCTTTACTTTCTTAGCTATTGAAGGCCCGCCCATGCAAGCTGATGAAACAAAAAGCAAAGAGTAATTCCGAAGAACCAGGTAAACTTTAATTCTTTTATCCCTTTTGCTTTGACTTTGGGTTCTTTTTAAATACAATGAAGTTTTCTCTGAAAAGAGGAAAAACATTGTTAAAGACTTTGTGTGACGTCATGCTCATAACTATGGAAATCGTTTCTGAATGAACAAATGAATAAGGAATTAAATTTGACAAATCATTCAAATAAATAGGGCGAGCTCAATCGTAGAATTCTGAACATAATTTTATTTAGGTTTCCTCTCTCTCTTCTAGATTCCGCGTGCGGTAGAGGCTAGGTGAAGGGTTAGATGGAAATTGTTAACGCAAAAGTTTTGAACGCACGTCTATGATATAGGAACGGTGTTGCATGGCATCAACAATAAACGTAATGTTACTTCAAATTTCGTTGTAAGAATGTTGTTTTACTATAAGTATTTCTAAACCTGCACGTTATAACCTTGGTCGTGTGTTTTCAAATACAGCGGTCAAACTTCTGTGCATGTGTGAACTTGTAATAGCAGGTGACTTTCAGGCTTCTCATAAAAAAAAAATTTTTTTCTTGATAACGGTCGGTTGATAAAGGTTGATCATCAGATACCCACAAAGTAAAAAGCTTTATGTTCGGGAAGTCTCGAGTTTTTCTTTTACCCAACCATTTTTGTAAGACGAGGACCTAGCAGCTGCTGTTCAGCAAATGAGCCGACTCTTTTCCCCTCTCCTCTCGAGCGGATTCAAAAAAGCGGCTGTTGTCGAGTGTGATACATTTTGGTTTACCAGGGTATCAACATTTGTTCTGAGGAAGCCAAGTGGAAGGCTTTTTTTTTTCTTTTTTTTTAAATTCTCATTCTCATTCACCATAAAAAATATACGTGCACCACTTCTGTCAAACATAATCAATTTATTATCACTATTTACGAGGGTTTCGTTAATCCTTTTCATTTCCTTTTGAGAAAAGAAAAAGTTTCAATTTGAGCAAGGCAAACTTATTCGTCAACAGGTATCACTTTCACCAAATTAGTTTAATTCTTTTTAAGAGATTGTCATGTTCCATTGTCTCTTCCGAGATTTAGGATCCTCAAATACAACCTATCAAGATAATATTTCTACAACCCGAAGTTATGCTGAAAATATCCAATTTGATGATAATAAGATTGGCAACAGAATCTGATATCGCTGTCGAGCTAAAACATCCACGACGAGATGCGATTTCTTCTCAAAAAAAAGAAAGACAATGTATTTCATGAAGTCGATTTTGTAATTTCCCACTAAGTATAACATCGAAGTAAAGACCATTTCCATTTTATTCATTTCTTCGTTCAATCTAAAGATAAAATTTTGTATGCAGTGACTGATATCTCGCCTTCGATGGTGTGCTCTACAATAGCGATAACAATTACGATGACAAAAAGAACAATTTATCAAGCATTGTTGAATATCCAAAGTATAAAAGTGTCAATATTGAACATAGTGCAATTGAACATAGTCATACGGCTTCAAGGCTGGAATATGCATAGACGATTTTGACTTGCTACATTGTCTTGAAGAGCTTAAAAGATGTAAAGAATTTCAATAGTAAGTAATCTCTGCTATTTATTACTTTATTTCATATAATTTTATTCATTTCTTTCTTTATTTAATTTTATTTTAATTTTTTGATAATTCTATGGTCTCACCTCTGCGAGGGATCTTGCAGGTTAGAAATCACGATGTGTCCTTATGCTTGGGGTGACTTCATTTCCATAAAAGCATTTTCCTTTGCTTTTGTTTTTTAGAGGAGCCGAGACAACGTTTTACTTTTGCAAATGATCTTGCCAGCTTAGAAATTGGTACCCCCTAACAGACACGAGATGATCCCATTCTCACTGTAAAAAGTAACAAAATAGCAGTAGGTAAGAAATTTTTTCTAAAATCCTCAGTTTGGCACGTTGTTAATCACTTTCTTCAGCTTAGAGGTTAGAAACCTATATATTAGCCTAAGTGATTTGTCACATTTTTTATCACTTGTATTGGATTGTTATTTTAGTTTCAGGTTTTCATTAATTACTTGAACGATCATTTTCTACAGGTCTATGCGACTTATCTACATGACCATTACAATCGAAAGCATTTAAGCGCTATAAATGCGCTCTCTCTTAAGTAGAGTTAGTTTGATCATTAAGGGAGCTAGGCCAGCGTTTTAACTTTCAGAAGGATCTTGGCGGTTGAGAAATCATGATGCTTTAACAAGCTTCAGATTGTCTAATTTTCAAAAAATTAATTAGAAAACCTTGACAGTGTTGATAATGATGATTAAAAATTTTATTAGCCTCATTAAATTGTCAGCTCTCTATTTATTCACCTGCCTTTTATTATGAACCAGATAAGTGTTATTTACGCAGAGATTGCCAATTTTACTTCTCGTTCGAAATAAATCAAATTGTCAATAAATACTTCGCGTAGAATGTCCCAAGTGTAAATCAAAGTAAAGCTTGGAAGGTAGGTTTCTCTTCGGCATAAATTTGCGAGATTGTTCGTATGTTGTGATCTTAGCTTCTATGTATCCGCAGTGATAATACATGACACCCACAACTTTTCCCAAGATTTTGACCCATGTATTCTGTTAAGAATAACGACAGATATCGAGGTTCGCGTGACAGCCAATTTCGCATGGGCTACATTGAGCTCTTTCATTCGAAGCGAAATGGCAAAGTGAGTAATCGAAAAATTAGTAAGTGAAATGGCACAAAGTAAGTTCAGCAATTAAAAACTTTTGGAATCTCAAACGTGTGAAATTCATAAACTGTTGAGATTATTTCTTTAACTATTTCAATTGAGGAATGTTAGGCTTTGACTCACAGCCATTTCTGAAAGTTATTTAGATCTCTTCTTTCCTTCTAACGACAGGAGTAAAACAAAAAATGATCAATTGAATTTCCGTACTCTCGTTAAATTTGAGAACTCTTTCATAGAAGGTTTAGAAGTCACACGAAGAATGTCTCTTACAGCTGGCTAAATCTATGAATTAACTACTTAAACTCACATAAAGTACCATTTGTGTTGCTAGAAATTGGCATTCTTAGAAAGAAAATAACTCCTTAGCATAGAATTATGAGGTGTGAAGTTCCGATAAGTCAACGAGAGTGTTTCGCACCGCTCGTGATACGGCAATGGTCATCGCAAGTCTTGAATTTTATCTTCAGACGTGAAGGTTACTGACTCCTATCATGGTAAAAGAAACAGATGTATAGAACCCACCATGTATTCAATATCTTGAGAAACATTTTTCCGTCAATGCAAACCAGTTACTAAGTAATCTACTCAAGTGGCGATTGATAGTAGGGGGTAAAAAATCAAAAGCGTTGCTGGAGGATCTCTAGTTTTGTCTCTTGAATAGATTGTTATTCAGTTTCCTACCGAGGAAGTGTTCTCACAAAGAATGCCTTTTTATATATAGGTACGTCAACTGAGAGCATATGAGACGCATCATGGAAGTTCTTTACTCCTTGTTGATCATTTTTTTTATGGCTGACACCTGCTGCAGCCAGACGTGCAAGAATGCAAATTGGTGGCATACTTTTGACCGAGAGGGATGGTCTTATTGTGACTCCGAAAATCAATACATAACTGGTCTTTGGAGGAATGATAACAAGGGGTCAAATGATGGTATCTATCTCATAGAGCATGCTAAGTGTTGTTTCGCCCCTTACGGAGTACATGCGCAAGACATACCAGCATCCTGCAAGAAAGCCAATTGGTGGAAAGTTCTTGATGGGTAAGTTGGCGAGAAGTGTTAAGACTGTATTATTTCGTGGTTAAAAATCAAAACTTTTTTGCCACATTGAAGTCTTTAATTCTTACCTAATTTTCTTCTTCTTTTTCTATTTTTTATTTCATTTTTTTTGCTGGATAGCACCAACAAGTGGGCAACCTGTCCTGATGGATACTTCATGGGAGGTCTTTATAGGACAGGGAAACACCATTGGCTGCATAACATCGAAGAGGCTCGATGCTGTAAGCCGGTGGGGTTGCCAGAAAAATATGCAGATTGCTATGATGAGAATGTTTGGAGCTCGTTTGATGGTAAAGGACTTAGCGAGTGCAAGCGAAAGGGCTACTACATGGCTGGAATATTTAGAGGGGAATGTGACAAGCTGTACTGTCTTGAGAAGTTTAAATGTTGTCGAATGATAGGTAATTAAGACGTGAAGACATTGTACAGAACGTAAATTATCGCGGGTCAAAAAGCTGGGATGATAGTAAGGCTTCCATTGGAACAAACCAGCTTTGATTCAATGTTCAAGGTGCTTTACATAACTTCACATTGTTAATTATTTTGTAATTCCTCTTACCCTCGTACAAAGCCATTGACGAGGATTTCAAAATATTTGCTCTTCTTTCCAGAAATTGAAGGCACGCACAATCAAGCAGATGAAACAGGCAAAGAGTGATTCTCAAAAACCAGGTAAATTTTATTGCACTTCTTTGTTTTGCTTTGAATTTTGATTGTTTTGGTTGTTTGATCTGCAAGTTTGATTTCTGTTCAATTAAATGATTTTTTTCCGCAAAAAAGGAACAACATTGTCAGAGACCAAAGGTATCATCAGGCTCAAAATAATGATGAATTTGTCGTGAAGTCTCACTTAGCTTCTCTGCGGCAGAGCGACATAATCGAAATCTTTGCATTTGTTTTATTATCTTTGATTTTATATATGTTGTACTATTACAGAAGGGAATGTAAAGTATAAAAAGCAAGTAAAGACAAACTTTAAAAAAATGAATCAGCTCATAATAAAACGTAAAAAAGTAAATATACGCCGAAAGTGTGCTTTCGTGTTGCTAACAGGAAACATGGTTTCGATATCTCGAAAATCGTTCTCTTTATGGACAAATGACCAAGTAATTAATTAGAATTCATCAAATAAATAGGGCGAATTCAATCATAGAATTTTGAATAAAACTATATTAGGGTTTCTTCTTTCTCTTCTAGATTCGGCGTGCGGTAGAGGCAAGGTGATGGGTTAGATGGAAATTTTAAAGTTTTAAACGCATGTCGATTGTAGGGAAACAATATTACGTGGCATCAACAATAAAGGCATTGTTACCTCTACTTTCCCCTTAAGGCTGAGGTTAATCTTATTACTTATCACTACACCTGTACGAAGTTCGAATATGACCTGTGGTAAACGCCATACATCCGCTCTTTAATCAGCAATATATTATGAAAATTGATGGAAAAAAAATTGACAAAATCATTCAGCGAGCGTGCCAGGGTGGCCAAAAAAAACCTACGAGATAGGCAAGAGCGTATGTTTTCAAAAACAGCGGTCAAACGTCTGCGCATGTGTGAACGTGCAATAACAGGTGGCCAGCCTTCAGCTTGTCTTATTGGAGACATGAAAATTATTTAACCCCTGACAGTGACCAGTATCTCATTTCTTCTTAAAGTGTGACTGTTTAAGCAAACGCTAGGGTCATCAGATTAAATGAAATAAATACCCTTAAAATAAGCCCTTAAATTCTCCTGAAAAGGATCGAGAGCAGTGCAAAGAATATGCACACCGATGTAAGGGTGAAAACAACTTTCTTGAAAAAGCTCAAAAGAAAATAAATACCCATCACTTTTCTTAGGCGAGGACCTAGCAGCCGCTGTTCAGGAAAAGGAGCCCACGTTCCTCCCCCTCTCCTCTCGAGTAAACTCCAAAGAGCGGCTGTTGTTGAGTCTGGTGCATTCTATTGTTTGCCATGGTATCAATATTTGATCTGAGAAAGCAGCTGAGGGTGACAGCCTTTTTCCCTTTTTTTTTCTGATTTTTTCTTTTTTTCTCATTCCCTTTCTGTCGAAAAAGGAACACCATAAAAATACACGTGTGCCACTTGTAATCAATTTATTTTCGAAATTAACGTGACTTTCATCAAGGATAACATTTTACTTTTTTCATTTCCTTTTGAAACAGGAGCATTTTCAGCTTAAACAAAGCAAATATATTTGGTAACCGTTATTGACTCAGGTTGAATCTACCATATTACTTTCGTCGAGTCAATTGTAAAATTGTCTAAGAGATTGTCATATGACAAACATCAGGTTTTCTCTTTTGAGACATAAGTACCTATCATCCTGCTTAACAGGTGAATACACGCTCCGAAACCCTCAGAAATATCATCTTCTTCCTGCCGAAATTGAAAATTCAAGTATCTCTTCAGGCGCGTGCGTTGTTGTTAACTACTGTGAGGACGATTGTCTCTTTCCTGGATCTTAGAGCTGAATTCGAAGTGTATTTATAGCTTTCATGGCTTCGTCACAGCAGAGGGTGAGGAAATTACAGTGTCCCTTTCGAGATTTAAGAATATTAAATACCAACTATCAAAATAAGATTCCCACAGCCCGACGTTATTCTGGAAAATTACTAATTTGATTACGATAAGATGGCCTACAGATGTTGTTGCTTAACCGTTCACGATAAGATGCAATTTCTTCTCAAAACTGAAAAAACAAGGAAAAGAAGCCTTCCAGTTTAAGGTTCACGTTTTTAAAACTTTAATCAGATGGCACTGTTTTGCCCCATTGTTTACATTTTTATTTCGCGTTGAGCATGTATTTCATAATTCTATAATTTCCCACTAGTATAACATCGGAGTGAAGTCCAAGGCGTTGATAATGGTTTCTATAGCACTGGTGTCGTCCTCTCATTCGCAAGAGGTTGCAGGTAAATTTTAATACTTTGCTGACTTAAAGTGTTTCTTTTTCCACTTTCAGTTAGTTTCTTTTTAAATCCGTAGATCATAATTCTCCGCCATGACGGATATCTCACCTTTTACTGTGTGCAACTGTTGCACCACTCTCTCCGATCTGTTCAAACTGAACCCTAGCAAATACAAAGAAACAATGTCCGATCACTAGTACTGGATACCATAGTGGAAACAGAGGGAAAAAAACACATGGTCAACATAACTTTCCTTAGATTGAAAAATTTTGGGGCCAAAGATAAGTCCACACACTTTGGCGAGAATTATGTGCAGTAGAAAGAGGGCCTGAGATCCGTGGTGGAATTAACGAGTCTGATAATAATGGCAAAAAAAATTGTAATAAGGATGATGGTGCAACAATCACAAGGATCATGATGATAAAAGTGATAAGAATGAAAAAAAAAATGACAAACCAGCAATAGTGCTAAAAACGACAACAGTAAAAATGACGATAATAGTTATTGCAATGATTACAATGATAATAGTAATAATGATAATAATAATAATAATTATGATAATTAAAATGATGATAACAATAATAATAATAATAATGATAACTCAATGATAATAATTATTAAAATGATAATGATAGTGATAAAAATAATAATAATGGTTACAGCATGATAAAATAAGTTTGCTTCAATTATGCAGTCCTTAAAAATGTTCTAAGCATTTTCTTATTTTTCCTTCAAAGTGCGCGACTCAGAACCTCAGTCGAAGCAACTCACGCCGATTCCTGAATTCAGGCCAATTGGCTGTTTCGTGGATAGCGGTGCAATACCTCGACCAATCCCCAAGCTGGTTGCTAATTTCCGTGGTAACATTGATTGGCATAATCTGAATAAAACCGTGCTGGATTGTGCTCGACGAGTCAACTCAAAGGGTTTCCGTTACTTTGGTATTCAGTTTTATGGTGAATGTTGGAGTGGGGAGAATGCTGAACTTACTTATAACAAGCAAGGAACCTCTAAAAACTGCTTCAGAGGCCTTGGAGAGAGAAAGGCCAATTTCGTGTATGCTTTTGTGGTGAAAGGTACAGCTTAATTATCAAATTATAGAATACTGACAGAAATAATTGCTATTCTAAAGAGGTCAACATCTTCGGAGCAAAAATTTAGGATAAACTGGAGAGAGATATTCACTATACTGGAACATTATTAGGTGTCAGGAATTCTGAAAGGAATGAGGCCAAGATTGAAATATATATGTACACCCTTTCAGACCAAACTATTACAACCAGTAAGATTTAAACTAAATTAAGTAAAAAATTAACTGGGATGATAGAGAAGCTGGAAAATTAGTACCCAGATGTCAGGGCGAGCGTCTTGGCGTGAAAATTAATTTCCGTTTAACATGGTCCTAAACACTTTCAGATGTTTATTTTTCTCTAAAATCTAAGAAGTTGCCGCACTGGTTTCCGTCTTCACAATTACACAATCGTAATTTTTCTCAGAACGGTCCCAAAATTTATTCGTCTAAGATCAATCATGAGGCAACGGTTGCGTGCTCCTGTTAGGGTGAGAAACCATTATCTGTACCTTAATTATTATTGAAGTTTACGATAATAATAATATAATATAATATATAATAATATATAATATATAAACAATAACATTTCTCTCCCAGAAATAAACGCGCGTCTGGCAAATGGGTCGAGCTCAAGAAGTGGCCGAGTAGAAGTTTTCCACCGAGGAAGCTGGGGCGCAGTGTGCGGCAAAGAATGGGACATACGCGATGCAGATGTTGTGTGCCGTATGTTAGGTTATCCAGGTGCTCTAAATGCCTATCAGGATGACAGATATAGATCAGGAAAAGGTCGTGTGCGACTTGGAGATGTACAGTGTAATGGAAACGAGGAGAATCTTGCTTTCTGTCCATACAAAGATTACAGCGTCTGCTCACAGTCAGGAGAAGCAGGAGTGAAATGCAGATCAGTATCAGATTCGATCCAACCACGGATACCTTGTAAGTACAGAAAACACTTCAAATCGTATCACGAATAACTTGAAGCTTGCTATGAATTCCTCTAATCTAATTTGCAATTCAATATTCACTTGATGAATATGAAGTTTTATGTTCAAGATCTTTCCTGGATTTCTCTTATAACCTGAAAGCAAGCAGATGCTTTCATTAACTCCCAGACTCTATAGAAAACGAAAGAATAAAAGGTACATATAACAAAAGTAAGGAAAACTGGTCTTCCTGACCAAGTAATTTCATGTTGCTCCACTGTACAGTGTAAGCCGCGGAGTCATAAGGTTCGAGTGCGATTCCTCCTGGGAGACAAAGATTTATCCTGTTTATTTTTCTCTTGGTCCCAATGCTCTTCAAAGAGAAAGGAGATTGAACATATGCATATGTTAACAGACTCTCCCTCGTTTGGAAAATAACACCTGACCTTCGATAGATCAAACAAGCAATTGAGTAAAAGGGGGTAAGGAACAGGAGCGTTACGTCGTTGGGGAATATAAAATTTTTTTTTTTCGATTAACTGAGTTGTTATTGTAAATTGGCCCCTGATAACCGGCGTCAGAGTGACGATGGGCTAACGTTCGAAAAGTCAGCCTTAGAAACTCTCTACGGTTGGCAACTCAGTCCAACTGTTACTATAACAGAAATATCAGTCGGAGGAGATACAGACGAGGAGGATAATTAAATTTTATGAACTGTTCTAACATCAATGTCTTTCAAATGTCAGATCGTCTCATGGGAGGAAACAGTCGCAGTGAAGGCCGAGTAGAGGTTTATCATGATCGGAAGTGGGGGACAATTTGCGACAGAGGCTGGGATCTCATTGATGCAGGAATTTTTTGTCGGATGCTGGCTTACGCCGGAGCCAGGGCCACTCCAAAGTATGGCCAAGGTTCAGGTCCCATATGGCTCAGCGACGTCAAGTGTATTGGGACTGAAGACTCAATCTTTAGATGTGAAAACGCTGGATGGGGAAATGTTGATAATTGTGACCACTCGAATGATGCAGGAGCAGAGTGCTATTATGATTGAGCTAACGCTGCCTCAGAACGTGACTTTTTTACTTTTACGCAGACAAGTCAAACAAAAACCTTTAACTTTTTTTCTCGTTTTATTTATTGAGTATTTTAGAAACCTTAGGCTGTTGAGTATTGACTAGCCTAAACATTAGTAAAGATTAAGTTTAATCGTTGTTGTTCAGTCTTCTTATCAGCAGTCGGAATTACTCTGGGAATAAAAAAATAAACGTTTACGTTAGTAGCGATAAATATTTTTACTCTTGGGTTCCAATGTAAATGAAAAGAAAGAAACTCAATTTACCAACATTACTCCCGCAAAAACGCATCGGGCAACCTTCCGGCTTGTTCAGCTTATACACAAAAAACCTGCCGCAGTTTCGCACCTTGATGACTTGATCACGGAAACAGCATTCATTGAGCCAGTGAAAGCAAACTTTTCCATTTACAATTCCGTCACTTACTTCAGGATGAGGGGAGCTTAACCAACCAGTGACTGCTGTTCCGCACTTTTGGGTTGGAACACATTTAGAAGCCATTTTGTCTCCAGCGGGACGCAAGAAGCGATACCATCGTGGGGAGAGGCTATTGTCACAAATGGCTGCCAAACCCGCAGGAGGATCGGACTCGACGGAGCGATCCCTTGTACTAAGTTGCAAATATTGGAGGCATTCGCTTTCTGTGGCAAGATCGAAGGTTTAATGCCGTGGTATTATATTAAAAAATAATAATGATGATTAAAAAAACATTAGCTATCTTGAAAGATTAAGCCAGGTTCGAATTATTTATGTGTTCAGAAAAAGGCACCTTAGGTAAATATAAAGCCAACTAATTCTTTTGCCACGAGTTTTCGCTTTCAGATTCGTATGAATCCTCGCCAAAAATTCGTTTCATTTTGCCATTCATGTTTATGTGAATTTATTTACTAGGCGTTTCAAAATATTTGCCGGACTCCCCGTTTTCTCCCTCTGACTGAACCTTCTTCCGTTAGCAGTTAACCTGTGAAAACTGCATTTAGTATATCGATGCATTGCGGAAAAATTCTTCATACCCATCTATACATGTATGTATAATCGATTGGAAGGCAAGGTAAAGATAATCATGACATATATGTAAACAGAGAAGGCCAATTTGAATCACCGCCACCAATCACGGGTTCGATGACGAAAGGAGACTCACATAAAAGTAAAAAAAAAATTATAAACAGACAGCCCCACTGACCTTCTCCTACAAATCTGTAAACTAGATTAGCGTGCATGCCGCCGACTTCAGAGGTGCAATGTAGAGACCGACCGTAGCGGTCATACGTTAATGGGGCAGTAGCACCACTCCAGCATTCTCCATAAAACTGAATACTAAAGGAAAAAATCAAAAATAAAAGTGGCAGCTACAATTTTATTGTCATTAATTCTACAGGTCACGCGGTGGTATATTTGCGTTCAGAAAAACAAGACATTTACTAATTCTCTCAATGGAAAATATCCTTAGAAAGCTCCATAAATCTTCCAAAAAATTTTGACTCTCTGTCGACTATTAAAGCAACTCTGTTATTTGAAGAGTCGTTTGTCTATTTAGTTTACCTACCCAAAATACATATAATTCTTTTCTTTCGCTCTCTTAGCACATTTGTCGACCACTTCCATCGTGTTGTTCCAATCAATATTTCCTCGATAATTTGCTATTAGTTCTGGAAGAGCTCTTGCTCTTGGACTCCTCTTGTCCTTAAAACAGCCAACCTTGACAAATTGAGATGCGTCTGTGAAGAAAAGTTTAAACATGTTTCATAAGTTTCTTTTTTCTAAATCAGTTAATATGTGCATTTGCTAGGGATCAATATCTTTCCTGCTTTCGTTTGATTTCATTAATTTCTTTCGTGAAACTAGAAAAGTGTATGAAATCTTTCCACTCGACTGGATAAATGTTCAGCATCTTTTAGGAATTTTTATTTTGTTTGTACATTTGTTTGTCTGTGTTTGTTAACTGACCTTAAGTGATCATGCCTTGGGCTTTTTTATTATATTTTTCAATCAATATTTCCTTTTTATGTTGCAACTTTGACATTGTGCGATGCATTAAAGTGTAAAACTTAGAAATTATTATAGAACTGTCTTTGTCATCAGTCTCGAGAGTTGTGCAGATTGGGAACTACAAATTTCCCAACTGACTCTCGCATGTGTACTTGCTAAGGCTATGAAAAAAGATGATTTAGTGCCTTTCTACGGCAAGGTAATTAACAAGTTAAGAGACAAACTTAACCGTTCGCAAAAAAAAATTGTTCTACCTAAGTATCGAGAGTATATACATACTGTAATATTATAACCAAATACACCTACGGTGTTTACACATACATACAAGGGCACATGCATACATTTTTTTTCTATATTTTTGAAGGATCATGACCGCAATAACCTCCATTTGGCTGGAAAATATGCTCGTAAATTTGTCCTTGGCCATTATCTGCACCTGTAGACTTCGTTTTTGGAAAAGCTGTTAGCTTCTATAGAAATATACATGTCGTGTCCGCGGACAAATCCTTAAAAATATCTCAAGCCAAATAGAGGCTACTATTTACAAATAAATGAATCTGTTCTGTGACCTATTGGGGTTGCAGCGTTAATTTCTAACAAAAAGCTGTAAGAATTATATGGGCCATTCAGCACTCCAAATGGACGTGATCCCGAATAATTAAGCGTGTTGTGTAGTTAAGATTTGACAACTAAAAATAATTACCAAAAAACTGAACTTCTCTAAAGTGACCTAATAACGCAAGCTAGTTTCCACAATTGGAGAAAAGATGCGCTTTTTCCATATTTTTGCCCATTTCCCTATTAGTGTTGGAAATGCTTTATATATATATATATATATATATATATATATATATATATATATATATATATATATATATATATATATATATATATATATATATATATATATTTTTTATTTTCAACGCACGCTATCACCCATGCGGTTCACAAAGAGAATTTCGTTAACCAATGATATTGTAGTAAGTTGTTCGAAAAGCTTACAAACCCGCTGATTACGATTAATCAGGAAAAAAAAATGTTTTCTCTGCGCAAATGAAAATCTGCATCTAATAACTTCGTTGGATAGTGCTTTTAATATGGTATCTAGCTTCCCCTTTCTTTATCAAACTTTTTAAACGTATTTTCTTTTTTTATCTTTGTTTTCTTTCTCTTATTCCTTGTATCATTTTAAACGTAAATGCTGATACCTCACGCACGTGCGCTGTCTACATCAAGTCAACCGAGTTGCTCAATCTTCTTATTACAGTGTAAGAACTAACCTGTCACATGGTATTTACTTGAAGCGTGTTTCCAATTTGACATGCTAAGATCTCAATTAGATCTTTGTGGCAGGAATTCATTCAGCGAAAAGTTTGATCGTTCTTTTCACGCAACTTATCCAATTGACAAGTTCTTTATCATTGATGATACTCACGAAGCACCGGAAACATCCTCTCAACTACAGAGACATTTTATGCACTAATCGGATTAAGGTTTTCAAAAAATTCGGAGAAATATAACCAATAAACGATGTTATGAATTCTAAGAAAAGGGGTATAATCGGTAAACTAATGTCTGAATGCGAGATTTAACGTTACAGCAATCGACGAGGAGTAGTTCGAACGAGAGTCTAGCTATTTTTTTTTTTTTTTTTGCTGCGTGAGCTGCCTCGTTAAATTTTCACAAACCCAACTAAATGTCGTAGATCGTTCCTCTTTTGAAATGTATCTCTGGATTATCTTTCACCGATACATGTTTTTCCATGACATCATTTATTTGTGAATGTGGATTTTCATGGTTCGTTTAAAACAAAACCGACTACTACCCTAAGCTTGATTGTGATGTCCTCGAAATTTCAAAACCTAGGACACAAAGAGTAAAATGTTGCACGAACCTGTTAAGCTTAAGCTGTATTCGAGACACAAGAAAGCAACTGCAGCCAAAGTCTTCAATTTCATTGTTGTAGAAGTGTAAGCTGTTTTAGCGCAAGTTTATGAGCGCATTGTTTTCAGCGTCGCAGAAGTAAGCAGAATAGAAAGCTGAAGGTGTTCGATTGGGTTTTTAAATTAACAGCGCTGGTAAATATAAACGCTTCGGCAGCTGTCGCAAGCAATATTGATAAAATATGATTATTTTCACTGACTAGCTTTGAAATGTAAAGGAGGCGTTACTGCTGCTGGTTCAATATTCTACGTAGCTTTCAAGTTACTTTCCTTTGTTTGTGTTTAAGAATTGGGCAATATTTATACAACCTCTCGATTTTCTTTAAGCCACATACATGTGGGAGAACGTCTTCACGAAGACACATTATTATGACGAGAGTTGCGATCAAGTTCAAAATCTTAGACTGTAGCGTAGTTGGTAGGACTTTATCGGTCTGAAAACGATGATAGAAGATGTCAATCATCAGACGCCAGAACGAATCAAACCAAGACAAGATTTGTTCCGTTCTTTCTCTATCTCCGGTCCATAATAGAACAATCGACAGCAAGCAACAAGAGAAGGAAATTTATACGTGATCAAGATAAAAGGGATGGCGCGCCTGAAGCAGTAGGTCAAGTAGCTGAAGAGCGGACTAAAGATACGCACACCTTTTTTTTTTTATTTCATGATTTCAATATCTTTTGACAATTGGAACCCTAACACTGAAATAAAATTCACGCTCGACTTAGCCTCCACTCTTTTCCTTGTGTCAAAGCGTCCTAGGTCTTCAAACACCGTTAAACTGCCGATATAAATAGAAAAAAACGGGATAAAAGTCAGTTTTCTATGAAAAACTTTAAAGTACTATGACCATTAAGTATGTTAGATTTATTTAGCACTAATGTGGGACCTCGCTGTTAGGACTTTATTAAAGATAAAGAGTGTATCACCCAGTGACCTTTCGGAATGAGTAATTTGTAGATTGGAACATGTTATGATTTCGAAAAGGAATATGTTCTGCTTAAGGAAATGAATTGACGCATTAGTAATGGAGGGCGGAGGAAATTGGTAAAGGTGGGGGCGGACATGTTTCGTTTCAGAGAGAGAACTCGCAAATGAGGTAGTGGGCGAACTTGCAATGTGGTGGGACCTCCATAAACCGACAAATACTTGACTTCTGATCTTGTCTCAGCTCCAACTTGAAACCTGAGTATGATATCAGATATTTGCACAAATATGACATGAGGTGATGTGGGCACGAGAAAATATGAACAGTCTTTAATCGTAAAACTTACCCGATGCTGCACTTCCACAAAAGCCCATGGGACAAGCCTGTGTACCCGCTAATTTATAGACATAGAATCTACCGCAGTTTCTAAGCTTGATGTCTTGATCCCATTTACAGCAGTCTGATTTCCAACTGTAGCATACTTTCCCATTAACAATGCCATCAGTCATTTTTGGATGTGGGGAGCTCAGCCATCCCGTAACCACTGTTCCACATCTCGCCGACGGAAGACACTTAGAAGCCATTAGATTCCCAGCGGGTTTTTGGAAACGGTACCACCCAGGCTTGAGTTCCTTATCGCAGGCAGGAGAAGTTCCACTGATTAGGCGTGATGACTCCGAGCGATCAACTTTGTTTAGTTCCTCGTATTTGACGCACTCTTGTTCTGCAGAAAGGGAAGAATACTTGACTCTTCAGTGGAGTGTTCTCACCTTCAGTGCTAATAATGCATGAACATCGACGAATTTAATGAAATTACGGTAACACATAATAATAGGACTGGTTATTAAAGGGCCCACTAACCAAAGACAGACAAACTGACACACAAATAGTACGATGAGGCGATTATTCTACGAACCATCTCCTGCAAATCTGTAGACGACATTGGTGAGTGCTGTACCAACTACAGATTTAGACGTACACGGAGAAGATCTTCCATAGCGGTCGTATGTCTTAGGAGCGGTGGCACCACTCCAACACTCCCCGTAGAATTGAATTCTAAGACAAAAAAAGCTTTGAATTAACTAAAGAATCAGAATTCGTGGAAGCTGACAACCCTGAACAAGATTGTTTGAAACAACCATTCGAAAGGATGCTGCATCTGTTTTATGAGCTTTCAAGACTGTGGATAGAATACTCCTGCATCTTGCGATTAAATTTTTCTGCAGTCTATGGTCTCTCAGGTATAAGTGATATCCCTGACTAGTACTCACGCGAAATACATGTAATTCTTTTCTTTCGCTTTCTTTGCACATTTCTCAACCACTTCCATCAGATTGTTCCAATTGATATTTCCTCGATAATTTGCTAATAGTTCGGGAAGAGCTCTAGCTCTTGGACTCAACTTGTCCCTAAAACAGCCAACCTTGACATATTGAGATGCATCTGAGAGGAAAAGAAGAAAGGAAAATAATTCGTGATCTCTCCACTCGACTGGAAAAGTGCTCACTGGCAACTCGTTGGAATTGCTCTTGTTTTTTTACCAACTTACATTAGGAGATCATATTATTACCTTTTTTTTCTCTTTTGGTTTCACGTTTCCCTTTCTTGTTTTTTCAGGAAAACTTAAAATTCTTTATGCTGGAAAATGAATAGACTGAGAATACTGTCTTAACTGTAACTGTACAATCTGAACTGTGAAAAGACACACATCGATCTTAAGAGATCAATAGTTTATTTTATTATTTATTTATTTTCCATTCCAGACACAGGTTTTAGCTTCGAGTGAGTCTTTAATTTTTAAATCAAAAAAATGGCTGGAAGTATAATAGCAGAAAACTGTCAGATTCCCAAATTTTAGGGTTCCTTTTGCCTACTGCGTTGTCCTTTTGTCAGCGTCTGTAAAATGTCACTATTCTATTGTAAGCCGACTTTGCTATTCATACGCGTTCTGAATAAACTGTCCACGTGAAGGCAAACAAAATCGTAAGATTTTAACTGCTTTTGTTTAATGGGATAAATTGGCATATGCAACTTAGCACTGCCGCCGAATATTCTCAAGTTACAAAAAAAAGAAAAAAAAGGAAAGACCAATAATTCTCTATGCTCCTACTAAATGGAGAAGAAACGGAAACATGGCAATTGAAGGTTAGCCATTGACAATCAGTGAATTTCAGACTAGCTGTCGGAAGAATAATTTTGTCATGCAAATGTCTCAACCAGCTGTGGTTAGTAAGTTGAACCCATACCTTAGAGTTCATCAGCTCAGGGCAGCATGTATTTCTTTAGAATTTTTAGCAATGTGCTTTATCAATTCTCTTAAGAAGAAAATGATAGCTCTCAAATGCTTAAAGGAAACGTAGCGAAATTCTAAAATAGTCAATACAATCACGGAGAAAACAGCCGAAAAGAAACGTCTGACAGGCTATAGAGAGTTTAGAGAGTTAATTTACCCCAGGATGAAACAGCAAAACAATTTCCGGATCAGTGTTTTTTTTTTTTGAAGAGTATGCTTACTTCCCAATTCTGTCAAAACAGGCAGCACTGATGGTCTGTTTCCGAGTGATTTGAATCGAATCAAACTAGAGGCATTTGATTAAAAAAAAATCTGAAGTAAGATTCATTACAGACCTGCACAGCGTGTGTAATATCCAAAGTACAGGAGAAATACAGAGCATAAGACTAGTAAATTCATATTTTCTTCCTTGTAGCGGGATTTACTTTCTTTAAATCGTGGCTTGAGGGTAACGTAGAGACGGTGACAGGTGTTAAATGTCGGTGTGGGTCGTGGGTAACTTGTCAGCTGACAGCAAACCTTTTAAAATTAATTCTGATAGAGAGAATAGAAGAATCATGTTTCCGTAAACGATCAGTGATATAACTTACCACAATTTCAATTAAATGAGTTCCAGCTAACTGTTTAAAGTTGAAGTCTACTGCGCTTTGCGTCAAATCCGATCTGCCACAGAACTTTAAGCGTGGTATTTTTTTTAAAAAACTTAAATACTCAATGCTCATGAAGTTTCTTGTCATTTGCCAGCCCACTAAGTAAACAATGAATAGATTGCCCTAATCTTAATCTTAGCTTGAATCGCAAAGCTTTGTTATACTAAGCAAATATAATAGTCTAAACAACACTGATCACAAAGTACTTCTGGCGTTCTCAGTGATTTAGTTCAAACCATCGATCTAAATGTTTCTTTGTCTTGCGATGGCCGAGAGAGTATTCACTTAGCTTACGGATCAGCTTCACTTGTGTAACGCTTTTCCAGAAAGATAAGATAGAATACAGTTTTGGTTAAGATAACGCCCAGAGGAAGAAAAACCTTAAAAATAAAAAAATTAAAAGGTTTTGTCTCAGCTAGGTTTGCTGTCACGATTAACACTGTCACTTTTCTAAGCCTTTTTTTTTTTTTTCCTTCTACTGTTTAGGTGTTTTCTTACTGTTTTCAATTGTTCAACTGTTTCTTTCTTTTACTTTTATTTTGTTTGGTCTGGTTTACTGTTGTTGACGTTGCTTTATTATTATTATTATTATTATTATCATTTCCCTTTTTACTCCCAAAAGGATGAAAATCTTTGCAAAAAAAAAAATCTATCATATGTTAACCCTCTTACAGCGATTGCATTAAACTTTTTAAAGCTACACACCTAGGACTTTTTGCTATTGATGGAATATGGACAGGGTATGCATGACCCAAGTTTTTTTCATGCTAAAACGAATTGGACCAAAAACTGGAACATAATCTCTTTTTTTCTCCTGCTCTTTTTCTAAATAATTTGAAGTGACGAGAAGCGGAATCCTTTTCTTCAGAGATTTCAAAAAAATTTCCAGAAGTGCGGCCTTTAGAGAGGCTCGTTTAAGACAGTTAACAATAGGTGGCAAGGTCTTAGTGATTTAGCTGTTTCGCATCGAATTTTTTTCTTAATCAGAAACTTAAAAAGGCCGCAATTAAAGTATACAGGAAAAAAAATTATTTACGTGTATTGCGCAATGAATTCACTAATCCTAGTTGCATTCTTAAATTGCCATGATTCTATATTACCTATAGATACGCAGAGAACACCTTAAAGCGAAGTTATGCTAACCTGTTTCCTCAATGCTCTTCCCCTCTTTAAAAAAGGACGCGGTAAAATGCCCAACTTGTTCCTTAAGAATGGTTATATAATTCCAATTATTGAATTATCTCAAGAACTTAACAGCTGTAAAACAAACATTTTAATGTACTTGAACAAAGTAAGGACTCCATCGCTTGCCGCGTGGTAGCGATTATCTATATGATAAAGAAAATCAAAAGATGCGATATGAATTTCCCGCCTTTCGGAACAAACATATTAATTAGACCTGCAGTAATTATTGTTCTCAATATTGCAATACATCACATTTACCATTTTAACTTGCTGAGGGTAAGAGGATTCTTTTTTCATAAAGCATAATATAAGATTCTTTGGAGGGTTTAATACAGAAATTCGCCCGAAATGAGACCAACTTGAGGAAAAAAAAAACCTAGAAATTAGCCATTATGTTCTGCCTGTATCCGAGCTACAAACTGAAATGTCATTACAAATAAAATGAAGTCAGATGAAATATAATACATTATATGCATAAATGAATTAAGGGGGTACTGTTCTGGCTAAAATGTGGCGCTGCGTCGATAAAGGCATTTCAGGATAATCTGGTTTTATCAGCTGGGTTGATAATGTAAATTGGTCACCGCAAAGAGTATTTTTGTATAGTATATAAAGAGAAAATGTTTCCAGCGTTAGCCCTTCGTCAGAGCGAAGACCTGACACTGAAACGTCAGCCTTAGAAACTATTCACAGAGGCCAACTTACATCATCTTCTCAGTCTATAAAACCGAATAATTAATTCAGAAGTCTCGAGAAAGTTTCGGAGAAATTTTCCAGTCAATGGTTTTCTTTTTCATTTATTTCTATATAATCAAATATGACGCTGATTTAAAACTCTCATAGGGAAAGCGTGAGGCTGTGTCTAGCTTTTGAAATGTAAATCATTTAAGCTAATCTTTGTGATTTCACAAGCAGCTTTGAATATGACTATATAGTAATAAATACAATAATTTAGTTTCCGAAAAGAACACTCTTTTCGATTAAATAGCTAAGTGGGAAGCGTCCATCTATTTACGGAAAGGTATATGTTTATAAATACATACCTGTCAATTTTAACCGTTTTTTCTTACCACCATTTTATGAGGATTTTATCTTTGAAAATAAATTTTTATAGGATCATTTGGTTTTATCATCTGAGTTGATAACGTACATTGACCACCGTCGTAACGTGAGCGTTAGCCTTTCTTCAATTGGAATCAGATCGACAATAACACTGAGAGAAATGTATACTTGTAATGATCACTTCTTTCAAGTTTGTTTTGAGGGATCTAGCACTTTACTTCATGTTCGTAACTAACTATTGCTTGCCTTGTAATCACGGTAAATTTCGAGGTAGGGTCTTTACGATGTGAAAGTAAAGATACGCCAAAAATAAACTGCATATATTTGAAGCACAGGTATCATAAACGTACATCTATCAGGAAACAGCAATAAATCCAAAAATATTGCCGGATTAAATGAGTACTACATTTTACGTTCTGCTCTCATTTCATGGGCTTATCATCGGCGTAGCTATCACACTTACGACTGTACCACTTGTCTATTTCAGAAGTGTATAACAGTCCTTCAAAGCGTTTCCGCAACCATGTATTTTTGATGGTCGTTCAAACATCGTTGTCGAATTATATTGTTCTGTCATCTGATTGTGCTTTCGAAAAATTCAAGCTTTAATTTTTTTTTTAATGGTAAAACCGAATTCTCCTCTACGTCTCTATTTTAAAGGGTGTCACATTGTCATTGATGCGAATATTTTGTTGGTTTATGAGCAGGATTGCAGATTTCTGAACGTTCTTATACACATATCTAATGAAATACCTTGATTGCCAAGCTTTATTTTCATTATCTTCCGCCGGGACCGCGAGGCAGCACTGATAGGAAAACGATGCAAATCAGCCAAGCTAATTCGTAAATAGATTACAGGGGAAGCAAAATAGTAACTTAAAAATTAGTTTAGTAGCAAACGGGCTATTGCGAGGAGACTTGTGCTTGCATCGTATGAAGATAAACCGTCCCATTTCAACAGCAACTTTATTCTGTTTTATGAAATTCACTAAAATAGATAAATAAATAAATGAATGAAAAAGAAAAAAATGAAAAAAAAAAATTCCAAGCCAATAATTTACTTCTTTGAGTATCACATCCTATGCGAGTCCTATGCATTATACAGGGATCGTCAGCCCTAAAAGAATATAAATAAACAAATTATTAGTCTAAACATTTTCAAACGGTTCGAAATTAAGTTTCTCATAACACCATATTACATTAAAGCCTTGTATCAATCCCAAAACGCAGTTGTGATTCTTGTCAAATTACATATGATATCGGATTCGAACCTCATTTGACCGGCGAGACTATTTAAAAAGTTTCTTTCTTGAAAGCCAGAACAAAATGTTAAACACCCATGAAATACGTTCTCTAAGCAAGCGTAAATATGCGGTTTAGCCCATAACTACATTTGGCAAAACACCTCAACAAACATAAACAAATATAAGGACTCAAAAGAAATCAAAGAGAAAGTAACGCGAGGAAAGAAAAAAAAAAAACAATAAACAAATTGATCGATGTTGTAACTTACTATTCTTCCGTTGCCACAGTATCTCAACTGACAATATGGCGCCGATCGAAGATAGAAGACGTAAAATCCTGCGCAATTACGAACTTTAGCTTGGGTGGACGTGAAACAGCAGTCTCTGTCTTGGTTAAAGCAAATTTCTCGAGACACAATTCCATCTTGAACGGAAGGAAGTGGCCCGTTTAGCCATCCAGGTACGATGGTCCCGCATTTGAACCTACTGGGGCAACTGTTGGCCATAGCCGTGCCCGCACGGCCTTCGAATCGATACCACGAAGGCTTGAGATTGAAATCGCACGGAGCAGAAGGGGTGTAAGGGTGATGAATCGACCGGTCTGGTGCTTGGAGAATTCGGTATTCTTTACATTCTGGAAAAAGACAAAGTTTGCAAGAGAGCAAATAACTAACTCGTACAGCAACAGCACTTCGATAAGTCAATGCTAAGGAAATAACTTGATAAAAATCCCTTTTCAGTCGAGTCTTGCTGCGTTTCAAAAAATCTATTTTCTCCGCTTTAATTTCGGATTTTATTCGTTCCTTGTCCGATTATCCTTACGTCTAGGATTGGCCGCGGTGATCGCTTTGGGTTACGTTCTATGACACTTCATCAAAATTAAATGCTCTCTATCAGCTGTGGCAAAAACTATTACCTTTAAAAACGAGCCGGTACACAAAATTAGCCATTCGCTTTCCAACACCATTTACACATCGGGTCGACTTTCCATCCTCGTCATAAGTCAAATGTGCATGTGGTCCACTCCAGCATTCACCGTAGAACTGAAGACCAAAGTACACATAGCCGGCCTTTTTTACTTCTTTGGCACAGGCTTGTATCGTGTTATTAATGTTATTCCAATCAACTCGATAGGGCCTGGAGCGATAATTCCTGACTAGAAGGGGTAGTGGCCTTGGTACGTCCAATTTGTCCCCAAAACAACCAATTGGTTCGTAATGAAAGTCTAGAATATTCGAAAACAAAACAAAATTGTCAAGACAAAAACAATACGCATATAAACAAACAAAGAAACTAATGATTTTTTATGGATATAGCATCGCCCCTGAAAAAAATTGGTTGTTCCAGGGGTCCGTTTCTCGAAGGCCCAGGTAACTTAACGGGCTCGTAAAGTGGTTCTGTGTTCATTCAAGATGAGGGTCACAAAAATTTTGAAAATTATGCAATGAAACTATCAGCTAGAAAAACAACATGGACTGGTTCGTTTGCCAGAACATGCTTCTCTATTCTTAAAATTTTGATTTTAAAATACGGCTTTGGATCCGTTTAGTTACCGGGACTTTTGAGGAAACGGGCCCCAGTAAAGGTATAAATAATATAAATATTGGTCTATCAACGATGCTCTTTGTCACATTATAAGCCTCGCAGTTTGACTGGTTTATTTATAAGTTACAGTGACATTTGGTATTGAAATTTCCTCAGCGAGATGATCCACCAGTTGCAACATATATCAAAGGAGTTTTAGTCTGCCTTGTGTGGTTCCTCAATCTGTATTTTAAATTTCCTCATCCTCATTATCAATCCATTTTAATTCCATCCAGCCCAAGCCATCCTTATTTAACAATCTTTGGTTGTCTCTTTTACTATCAGAGTTAACTTTATTAGAGACAAAAAAAGTTTCTCAAAATATTCACGATGCCAAGCTTAACTACGTGGCGAAACTCATTACTTTAGTTAGCTTTCTTACTTTAGATAACATGTCATAACAAAGGAGAAGAAAAACAGCCAACCGCGCGGAAGCTGCTGAATACATATTGCTATCAAAACATGCCATCCTATTATATTTGAAAAGAAATACCATGTAACCTGTAATATGACATAAGCAAAAAAGAAAAGGCATTGAATCTTTTGAACAAATACAGAGACTGAATGAAAATCTGATTGCTATCCAAATTAACTTCGGTTTGGAAGAACCCCGGCAGATAATTTTTCCGAATACACCCTCGTTGGAATGTTTTTTGAAAAAAAAAGAAAAAAATTACATTAAAGAAAGCTAACACACACCAGCCACTGAACTGTAACTTGACTAGAAAAGAAATTTACGAGCGCCATAGATGAAATTTATGAAACTAGTTTCATCTCTCTGGCGTTTAACGCTGGTCACTTGGGTGGATGGATCGCATTGGACAATTTATGAATTTTTAAAGGCATAATTCGTAAATTGATTAGCCACACAGGAAAGAGTTATCGGTAATGTAGAAACGAAAGAGAGTTTAGCGTAAAAACAAAAACAGATCGTCAACTGCATTTAAACAGGAGTCGTTTTTAGTAAGCACGTGGTAAAACATCTACAACGACCAGTTTCATACAAGTAAAGATTATTTCGAAACAAAGGAAAGCTCTCCATATTGAACTTTTTGACTGTTCTTGGGGTTTAAAGTCCTTTGGCTATTTACGTATATATTATGAATCAGAATCGTGCTGCGTAAGATTAAAATTCTAAGGTTAAACTAAAGTTTCTTGAAGAAAGCGCGCATGCTTTTTATCTCGAAGATTATCATTTTTTTCTTTTACGCACAGTGCTATCAATAGTCTTTACCTTCTTCATCTCGGAATAAATTAATTTTCTCATTCTCCTCTGCCGCTATTAAACAACTAAGGAAGAACTGCAACAGAAGAAACTGAGGCGTGATCATTGTTCTTTGGGCTGCAACAAAGCTCTGTCAAGGTCTGATCCTTTTTGCGCCTTCAAACCGATTTTATTTTGTTCAACTCGAACATGATCAACAAACAAAACCGCCAACACAATATTGTTTAGATTGCCACAGTATTTTTGTAGTTGACATTGTCTAGAGAGCATTGAAAGAAGTTAGTTTTACAAAGAGATCTTGAAAGTGTCAACACGACAGCTGCTAATAACATACTGTTGACTAAGCACTCCAAATGTTCCGTGGCACATGTCGATGTCACCCTTATAGCGTTTTTATTTAATTAAATGGTAGAAATTTGACTGAATACTGAAAAATTTGTTCTGAGGACTGAAAATAACAACTCAAAACCGCGGTGATTATTAGCCTAGCTGATCATCATCATCAATATTGTTTTGATAACTCTTTACGTTAGAACATGAATTTTTGAGATATGTTCCTTTTCTTTCGCTAATATAATCTTTGACAGAGGAGTGGCCACAGAGTGGTTGGATGTGAATAACAAAGCCATTCTGACAGACAGTCCGCCTCAGCTGTGGAAACAAACTTTATTAAAAACATTAAAATCGGACACAGATGAACCGGACACGTTTTTACTCATCGTAAGCAAACTATGTCTGTTAACCTGAAGAATCAACATTAATAATCTGAACGGAAATTCGCTTTTTGACTTTGCGACTAGCACTCAATACGCCGAAATTTCTTCGTCAAAATGCAATGCATTCACGAGTAAATATTCTTAATTCTGAAACGAATATGTTTGTCCACAGTGGGTAGCTATGTTTAAACGAGGGTCCCAGTGAGTTTATGGATTTTACGGCTTACGGTTAAAAATTTTGGCCAATCTACGGCTAACAGTTGATATATTTCCATTGTAATCACTAGAACTTTTTTTTATGGTTAACTTTTTTTTACGACTAATCATTGAAATTTGTCAATTTTTTTCGGCCAACGGCCAATTTTTTTGGCAGAAATGTTTTCAATTCCGACTCTAGAAAGCTATCTTTCAGCCGTGAATGAAGCAATTACCGAGAAAAAAATTGATACAATTGAATTGTCGGACGAAGAAACGACCATGACCATCAATGGAAATTGTAAACATTTTCAGTGGAGTTTGCACTGAGGAATACTGGGAAAAAAATGATCTAAGCAACACAAAAGAAAGCTCAAGAAACTTCAGGATAATTTAATATTATCAACTAAGTTGATAACGTAAATTGGCCACCATAAAAAGTTTCAATGCTGACGTTTCGAGAGTCAATACGTCAGAGCGAATGGCCTTCGCTCTGACAAAGGGCTAACGCTCTTAACGTCAGCTTTGAAACTTTTTACAGTGGCCAATTTACGTTATCAACTCGTTTGATAATACTAAATTACCCTGTTATGCTCTTCCAGCGATGCAACCCCACAGTTTCTCTACAAACTTACCCCTTCGTTCAAGAAACTTCAACTGCGAACTAAAAGGAAAGGCACGGGAAAACACACCTTGATTTGAAAAGTAAAACGCAATTGGGAAGGGAAAAGAGGAATGGAAGGTGAATTGTACTGCATCACGGAAAGACGGAAAGGACACATAAGTGATTAAAGAAGGTAACAGGTGATTGTGATTGACCTTCGGGATACAACAAGGAATGAAGAGGGAGGTGGTAAAAACATATACGAAAATGATATATGCAAGGTCAGGGGAACGTGTTATCGCTTTGAGAGGCGAAATTGATAACGCAAAGGGTGGTCACAAATTTAAAACCTTGATAGAATGTTATAAATGAATATGTTATCTTGATATCAGCTGTGTTGAGCAGATAATAATGTTAAAAATGACTGGCTGATACAGTGGGTCAGTTCACTACCCGTTTCATTACTGAAGACCTCTCCTAATCACTGCCCGTTTCCGCAATATGCATACTGGCAGCTGATCTTGTTGTTCAGCTTGTAAACGAAAAAAGATGAACAGTTTCGAATCCGAATGTTGACTTTTTTGCTACAGCAATTGCCATCCCATTTGAAGCAAACATCTCCTTCTTGAATTCCGTCTGAAACCTTCAATTTACAAAAAAAAAACCAGAAAGAAAATAGATGGAAAATGGTTAATGCGTATTGATATGGCATTCCTAGTGTTCATTCCCTTGGTTTGGTTTGAATTTGTCTTAACAAGGAATACGACTGACAGAGATACAAAGTTTGGAGTTAGTCCAAGTTAGTTCATTAACTTTCAACATGAAGTGTGGAATAGATTCTTTGGTCAATAAATGTTTATCTTAAGGTGAAGAGATCTTCTCTTCAAAAGAATGCCCCAAGCGAAATGAATGACTACTTTTGACTAATGAGTGGTAGTGGATGATATAGTTACCACTGCTACCTGACCATTTCCCATGTGTTGACATTTTACTTTGAGTAAACAAGCCACTCCCTCGTTATACAGATGGTCACGAAAAAATCATGGGCCAATATCACACAAAGAGATAATCCAAATTTAAACTGAGGATTACCTGAGGATAAGATCCGCTGTACCATCCTGTACCAAACGTCTGACACCTGCTGGATGGGACACATTGGTCTGCCATGGCACTACCTGCTTGGCCAGTAAATCTATACCAGCGGTTTTCATCCAACTGTCCATTGTCGCATCTAATCGGGCGTCCATAGTTAGTTACATGAAACTGAGATCGGGAGGCGTCGTCAAAAATTTTGTAGCTTTTACATTCATTTTCTGCATAAGAACAACAGCAGAATTTGCATGAAGTATACACAAAAGAGAAAATATTGGTATACTGTTACAAAATTGCGTAAGGACGCTTTAGTATCGAAACCGTACAACATTGCGATGACAATTGTGCTAGACCGCACGCGTACCTACCTGTAATCTATTTTCTTCGTCTGCTTTTTCTTTCGCCCATTGTCTGTGACTCTTACTATGACGTTGTTTAATAATATTTCGCGCAATAATACTTCACGCACAAAATCAAACCCACGAAAACAAAATTTTTAACTATCGAGGTCTTGAGCAAAAGGTCGTTTGGGTCCAACTCGGCACAGTATTAAAAGATAAAGAAGACAAATCGACCTTTAGAAGTAAAAAACAGAACAAACAGTTCTTTGAAAGCAACAAGAATAACAAAAATAATTAATGAAAATAAGGAAACAAGGCTTTGACTTGACTAAAGCACGTGCCTTCCGTGTAACGGCTGGGTACAATGGACTTTAATCCACCCGCCACATGTGGATTAACCGAAATAGGAGGAGAATCAGTTCCAGTAATCAATTAGTCGCTTACATATGTACACAAGTACAACAAGCATCAATGTAAATCTTTCCTAGTAAGTGCTAACCTTCAGTAAGCATGTAAACGAAGTTGGCGTGATCCTTTCCCACATATGGAGCCGCCGTGGTGCATCTCTTGGATAAACCGTGTTTAGCATAGGTACTTTGACTTGCTGATCCACTCCAGCACTCTCCATAGAATTGGATCCCGAAAAATGAATAGCCCCTCTCTTTAGCCTGAATAGGACAAAAAAATGCTCGTCATATTTCTCGTATAAAACTTTGAAAAACGTCAGTTCAGTGTAACAGGCTTCTTACAGAGCTGTATGCGTAGAAAGAAAATAAAGTTACCAAGACGACCGTAAGTACCGTGGCGAATTAAGAGAGATGTCTGTGCAAGTACCTTCGCCATTTTTTTTCTTTGCAACTATTATGAAAAACATCAACAACGACAACAATGTCAACAATAATAATCAGGCAAACCTTAGTGGCGCATTTTTTAATGACAGAGTTTTCCAAATCAGTCCAGTCCAAGATATCTGGCCATTTTGCGTTTTTCACGCGGTAGTTTGCGAGCAAAGTAGGCAAGGCCCTATTTAAGCGTATGTCCTTGTAACATCCGACGGGTACGTAGTCTATGACGTCTGTAAACAAGAAATGACCGACAAATTGTAAGTTATTTCATTTAGGAGTGACTTTTCTACATGACCATGAGTGATTTTAGCGCAAAAGATCCCGAAACATGCTGGGATCAGTAAAAATAAAGAATTTTAAAAAAAGATACAAAACGAAAAAAATTAAAACAACTAAGAAGAATCAGACGCAAATTAAACAAAAAAATAGCACAAGCAAAGAGGAGAAGTAATAAGCCAAGGGTACTATGAAATATCCAATAAGTGTGGTGAGAAACTCGTTTTGTTTGGTCAAAAACTCTTTGGAATATTGAGGGAATGGAAAATTGACAGAGAAAATAGTGGACTCTCATCAAGGAGAACTTTAGAGAGGAGAGATAAAATAACCTGAAACAAAAAAAATTAATAAATAGGCTCCACCATGAAGCAGCTAGTTGTCAATTCTTTTCTTATCGTATGAAAAATCTACCCGAAAACTCGAAATTCTCGATTAGAGAACACAGAAAAAAAAACCATGGAGTATACAACGAGCAGAACGAAATAAAAAAATCGGTTACCGGCTAAAACATTTGGAAATATTTAAGAGCATCCTCAAAAGATGGAATAAGTATAGGAAGAGACCTACCGATGCTGAATACTTGACTCGCAAGCAGAATGCAAACGATAGTCTTGAAAACCATGTTCAGAACGTACAAAACTGAAAAAGATAATGTCGATGCTCCTTGTGTAATTACCTCAGTTAGTTGAAAGGGGAAATAAATGAGAATGATAGAAACAATTACTCGAAATCACATGGGTGAGCCACCTTTCTTCGACGACTAAAAAAAGTGACGTCAAATTCTCAGCGAGGCTGATTTAAATTGTAAAAACAGAAAATATTGACTGGTTACGTGTGAATGTCATATGACAGGCTGGGTAAAGACATTGGCACATGCTCTAAAAGGTAAGCTACCTCCGGTTTTTATGGAGCCTTTCAAGAATTTTTCAAATTAAATGCAAAAATTGCATGTTTGTAAAGGTAATTTCCGTGTACGTCTCATGTATGCGGCGTTCAAAATTGTTCTAGGATGCCCTCTTATTACCAACGATTTGTAATTGGGCATTACACTAAAATAGATAACTCGGGAAATAACAATTGTCAAAACGTCCTGCTAAGATCCGGAAAGAGTACGAAAACGACTAATTTAACCCGTCCATGAAATTACCAGGCCCGTGTCACGCAAAATTGCTGTCTTGATCACATACGGTGCAGTCACCCGGAGTGACTTCACAATGTAAAGTTTATGTCCTCTGGGATATCCGATACCTTCCAATTATTGTAACATTGTTACCAGGAGATTTAAATGCGCAAGGAGCAATGAAGATCAACTTACAACAATAACCTGTCGAGATTTAAGGAGTCTTAATAATAAGCAATTTGTTTCATCGTTTGACAAGGTATCCTGGGATTGTGCGCTTTGCGTTCGAGGACACTACTGACATGGTCGACGCCTGGTATAACATCTTCTATGGCATTAAAGATGAGTACCTCCTTGTCAAAGAGAAGAGAGTAAAATTCTCGGCTAAAATGGCAAAGCACTGAATTTCAACTAGAAAAAGGCAAGCTGAAAGTAATTGGAACTTATTTAGGCAAGCGAAAAACAGTGACTCGAATAATGAGGAGTGTTAAAACATTTCACCTCAAAGATGTTGACACTAAAAATAAGACTGATTTTAGGAAACCTTGGAATCTAAACAAAAGTCTGTTAAATGACGATAGAGAAGCCCGGAATTGGAGTTTTGGAGCTGATATAAAACGAAAATATTACATTAAATATTGCATTTCCGAGACACAATTTTTTTCGTCGATCAACCGAAAACATTGGTCGTCTCGCTAAGGCTCAGTTCCCTGAGTGACTCCTTAAAGATAACATTACCAGACAGAGCAATAGCGCATTTGAGCTCCCTAAGATAAGAGGGCCTGTATGGGGTTAACCGACTTGCGAAAAAAGGCGAAAAATATAACTGACTACAGCTACTGTGAGAATGCAAAGTGAAATTTAGGAATAGCGACATGGAAACACTAAACGACATCCCACATAGTTCAACGCTGTGGGTATTTGTATTCAGAAAGAAGAGCATTTTAACTCAGGAAGTAGCCACTTTAAATTTAAGGGTGAGGCCCGGGCTCATTTCTAGAGTGGTTTCTGTTACTAACTAAGATGAATAATCAACTTGCATGTTTAATCATTAACTGGAATTTATTAACAAACGACAAAGATCAAAATTTTTTTTTAAGTCCGACTAACAAAAAAGTGATTCAATTCTATCCGACAACCAACATGGCGAACCCCCTATTTTCATACCCAAGAATAACGATATCGCTATCACCCCCAACACAGAAGGTCACCGGAGATGATGGCAATAGCGCCAAAATACTTAGAACATCGGCAATTATATTTTTACATTGTTTATTTCGTCAAAATATAAATTAAGTAATACCTAAAACATTATAATTTTCTTTTCCTCCTTATGTCGAATCATAGCTATAACTTAAAAATGAATGCTCTAAATCCTCTCGGTAAATCATTTCACAACACATTTAGCTTTTGAAGTCTTCTAAGACTAGTAAATAACAACAACAAAAAATAATTCATTCGCCACAGAGATACTGACCAAGTCTCTTTTAATTTTTTAAGTTTTTTCGCTGTTTATGTTCGGCCAGCTTGTTTCTTTGTCAATTCAAAGCGATGCAGTATAAATTGTTATTTAATCTTCCAAAGCTTTACCAAAAAAAATTTTTTTGCAAGGCACAATCATTTAATGCCACTCCAAGCAATCACGCATTCTTGTTCTGGCTGACACCTGCAAGATTATAATAGATATGTAAATGAATATACAATAAGGCAGATAGATAAGTGGTAAATGAATAAATAAATAATGAAAAATACATTATCAAACGAACGAACGAATTTATGAATGAACCAGTTAATATCAACATTTACGAAACAAAAAATTATTTGCTTCCCAAATCCTATTACTGATCGTACAAACGAGCTGATTTAACAACAACCTTAACTTAACCTTAATTGAAATCAATATTTATGTGTAGATAATATCTAAATGCTTACCGCTCCCACAGTATCGAAGAAAACAGCCGGGGGTGCTTGGAAGCTTGTAGACATAAAATTCACCACAGTTTCTGACGTGAATATAAATCTGGCGTTCACAACAGTTATTATTCTGGCGTTTATAAGGATTACTTTCCGAGCTAAAACAAGCTTTTCTTCTTTGAATTCCATCAAAAACCTAAATTAAAAACAAAAAATCAGCAACACTTCGGACATTCGCAATGAAAATCCTCCTTAGGAACAAAGAGATTGAAGGGGAGAATGGATGCAATTAAAAAAAGGCCTGATTTTGGTTATGCCTTGCGAACGTATTTCCAATGAGAGGTTCCATTAAAATATTTAGATAGAAATGTCAGGGAAGTGACAGCCCTTTCTAAATGTGATAAAAGTAAGAGTTGTATCAGCCCAGGATTACGAATGACAAACAATATAAAGGTCTACTCTAATACCTTTTTATAATATCCATAAACATCAAAGCTACACGCCTTTGGGCTTAACGTCACAACAAACCTTGGGATGTGTTCCATTCATCCATCCAGCCATTGTGGTCTGGCAACTTCCTGCCTGCACACACTCATCCGCCATGGTTTGCCCAGCCGCGCCGGTGAACCTGTACCAGGCATTTCTCACAAACCCAGAGTTCCAATGGTCGCACTTGTCTCCTTGGGAGACAGTGTTGACGTTTGTCTTTGACCTGTCTGCTGAGTCCAGAACACGATAAGTGGTGCATTCATTTTCTGTGAAAAAAATACAATAGATAGTTATTCTTAAGAGCAACTGTAAGTGATAATCTTTGTTATAACTTTTGCATTTCTATTTTTTTTTTCGACATCGCTTTTTTCTTTGTCTTCTTCATATTATTTTTGCTTGTTGTTGTTATTCTTTTTGCTGTTGTTTTATTTTTCTTTTGCTTTCTTGTCTCTTTTCTCTTTGGTTATGGTCGGTCTCGTGCAGCATGTCGTGGTAATAACTTTCTTTAAAGATACAAACCACTGACCATTAGTCTAGTTAGTTATTGGCCACCATCACTGGGATCGGAAATCTTGAATATTCTATCCTCTTGAAATTGTTTCCTCTTTCACAATGATCGCCATCTCGTAAATTCTTTGTAGGATTTAAATGAGGAAATTCTGATATATCCTTTTACTTAGTCGCTCACCTTTCTCTAAAAGCTTGATCTTGTACACGAAATTTGCTCGCTCTTCTCCAACACCTTTGCTACAATTCTTGGAGGGACCATCTCTAGCATAGGTCAATTGAGCCTGTGGGCCACTCCAACACTCGCCGTAAAATTGAAGTCCAAAGTAAAGATATCCCTTTTTCTTGGCTGCTTCAGCACAAGCAGCTATGGTATTGTTCAAATTATTCCAGTCTACTCGACCACCTCGGAAGTTTTCTATCAGCTCTGGAAGAGGTCTTGGCTTTACCAGAGTATCCCTGTAGCAACCAATCCGCGAATATTCTATTGCGACTGCAAATCAAAAGAGCCACGTAACATTTTCATTCAGGATGTAACATGTCATTTTTTCGTAAATAAATAACAAATAAAATAGCAAATAAAATCGATTTAGATCAAATTGGGAATATTTTCTAACATTGAACCTTACCATCTTGTGAGTTTTACTAAATTTACAGGTCAACAAGTTAATTGATCATTGTTTTAATCTGCCCTCGCTAAAAAGGTACATCAGTTTTCCGCCTGAGTTTGTCATATCCGTCGAGAGAGAGAGAGAGAGGGAAAATTTACTTGTTATTTTAGCGGGAACAGAAGAAATCCTAAACCAATCACAACGCATGATTTGATGATTCATTAATTGATCACGTTACATTGCACTTTAAATGATTGACAAGTAAATTCATTGAAAAGTCAGTTATGCTTACCAGTGCTTTGAAAGGTCAGGGCAACAAACAGCACAAATGTCAGTGGGCTGTACATCATTATTTTACTCAAATGGGTCTTGAAGTCTGCGTATTGAAGTAAAACCTATTCAGTTCTTGCTGGAGCTAGAAAATTGTAAAACTGCAAAAAGAGCTTAAACTGCATGGAACTATGACGCAAATGGGGAGAATTAAGTGTACTACAAATAAAAATTCTTTTGAAGATAGGTATAAAGTCAGGCGTGTAGAAATCGATTCGATTTAATTTTTTACGAAATTCAGTTAATCCAGGGGTTCATATGAGATTCACGTTAAACAAAACGAAATTGAAAAAAAATTGTGTTGTTGTGTTTTACGAAAGGCCAAGCAAAAATAAATTTGATGTGATTATCATGCTGAGAAGTAAACAGATTGTTCGGCCTCAATCGCCCCATTGAAATGATCGCCAAAGGAAAGGCTTGGGTAATAAAACTGTTCAGACTGCCTTGAAACTCATAAAACTCAGCCTGAATAAACAGCTCATAGCTTTTGACGAACGCCCACTTTTTAGGTAGGCTGATAAATACAAAGTGGCACTCGACTGGCAGACTGTTGACAATGAAGTTATTGTCTTCCAAGTGTGTATTCAGCATATCGCGTTTTACTGTTAGATTTAACTTCTTCAAGAGAAAAGAAGGTAATATTGATGAGCGACCAAAAAAGTTTCTGATAACAATATGAAATACAATCCCTTACCTTGAAAATTAAACAAGATGCAACTTGGCTGACTCAGTTCTTATCCTGAAAAAAATCTTGTAACAATGCAGCGTAAAGTTTGTCCAACCGTCTTTGATCAGTAAGCTTTGGTCTCCCCCTATTTATATAGTATAGTTCTCGGATGACTCATATGTAAAAGGATACCTAAAGTCTATTTTTGTTTTGATATTCAGTCCTACGTACGATGGGCGGACTGAACCGCTAAATACTCAAAGTCAATTCGTTGTCTACTGACTCCCAGGAAACAGGATTTTTCCTTTTCTAAACGGCCCGTTGAACAAGAATGAGTGCTGCTAAAAGGCTTTGTTATAAGTACATCCGTTACGTGACGCAAGAAGTGATGCTTAACCGTAAACTATACGATGCGGTGGGAGCGAAATTATTACTGACTTCCTGCACACCCGAGAAAGTGTGGACGGGTAGCACGCATAGAGTTTCGTTCGGCACTTTGAACAATCGCTTAATCACTGCTAGTCAGGAATTCCTACGTTGCCTTTGATGGAAACGACAATCATCGAAAGAAAGATTGACATTTTATCCTAGTTCTTACTTTCAGTCTCATTATATGCTTTAAAAGAAAGTGTCAACGCAAGCAGTCAAGATAACTCAAATAGTGGCAGCGGCACAAAAAAATAATCGCGTGATATTTTATTTCCCTTTTTGTTCTGTTTAGAGTTACATGTTAGTCAGGAGTGCAAGTTATTTGTTAGATAGTAGATATTCGATACTTAAAGCAAAATTCCAAAATTGTGGAAAACGTTAGTGCAATCTCGACAAGCGCCCAGGGTCAAATATTTCAAGTTGTTCATTTGAGAGGGTGAAAATGTTCATTTGGAATGAAGGATTAAGATTTCTTTTAGTCTAACCGACTTCTACTTATGGTTTGACGGTGGTCATGTCGACGGAACTCGTAAGGAAGTATCACCTCCTACGTATATAAGATATTGCCTTTATTGGGGTATGATTAACTGATTTTTTTAAAACGGAATTTAATACAACGCTCACGAAATTGCGTTACATAATTCAACGATCGAGGTCTTGCATCACGCTTGACGTGTAGTTAAACATGGCTTTCTTTTTTACCAAATGGCCGCGTCGTTTCAGATTATCGCGTAGATTCTTGTCGTATCAAATTCACATCCATCACTGGGCCTCTCTACTCATAATTTGCAGTGGAAAAGCCATGATATCCTGGCGATATCTTATTCATAAAAGGAACTTGGAAGTAAACCGCAAAATTCGGATGTTGAACAATATACCGGAATTGCAACAAAATCAATTCCTTTAGATACGCTTTGCTGCCCCTGATTCTTAACGTTGTGTCATTTTGTTTACAAGGTTGCCAAGAGATTTCGAACTCTTACGTCCAAATATCACGTCAAAGGGTTAGATAATTCCTTTTTTTAAGATAAACCCTAGCAAAAAAATAAAAAATAAAAATAAATAACTGTGTTTTTGTATGCTTGTATTGGAAATTTTAGCTGTCTGCATCTGAAATGATTAGCGGGTAGGGACTTAATAATTGGCCTCAATCTCCGTAATGAAGAATCAGTCGTATCTCGTAGCTCATATCAATATATTTGAGTAGATAAATAGATACATGACTAAGATTTTTAGGAAAAGAGTGAGGAGATGTAAACCTTGGCTGTATATATAGGTATCTCCAAGAGAAAATAGTGGGATATTATTTACTCCTGGGGTCTCTTATTTTTGGCTATTATCTGAAAATAAAGAGCTCGGAAGGTGTTTCTTGATGCGTTACAATTTTTCTCAGTAAGAAATGAACGACCCAGTGAGCATAAAAACGTTAGATGGTTAGAATCTTTTGAAATATATATTTGACCTGTTTCTTTCAGTCTCGTTTGGTTGCTAAGATATGCACGTAACGTTAAGGTCAATTATACGTCAATTGTCTGGATACAAGCCGTACTTTTGATAGGGGAAATAATTAATATCAGAGTTGTGTCGCTGTTTTTTTTCCTGTCGGAAGTTAAAACGAAAAAGGGAGCTTAATGTGGCAATGGAACACGTGCTGGCGGGATTACCTAATGTTTTTCTTACCTTTTTCAGGGATTATGAAAGTCACGGTAACATTGCCAATTAAGGGTGTTAATTTCTGACTTCCGAGGCAATAACGCGTTAACATTCTTAGCTCGCTAAACTCAAGACGAACTGTTTTCACTGAATTTCCGGACTTTCCGATTTTGTCTAGCCAAAATTGTCCTAGTGAAAACACAACCAAGATAATTTTGTCGTAATTTGTCTAGGAAGTGAGAAATTGTCAGCCTGACTTGGCAATGTTATTCTGAATTAGGGCCGGGTCGCACTAGAGCCAATTTTGTTTACTTCCAATTTTTGGCGAGGAAAAAATTGGGCCAAATTTTGGCGGTGGTCGCATTGGACCAACATGCTTGAGCCAAAACTTCGCTGATTGACATATATGTCATGTCACGATATCTACAGTCAAGAAAACATCTCGCGCATTGCTTGTGCAAGAATGGATCGTCATATACAGGTGATTATTTTCGCGGCTTTCGGGCTTTTGTTGAATTTTGTGTTTCAGTCTCAACAGAACAACGCAGCGTTTTTAGTATTGTTGATGCGGTAGCCGGATCCAGGTAGGATTCATTGGCATTTCCAAAAAACTGCCGCTCGTATTCCGCGTTTCCATTGTAAAAACCATAGAAAGAAGGGTCAGATGGACAAAAAATGGGCTCGTTTTTGAAACTGAGGGTCGCACTTATTTTACGTTACTTGGTGACAGATTTATTACTTATGCAAACAAAATTGGCTAAAATTCGCTCTAGTGCGACCCGGCCCTTACTCGATGACTGCAGTTCGATTTCTCTTGATTGAACGTTGCTTAAAAATTTTGTCTTATTATCTACAGAGTGCCCTGACAGCTGTCGCCTGTTGTTTTGTTTATTAATTTGTATAGCATCAATTCTCTCCTATGAGAAAAACATTTCGATCTGTCGAAAGTTTTGATGAAATTAGGAAGGAGTGTGTAGGGCTAATACATGAAAGGGAAAATACGGGAATAGGTTGCGGATATGCCGGACATGCGTTGGCTTTATCCTCTCATGTGGCCCAATACTTATTGGAATAACTAAATCTTTATCGGATAAATTGGAAGATGCAAATTATTATATTCTCAGAACGTTATTAGGTTTTTCGTATGATAATATTCTTAAATTAATTAACACGCGTACACTAGAACTAAGGAGGTTTTTTCATGTTTTGATCCTACTTTTTAAAAGTTTCATTGAGTAGGGTCCTACTTATATTAAAGATTTCTTTAAACTTCGTACAATCAATTATAATCTTAGAGGCTCAGGGTGATAAATGATATACTTTTAGAAGTATATTAGACAAATTAAACCTTGTACCGTTTATTTATCGCTAAGCACCATAATAGGAATTTGTTACTGTGCCCTGCATATAATTTTTGATAGTAGTTTATACTTATGTAATTTTCATTATTTTCAGTATTTTGTAATTGCACGTGCGCATTGTAAACGAGTATGCTTAATGCTCCTAGGAGTTATGTGGATAAATAACCTATCTATCTATCTATCTATCTATCTATCTATCTCTCAAGTAAGAAACGCCAAACCGATCTGTTACTGTTGTCTCGCTTGTCTCGTCTATAAGGTTGGTGTTAAACAATTTTTCTGCAACTTATTTCCCAGTCGCGCAAACTGTAGATCATTGAACAAATTACTCTGCTTTATCCAAACAAGAACGTTAGCAGTCTAATGAGAAAATTTAGAGATGTCCGCCGACTTTTTTAACCGTTTGAATATCGGAAAAAGCTTTCACAATATGGAGTCAAACTTTTGTGCAAGTAAAACTTAAAAGAAAAAAAATACAACCCACTCGTCGAAAATAATCAGAAAGAATGTGCATCATCATGATTTGAGGCGCAACACGTGATCAAAAATAGCTCTTTGATTGAGAACCGGACAGAAAAGGCGTAACCTTTCCGTGACCCATCAATTCGGCTCATGAAACGGACACCAGACAGGAAGTCTGATAGTTACTGGCAAGAGTAATTTGAACACTAAGATAGGGAAAAATGCAGCGTCAATCTAACATATGCCAATAGTTATCATATATCACTCGGTAGAAATGTCAATTTATGAACAGTTCAAAATTAATAACTCTGAATAATTCCTTTTTTTGTCATCTAAAAAAATGTAAAGTCGGTTTTGGTTTAGTTAGGTAACCTTAAAATTGTAACATACTTCTTGCCACATTTTCGTGCTAAAGTCGCACTGTTTTGTCCAGTTATCGTATATTACTGGGTAGAAATCTCAATTTATGAACAGCTGAAAATTAAAACTCTTAATAATTCCCTTTTTGCCATCTAAGTCGGTTTTGGACCATCTTTAGGTAAGCTTAAAATTTTAACATACTTCTTGCTATATTTACGTGCTAAAGTCGTACTGTTTCGAAGATTTTTCGACTTTCAAAGATATTCTTTATTCTACCAGCCGAAAAGTAAAAACAACAGCAAAATCAAAATCAACTTATCGAGTGTAGAGTCCACATAAATATGATTTTACCTATTGTAATTAAGAAGAGTGATATCCTGTGTTTTACATTGAAATCTGATATCTAAACACATACTGTAACTTAGATCGTAGAGTACTTCTCTTTTATCAATTTCACTAGCGTCACCCCTGAATAAGCAGTGGATTAAGATCGAAGAAGCATCTTTTTTTTCTTTCAAGTACAACAGCTTTTCTGGAACGGTATGCAGTTGCTAAGCCTGAGATTTAATCTGCTTGCGTCAGCATACCCAAGCCTCGCCTCCAAGGCGCATAACGGTGAATTTTACTTGGCACGTATTCTCAAAACATTGAAATCAAAAGCATACCAACTAAGAAAATATTCATGAAAATTTTAGTGCAAAAGAAGTTTTGGGATGAACTTTCAATAAATTAAACCATCTTGCATAAAGCAAATTAAATGTGCGCTCACATAAAGCAAGACCAACTGTGATGGCAACAACAAGGGCGATCAGGACAGCATCGGATGCGTGGATAATCGATCGAAAAAGAGCTGTACGTTAAGTGTAAGTTAAAATGGGCTCGCTATTCGTTTGCGAGCAGATATCAGCTTACGACTGAAACCAATAAATTATGAGCATCACATAACATCGCTCAATCTTTGCAACTGACCTAGCTTGATGATAACAAGGTATTATGCTCGGTATAATCCTTGTAGTTTTGGTCTCTTTTCTTCCCTGCTTTCTTGCTGCTAGCCATGGTGAGTATTTCATGTTATGAACTTTTATTGGATTTTATTCTAAGCTAGCTTTCTATGCTGTATCTTTCCTAGTTAAGAAAATTATTATTCTGCCTTATTCGAGTTTGTAGAATTGGCTCTAGATAATTCAACTTTATCGACACCTTTCCAAACTGAGCACCATAGGTGGATTATTTTAACATGTTCTACGTGTGTTACCCTTTTTTCTGACATTAACAAACATTAATTCTATCGGGCAAACTTTAGGTTTTCTAGTTGTTCCACTTGATTGGATATAGTAGAAACTTGAACCCCCGGTAATTGAGCGATGCATGAAATTAGAAGTATTATATTATGGATTAAGTCTTGGCAAGAGAAAAGGAAGCGCTCTCTTGATCGCGGTTAACCTTCAGACAAACAAAATGAAGCAAAAGATTTAAAAATGAATGAATCACTGAGGTAACTTGGGCGTTGCTGTCATTAGCGTGCTCGCATTGAAAGAAAAACAAATATTTTGCATGTTGAGTTATCTTGTAAACATCACTTAAACATTCGTTAGATATTGCATCTTTTCGCCTCTCAGTAAGCCTAATTTTAGTTAATTTTTTCCCTCAATTTGGGGAGATAAACCACTTCTGGAAATTAATATGCTTAAATCAATCTTAAACTGCTTTCCGCTGCCGTTATTTTAAATTCCAGCTGTAATATTTACTCTATTGCCAACTGAAAGATATTACACTCATGTGATGATGAAAATAGAACAAAAATATAATTTTCTATCACAAGAACCAAAGGGGTGCTCCAAGACCCATCCCTTTTCCTTTCTTTTCATTTTATTTTATTAATTTTTTTTTCGGAACATAGAAATATTTCTGAAACCATAGAACTAAATAACCCAGTTATATTTATGAATGGCAAATACTTTCAGAGTACCTATTTCGATTTGACCTGTGAATTGAAATATTACGATGTTACAGGAGCCCATCAGTGATGGGCTCCTGGATGTTAGGGGCGAACTTCTTAATTGGAGAGACTCAGTTGATACAAATAGAATGCCGAGAGGAAAGCAAATTGAATCACTGTCCACTTTGAATAAATACAAAGTTGAACTCTGTGCGAAAGAAAAATAGTGAGAATGTAGTTCCTCAATCGAAGGAAATCGAATAAATGATACAAAAGGAATCCATGCGTAAGAAAATGATCATTTTTTTGCGCCATTACTTTGTGTTACCATTAGGGATTCGTCATCATCTTGTAGTGAGTACATTTTCTGTCTTTCTTCCCAATAAATACCTCTATGAAATAAACTTAAAACCTCAAATAATTCATTCTTTTACTTTGTAATAACAGCAAACATAGTATTTGCATTTGATCGATTCGCAGAGGGCAACATCAAAGGCGATCAAATTTACTGATACCGTATCTTCTCGGCATCAACATTGCATTATGGCAAAAATCGATCACTGGAAACCAAACCAATATTTACAGATGAATGTGGTGATTCACAACGATAAATATACGTAATTGATGACTAGAGATGATAGGGAACAATCGAAATCCGATTTAAAGATAAATCGTATTGAAGAAAAGCAATGTTTTGAGCGTAAATAGTATTGTTTTGTTGTTGTTGTTGTTTTTTTTTTGTGGAACGCGCGTTTTATTCCGAGTGATACACGAGAATATTAATACTTAGTTTTGGTATAAATCTATCAGGGCTTTATCATAAATTCTGCAGTCGCATTGGCTGACTCCTCGCTAGCTCGAACTTTCTATCGTGTAATAATTGATAAGGAAGATGGCTGAATCAATTATTAATTACAAATAATCTGGTTTTATCGACGGAGTTGATTATTCAAATTTACCACCATAAAGAGTTTCTAGAGCTCACTTTTCGTACTTTCGGTAGTTAGACTACCAGCAAACTTCTCACCAACCCACCTTAAATCTTTCCGCGGAAAAAATAACGAGCGTCCTCCAGTGCTAATAATGAGGGCTACTCGCACACTATTATTTATTGATTTATTTTTCACTATACATTCATCAATTTACTTTCACTAGTTAAGGTATAGATAATGATATTCCTTGTCTTCATTTATCTCTCTATAGGAACACCATGGAAATATGGAAACACAGGTTCAGTAAGAGGCTGTTAAAATAAAATAGCACAGTCCAATAGATTTAGAGTCTATGAAGAATATGTAGTCATGATCTTCCAATTTTCTACAGTCTACCATTTTTTCATTGACCGATTAATTGATTATACGGTTTTTTTTTTTAATCATTTCTGTTATCAAATTCTTTATTGATTTGTTTTTTAATCTGCTCATTATTTATTTATTTACACTTATAAATTTTAGTGCACAGTGGACACCAGACAGTTTATGGTCCGAAGGATTGGGTCCAAGTCTCACGTCACTGTGGAGAGAGAGCCCAGTCTCCAATCAATATCGATACTGTCCACAGAAATAGTTTTGAAAAATTAACTTTCCTAAAAGGGTTCAGCTTCAAGATTGCAAACATGTGGAGAAGTCTGAGAGGCAAATTATTCAACAATGGTCATGCACCTACCATTAAGATTGAGGCCGGTTTCGGTCTACTCTCTGGGGGTCCCTGGGGAAGCGCCCGCTATAGGCTTGCTCAACTTCATCTCCACTTTGGTTGTAAGTCTAACCCAGGAGGTTCAGAGCATACTCTAGACGGTATGCCATTCTCTGGCGAGGTAAGTAGGGTACGAAATCGTCTTCACTATCACCAGCATCAGCTCTAGCCTTACACTTACCATGAACATTTTCATAGAAATTTTTGTCCAATATAAACATAATTTTTTCAATATTGAAACTTAATTTGTCCGATTATCGATCACCTCTCGAGAAAAATTATGGCAAAAGCTTGTTACACAGACTATGAGACAGGCAAATGAACAGCGAAAAAAAAATTTGATTTCAGTAGTACAAGCGTTGAGTCCCTCAACCAAACCGCAAAACTCCAGCAGAAAAATCATACAACATTTTATCCTATTTTTACACATAAAGGCGTTTGTTTGCTTTTGATCCTATCTTTTCTTTCTCAATTTAGCTTCATTTGGTGTTTTATAACATAAAGTACGCTAACTTTGACGCTGCCGCTGACAAGCCAGATGGTTTAACTGTCATCGCCGTCTTTCTGGAGGTAAATATTCCCTTCTAGAGAAAAATGTTTCATGTCCTGTCACAAGCGTAGGAGAAAGAAAGAATTCTGAGTCCTCATAAGGAATCGAATATCAACACCTTCGGATTCCGCGCTCCGATGCTCTACCACTGAGCCACAAAGACTCTATGGGGAGCGAGTCCCATTACGAATATATGACACGTGTCTTGCATACTGCTAAGATGAGCGATGTCAATGTATTCCCTTATATTTACCCCTTTTTTTAATTAAAGAAAAGAAGATTCTTCTGCAACTTGCTCTTTACTATTTCGCTTTAAAATATAGCAAAATCGTTTGGGCGTATCAAATCCGGAACTTGGGAAGATAGCAAATTTGTTGAGGAACATGGCCAGAGGCGATCGAGGTGTGATTATGGCTTCTAATCTTCCACTTCTTGGTTTTGTTTTGTTGTTAAAATCGTTGTTATTATTATTATTGTTGTTGTTGTTATTTCCTAAGATCAATTTAGTTTCTTTTTCGATTTTAAGAAATAAAGCACGTTTGTTACATTTTTTTTATATAAAAGTCGGGTGTTAATAATATACTTTACGTCTAAATGTCATAATTCAAACTCGTGTGGTGAGATAATCAAAGTGTATGGTCTCTGTACATACGGTGAGTACCTCGTCATGAGCTTGTGACCTCAGTCGTAAAGAAAAATTAGAGCTGCAGGAAGAGCGACCTATCATAAAATAAAACATCCAAATTTGTATTATTTTTGTCTTTGCAAGATGTGTGAAGGGATGTTACTAACTCTTTTCACGACACGTGACTTTTACTTGTTTGATTATAGTTGTAATCGGTTGTAATGTTGACTGACAATGATAAAAGATAGAGAAATACATACAGACAGCCATCATTTATTTTCAAAAAAATTGTACTATCTTTTTCTCCCTTTTCTTGTTAGAGGAAAACGAAAGGAATTTACTGGACCTAAATCTGTACTCTCTGGTGCCACAGCTGACGGATCTGTCCATGACACCATTTTTCTCGTACAAGGGATCTCTGACAACCCCTCCCTGTTATCAGTCTGTTAACTGGATTGTACTCGGTCAGTTCATCCCGGCCAGTACCTACGTGGTGAGATTACACGATAACCTTACAATTAACTCTTCCCACCCTAACATCAGGATCTAAGTTCTCCATACTGTTCTCTTTACGTTTCTCGTGGTACCTTCAAGAGGAATTTCAGTAATAACCAAGAGTCTCTTCACGTGGTGATAATTTCCTTTATTCTTGTGACCTTTTTGTGTGATACAGGGCTGATTTTGTTGGAAGAAATTAAATGTTAGTCACCGTTTGGGGTCAAAGGCTTAAAACCGCACTGATTCACCTTCTTCCGCTATTCTTGATTTTTATTCAGTCATTTTTAATTTTTTATCAACATTAATCAATTCGCTGTTTTTTTTCATTTACTTGCTATTTGTTGATTTTCAGATGGACGTCATGAGAAGTCTGCGAAATCAAGAGGGACACTCCTTGTGCAACGGTTCCAGGCCCCCTCAACCGCTAAATGGCCGTGTCATTCGCGGGTACATGGGATAGCTGCTTACGAGTTCATAACAACCACTCTGCTTTAAAAGACGTATCACCATTTCTTTCTAAGCATTCTGAAACATTATAGACCGGCTGCGACAAAACGGAAAAAAGGATTTCGTAAAAGGACAAAATGTGCAACATTTTCATTTTCAGTCATTTCAAGAGTAAATACGCTTGTGTTTTTCAACTAACCCCGTTCCCACCGATAACGTAGCTTCATCTTTCTGTATAGCCCCCACTAACGCAGCCTCACAGTTTCTTTAGAAACTTACCCTCTTTTGTATTCAAATAATTAATTTTCAAAACCGTAAAATCTCCGAAAGGTTACACACTTAACCTTGCAACTAAAAAAAGAAGCCATGTGCTCGAACATCCGGGTAACTAAAACAAAACACGTCTTGTTTTCATTTTGTTCATGCAAAAAACTCGCCGCGTCCAGTCCTGTTTAAGGGTATAAAAGAGCAGCTTATGATAAGACGACTTCAAAGGCCTTTGCTTAATATTTTCGTGGCCTCTCGATAAGCCAAATAACTTTACCAACAAAAAGCTCTCTCTTTTTGAAACATCCACTTGCACTTTTGTATCGTAATCAATCCACATGTCTGAGAGAAACTACTTCGCATCATATTAGAATAGGCGCCAATATACTGATACATTATTGGCGCCACAAATTCGCAATTAGATATGGAGGTACAATACATTCACAGCTATTATGCATAGTGAAACTACTGTAAGTGTAAACAAACCTTCTTCTAAGTTTATTTGGTGCAAGTTAATCAGAGCGACACTCTTTCAAATTCACAATAGTTATTAGATATGTTGAATGTTAAATAAAGCACCGCTTCATTTTTACTAAAACCAGAAGCTTCTCATATGTAAAATAATTTTTTATTAGACCAGGAATATTGTTTCGATACGATGATATTAATGGGTAAAAATTATTAACTTTACATGCCCCCTTTCCCCCCTCAGCTCATATTTCAGTGAAATATTTCAGTAAACCACACTTGGAAACTCATATTCTACTTAACTGACGGTTGAAATGTCCGTTTTTTTACCAAATGAACCGTAGGTTGTGATCGAACTCTGTTTTCCTTATTTACAGCCTTTGTCTGGCAGTGTGGCAGCACTCAACCAAGTACAAACAGTACATTAGAGAAACCAAACGTAGCATCATCTTGAACAAAAGTATTGTGTTCAACATGAATCATTGTGAACATTGTCGATATTATGAATTATGTATGTATACCCTCGAAAAAAGAACCCTTAAGAGAATTCAATTAAGTCCTCGCGCACCGAACCTAAAAAAATTTATTAATTACTTAAAAAAGAAAAACAAAACAATGGAGAAGAAAGATAAAGACAAATATAAGTTTCCGAAGATGTAAGAATGATCTTATTGTGCTCGATCGGGTTCCAATCTTTCCATTCGAGTGGTTAACCATCAACCACGGTCTTTCTTATAAAGAGAGGGCATAGATCGACTTGGTATTTTTCCTCACATAGGAAATAGCAGCTGTCACGATACTGAACGTTCAATAAAATGTGTAAACGGTAGCAAAAGACTGGACTGGAATGAACTGAACTCGATTAAACTGGATTCGACTGGACGAGGGTAGATTAGACTTGACTAAACTAGACTGGATTGGGCTGGACTGAACTGGAATGAACTGGACCGAGCTGGATCGGACTGAATGGATTGGACCAGACTGAATTGCACTGAACTGGACTGAAATGGACGAAATGGACTGAGCAGGAGTAGATCGGACGAAATAACGATTGAAAAAATTATGACAAAACAAAGGTTCCTAATAAAAACTTCCGTTGAGAAGTACAGTCAGTGATTTTATTAACACATTTTTTACTCAGATTTTCGCGTTTCCTCCTGCAGCTTCATTTGGTCTTCTATAATACAAATACAAAGATTTCAAAACAGTAGCTGACAAGAGTGATGGCCTGACCGTAATGGGCGTATTTCTTAAAGTAAGAAATGTTTAATTTTTTACCTTTAAAAACTGTTGTTTTTTGTTGTTGTTGTTTTTAAGATAAATCAAGAAATTACGCTGCAATTTATCATTTACTTTTTAAAATATGAGAGAAAAATTTTCGCAGAAAAAATTTGAGGTTATTGAGGTTGGCTGACAAAATGAGGAAAGTTACTGAGCCAGGTAAAACTACTTTCAAATGTTTTTACTCCATAGCTCCATGTTTGTTTGTTTGTCTATTTTTGTGGTTGTTGTTGTTGTTGTTTTTGTGACCCTAGACTGTAGACTGATGATCTAGAATGCCTTCCAAACCCTTTTTCCCGCTCTGTATTTTCAATCTCTTTTTTCTAATAATTTTCGACATTTTTCTGACCCATGTTTTAGTTATGATAAATGGAGCTTGAGGTTTTATTCATGTTTTCAATCAACCAAGAGCACACTGCTGCTCCACAAAGGAAGCATCTTGCAAGATGTAAACTATCTGGCTTTTTAGCACTTTTCGTGTTTTGGACAGAATGGCCAGCACCTCCATTAAACAAAAACTCTTGAACAACTGAGAATGAAAAATATCAAAATTTCGCGGGGAATATTTCTTGATTATCTTTACATAATAATAATTAAAAGAAGAAAAAAAACTGAGAGAGTGATAAAGTTGAAAATTTCTTTGAGAGATGAGGATGTTAAGATCCCGGTAATCTTGAGTATGTGCACTTTGGTGCCAGCACTAACTGATCTGTCTGGGACGTCGTTTTTTTCAAACAAAGGATCCCTGACCACTCCTCCCTGCTATCAGTCGGTTAAATGGATCGTGCTGTATCAGCCTACTCCTGCAAAATACAAAAGTGGTAAAGTTAACTTACTTTTCACGATCTGCGATAGAGTTAAAATTCGCTGCCAAATAAGTCCTATCCCCCCTTCCCCTCGCAGAACTTTAGTATCAGACCCCTAATTACTATATACACGAGCTGTCTATTAATTAATAATCGTGCGGCTATATCATCAACCTCCAGCGATGGCATAAAAACTAACAAGACCTAACAGGGGAGCTTACTAATGCAACCTCATTTACATTCCCACACGACTTGTCTTAAGAGACGTATAGCGCATATCTGACAATTTAAGAGAGAGTTCTAATTTGAAAGCAATACCTAATTATAGCAATAAAACAATCAAATGAGGGGAATAGCAAAAAATTCTCACAGGGCCACATTAGAGTTGGAATCAGGGTTCTTCTCTTTTTTTCGCTGTTTTATTTATTTTTTTTGTTTTTTTTTTGTTTTTTTTTTGTTTATTTTGTTTTTTGTTTTTTAATTCCCTTTTGGTTTCATCATCTTTTAACTTTGTTTGTTACTCCGACTGAAAGAATCATGGTCTGATCTTAACCAAGGTATATATATTATTACGTAATTAAAATATGTAGATTAATGTTTTTAGTTGAAAAAAAAAAAACCTAAAGAATGTCATTACTTTCATGTTGTTGTAGCGAGACGGTTAAACAAAAATCACAGATTTACATCCTTTTAGTGCATTAGCGTGCTGGAGACCTTCCAATTTTCTATGACATCATTTCAGAGTGTCGTAGAGGAGTATACTACGAATGAAAATGAGTTGATTATTTTCTGAATAGAACAAGACAATTTACTTGGCAGTGGTGAATAAAATACGTGCTTGCGTAAGATGAAATAAAAAGGAATTTTCTTTCTAACCTGATCTAATTCCATTATAATCTACTCACTTCGTATGTAAACGCTGAGATACGTAAGTCGTCATCATAGATGTTTAGGGCAGGTTGGGCGTCAGTGTTCATGTGCGCAAGCAGTAATCGGAATGGCAGGTAATTTAGTGTTAACAACTGAGTTGAAAACGTAAATTAGCCACCGTAAAGGGTAAAAAAGCTGACGTTTCGAGCGTTAGCCCTTCGTCAATCGCTCTGACGAAGGGCTAGCGCTCGAAACGTCAGCTTTTTTACCCTTTATGGTGGCTAATTTACATTTTCAACTCAGTTGTTAACACTAAATTACCTGCTATACTCTCCCACCGACGCAGCATCACAGTTTCTTTAGAAACTTACCCCTTTATTCAGTAATCGGAATGCTCCGGGAAACTGTCTGTCAAGACGTCCAATCCACACAATAACAAAAGAACTTGAGATAAGGCGCTTTCCGGTGATTTTCGGATAAAAGAGGTAAGTTTCTTAAAAACTGTGGTGCTGCGTCGGTGGGAGAGTATAATAAGGTTATTTGGTATCATCAACTTAGTTGATATGTAAATTGGCCACCGCAGTGAGTTTAAAAGCTGACATTTCGAGCGTTAGCCTTCGTTAGAGCGAATGACGAAGGACTAACGGTCTAAACTTCAGCTTTTAAACTCTCTACGACATAGACGCTCCATCGATCCTCCCAGAGATGGAGATTGCTTTTACCATGCCGCTGCTCATCAGTTGGGTATTAATTGCGAGGCTGCAAAGAACCGTCTATTTTCATTTTTGGAAAGTAATCGCATCGATGTAAGTCATGATTTAATTTTGTTCTCCTTTTGCACCTCTGGAATTTACTGATTTAAAACAAATTAATCAGCTCCATACTCAATGAATTGAATTGCTTAAACAGGTGAAAGGAAACGATCGCATGTCGTTTATATGCGAACTGGACGTGGGTCATACAAAAGTACCTTCTGACTGGTCCAAAGCTTTGGGTCTTCTTAAAAAGAATTTCGTCACTTCTATGCTGATAAAGGCATTTGCTGAAGTGACACAACACCAACTTGTCATCATCACCGAAAATGGGGTAAGAAATATATATGCGTGTTCCTATCAAAATGTTGTCTGTTGTGTCTGATGCAGAGGGAATTCCTTCTTGATTTAGGAAGTTTCAACGCGCTAGATATCCGCCGGACAAGAATTGCATGACCATGTCGGAATCACAGTGCTTTTTAAAACTGGTTGCTGACTGGGCACTGGTATTTTTTTATCGCTAGCTCATCTAATTCCACAAAATATCATCAAAAACAGCAAAAATAAGTAGATCCGCTTTTTGGCTTGACTAAATGGCGGCTAAATGTATTTAACATTTATATTTCTATTATTTTTCTATGCAGGATAATAATTACGTGAAGGTTATCGAACCTGAGGGCCTATCAGTGGGAACATTGTATTTTGGGCACGGTGGAGACCCGAGCCATTATGTGGCTCTTAGACCTGCTCATATGCGAGTGAGTGAAAATACACATAGCATGTAAACCTTACGCAACATATTTTCCGTTAATTACGTTACCATATTTATAAATTATGCTAGCATAATCTATAAATGCCTATAGTAGCGTATGTAAAAGTGTGTAGAAAGTAAATGCTAATGAGGTTTTTCCTTTCAATATGATGTTGAGTAATACTTTCCGAGCTTCGGCGAACAGAATTTTGCAAAAACTATATTGTATTCAAACTGTTACTTAAATTGTTCGTGTCAGAGATGCGATGCCATTCCTGTACCGCAGGGGGAAGAAGGAGAAGCCTACTGTCCTGGGGGTCAGTGTAGTGAAGGGGAAGGTTATCGATTTAGATGACGATTGCAATTCTTCTGAAGAGGCCACGGTTTCAAAAAAGGAGACCATTTTTCACAAGGTATTTCTTATGATTCAATTTTTTGAACCATCTTCATTCTACTCTGCCGGAGGAAAAGCTTTTCAGCCGAACTGTCTGTAGAAAATGAACGCATTTTATGAGCAATGAAACGGTGAGAAATCGAAAATTTAATGGCCGTTGCAGCATTTTGCTGCATTCTTTTTGAAAACTAGCC